AATAAAGCCACCAACTTAAAAGAACCTTGGAACCATCATGCGTTTGGTCACTAATTCTTGGCATTGAAAAACCGCCACGTTAACCGATAATGATTGACGCTCGCAACCCCCAAATCGGGTTTGCCGTGCCGAGCAGGCAGAAAAGAACGAAAGCAATGAACGCATCAAGGCCCACAAATCATTCCACATCGACCCAGAAGCGCACGGACTGTGGCTTTCACGACCACGAAAAAAAGCCAACATCCATGGATAACACCCGTGGACGTCGTGGTAATCCACTCCCCGGTTCCCAGCAACTTGGTAGAGAGCCGTTGAGAACTGCCCATCCATGGATGGTCCCATGAAGATCCCAACCACTGCATCGGGTACATGTGAGACCTCTTATTGGACGGCTCTGAAGCCGCCCTGCCGCCCTGCCGCCCTCAAGCCAATGTCCAATTGGCTTTTCGGTTCGGGACTCACCCCCTTGGGTCTCAATTTCGGTCGTGTTCCAGATCGAGCACTCATTTCTACGTACGCAGTAGATCGTAGAGTACATACATTCTTTGGCTTTTTTTCACCCCTCTTTTTCTTACTTCTTTTGTAATCTAGGCTTGCGACGCTTAAAATCGGTTGCATTGCAGATGTATCTCTTTCTCGTTTTCGTGATGATCTTCCTCCAGATCCCGAGAGCGAGAGGTATGGAGTATTTGAGTCCATTTCGAGATCGTATCTATGGATGCTCTAGGCCTGGAATGTCAGCTAAATCGAGAAAAATATTGTGCTTTTTTTAATTTCTGTATTTGATCTTTCTTTCCTTTTTCTCGGGCAACAGTCAGTGATATCTCTATCCCGAGTAGAGATATCCGACCCAAATGCTATAAGTGTCTAAATCCCTATGTATCGACCTCGAAGTAATACCCCACAATAATGAAATCACTCTCTCTAATAGGCCTTCTGGTAGAACATATCTTTGATTCGTGAGGAAAACAATTCCGAGTTTATAACGAGACTGCCGAACACTGGACTAGATTTCAAGTAATATCGTACATATATACAGAACAATGTCTAGCAATTCTTGGCCCTCCCTTCCAATTTTAGTGCTCACCACTCGCCACTTTTTCACACTGAGGAAATTGAGCACGTCCCTAAGCAGCCTGAGGTGTCCGGTTTTCTGATCCACCCTGGAGTTGGACAGCATGAGCCCAAATGTTTCGGGTCTTCCCGAGCTTTTTTCAAGCCTCCCCGAGCTGCTATCCCCTTAGCTGTCCGTGCGACCCCGCCACTCCTCAACCCGGATTATCCAATCATGAACAAGAGCTTCAAAAAGCCCAGTCTCATCGATAGGAAGTCCATGCGTACCACGATCTAGAACAGCATAGGTTGATCGTGGATAGAGCTCCAGCAATCGAAGGCTGTCTCTATAGCCCACATTGTCATCTTGTCGACCACATACAACAAGTGTGGGTGCAAAGAACTTGGCACTTTTATCATCCAACGAAAAAGATAACTGATAACGATTTGGATCAGCTCGGATCGGATCCAACGCCTCATTGTCTGCTGCCTTCTCCGCTGGAATATAAACTTCCTCATATTTTGCCTTTAAAGTCTTAACATAAGCAGGCGTTTGGATGAGAACGTTTCTAAACAGTTTCTTATCCTCGGCTGGCAGGTTCGACATGAGTTGCTCGTTTGCAACCAAAGGGCTGAAAGTGTCGAGATCGCGCATGCTGTCCTTGGGCTCAATGAGTGGTACCCGTAAAAGCAAACCATCGACTTGATCAATATATTTCTGAGCTATCGCACGGGCAAGGTAGCCGCCACATGATGAGCCGACAAGTAGGAATCTTGAGCTCCCAAGTCGAGAATCAATGAATTGAACAAGGCGATGGTAGATCTCATCCAGATCCTTGACATTATCCGCGGGTGTTGCGCCCATGCCTGGAAGGTCCACGTAAATGCGGCGAAGTCCAGGTGTTTTGTTGAAGATCGGCTCGAAGTCCACCTCCTCGCCTTTTCCCTCCATCTGCCATCCATGGATTATTAAAACGGGAAGGCCTTCGCCTATTTCATGTGCAGATAGGATAGATGCCATTTTGTTACTGAGTGTATAGTAGTGATTTTATACATATATGAGCAGGGACTAGAGCAGTTGATTTCCTAGAGGGGTACAAATTGTTCCCAATCACGCCATCTTATAGTGCTGACAAAGTGCTGCTCTTATCGTAACGTACCCCTTATGGCGTAAGCCTGGAGTGGATAATACAAGCGAGCCGATAACATCGCGTGTTTTAGATGTGTCCTAAAAACCCAACACTGTTCAACCACCAAAGACTCGTAAAAAAATTTAAAAGATTTGGTTGAGCTGAGGAGGGGTATATCTCGAATATTTATTGAGCATTTCATATTTTTAATATATGTACCTGGTTATCTATCTACCCCTCCTGATCGACTACATGGAATAACTACATACTTTAAAAAGCGCCCCAGCTCACATGTGTACTAGATATTATCTGCCTCGCAACTTTTCTTTTTCCTTTCCTGTCTTATTTCTTACTTCTTGTCGCTTCTTGATCACTGAGTAAAACTGCAGCTATTTCCTTGACCATCGAGCTATACGAACATAAAGATTCTCCTGGTCATAGAAAGAAGAGAACTACATTGCAATGAGGAATGGGGTTTTTCAGAGCGGCAAGACCATAGTGATCAGAATTACAATTAGATAACTTCCTAGTTCTTAGTCTTGCTAAGCGCTTGGGGGTGTCTTAATAGGGCCAAAGAGTTGAACCTATATTAAGCTGCCTTCAAAGTGTAGTGACCAAAGCTTTTGGTTTTAGGAACCTCGAGCTATCTACGACTACAGCTTCATATATATAGCATAACGAACCTTTGGTCTGTTACCTACCCGTTGACAATTCTCCGATGGAGCTAAGTCAAACATTTTACTTTCACTCTATGCATGGAAACTCCCAAACGGGGTTAGTGTTGCCCACAGCTCTTGAAGTCATTCCCAAATACCATTCAATTCAGCGAGATTTTCTAGTTCACGCTGATTATCGCTTGTAATAATGAAGTGAATGCTCCTAAAATACTGGTTGGAAACCTTCTCAAGTCATATGCCGTAGAATGCACGGCATGATAGTCTGAGCGCTTGTCATTCAAATAGCTGTAGATAGCTGCAGATGCTGAATCACTTCTACTGCATGGCATTCTGGCGGGATTATTGCCTATGACAAAAACGTAGCCGTGTTGGGGTGGCTTACATATATGTATGATAGTAATTAGGGGCAAGGATCGACTTTGGTGGGAACTAGGCATGCATGCCTACTTGTCATATGTATTGTACAATGTGAAAAACTCGGTGTATCTTAATTAGTATCCTTAATCAGACACCCACAAATTAAGTATTTCAAACTCCTTCTACTTGGATTCCTAAGCATTCCACACAAAAGCAATATGATGTCATAGCGTTCTTTAGGGGCGGGGCAAAAATCAATAATTTCCACTTTCGCGTTTTCTCTGCGCGGGTCGTCCCGGTACGTGACCGCTCCTTTGGGTATAGGGGATTCCGGTTATATACCCATCTGCCGGGTACCTCAGAAATACGTTTACGTATGTATCTGTATCCACTAGTATTTTTCGGTAGCCGGAGTGTATCAAGCGTTTGAATATCGTTTGCCACTTTGACTGATGTCCCTGATGTCCCTGATTGGACCTTTTTCTTTTTTACTTCTTTTTCTCTTTTTCATCCGAGTATCTATCTAACGGCTAGGACTATGCTCGGCATTTGTCGCTTTTTATAGTGGGTATTTAGTTTGGCTAGGCATTGCTTATGGGAACGTACCTTGTGTCTATAGTATATATATGTTGTACTTAACCTAGTTAGATCTTATCTTTCTCACAGTCAACATTGACATTGTGCTTATAAAGTTCAAATGATACCGATCTATCCATGGTTGCTTAGTTGCTGACGTGATTATATCGTTGCAATCCCACCTGATAAATCTTGCCCTAAGTTGTGTCACCATTGCCCCTGAACTGAAAGTATAACATAGATCATCCTTCGCACTGATATTGGGCTGTTAAGTTCAAATAGAACTCTGTTCTAGACTTGCTAATAATCAACAACTTTCAAGGCTAAAATGATATCCCACTTCCGACTCAGCCTTCTCACAGTGTCTGGCCTAAATTTAGGTTGTCATGCCCATATTAATCGTTACTTCAAATATAATTTTATAAAGTTAATCCCCTGGCAATGTTTTGTTACTTTGTCTTATATTCAAACTTAGTTCGGGACCTCTATGGCCTGACCACAATAATGGAAATATAGCTATGCCTGTTTACCTTGTGGTCTTATTAATGTGACACATAGACCATTGTCTGTGATACCCCAGCCTCTTATAGAAATGATTCTGTTCATCCGAGAGTCGTAGGGGGCTGGTTTTGAGTCGATCCCTGTGCTGAAGCCGGACATGAAGCCCTTTACTGTCGCCCACGGCATGATTCTACCGAACGAAACCCCCCGATGTTAGGCAAAAGGCCTTTTCTTTTACATCCACTTCCGTCAAAGAACTAGATTTAGACTGTCTCACTCAGGTTGTACACCTAAGGTTGCCGGTGCATCCAGTTTAAAGTTCTATTCGAGTCACACATAGAGGTGTGATGTTCGAATTATATTTCAGGAGTACTGCCATATCAAGTACCTTCACCATAGGCATAAGTGGCAGTCGTGACTTCCTTGTCTGTTTTACTTCACCTGGGCAAAGATGGAAAGCACATAATCAGAAACCAGCACGTGTTCCCTCGTAGTCACGGGCACCGTTCCTTCCTCAAGATGGTGGTGACTTTGTTTACTATTTCTTCCCCCAACTCCCACTTTCTTTTCTTATCTCTTCTTTTTTCTCCTCTTCCACTTCACACTCGTTCCCCCTTTCTACATTCACCTTCGTTTTCATCGATTGCTTGGTTATTCCATCAAGTCATCACTTCACATTCGTTTGTTAACCTTCGTCTTCGCCAAGATGGCAGCTTGGACGCGTTTCAAGTTGCTTCTGGCTATGGTCACCACTCTGGTGACCATGGTCGCTGCCTCGGCTGGTATGTCTCATAACCCATAACTGGCTAAATTTTGATTACCTACTGACCTTGTCATTGAACAGAATGCCATGACATCGAGACGGTCTTTCTTCAGGACCCCCACACTGGGGAGCAGTACCAGTTTGGTCAAGGTAAGTCAATCTCACGGTTTAGGTCTACCTTGGAATCTACCGTTGCTGATCAATCTTCACAGTCAATATTTTGCCTCGCGCCTTGTTTGGTCGTGCTGTTCGCGCTTCTGAACTGAGTAAGTCTAGGCTCCTCATCCTCTACACGGGGAGTTTTCAATTCCCGAGCCTTTCATCAGACTAAGAACTAACTCGATACCAGTCACTGTCACTGTCACGCACACTACCTGCGGTCATGAGGAGCCGACCATAACTGTCACCACAGATGTTCCTTGCACCACTGAGCAATCTACTACACCTCTCACCATGGAGTCTACTACTCCCGTTCCGGCTCAGGTCACTACCCCTGTACCTGGTGTTTCTCAGTCTACTGTGCCTGTTACAACTCAGACTTCTGTGTCTAACGCCCCCGAGGTGTCTTCTCAGCCGACTGCACCAGTTTCCTCCCAGACTCCAGTGCCTGCCACTACTACTCAGGCTCCTGTGTCCAGCACTCCTGAGGTGACTACGCAGTCATCTGTGCCTGCTGGCCCTCACAGTTCTGTTCCCGGAACTACTGAAGTAACTACCAAGTCTTCTGTGCCCGGTACAACCTATACTCCTACACCTGGTACCACTTTTGTGACTTCGCAGTCTTCCGTACCCGGAACTCAGACTCCAGTGCCCAGTACTACTGAGGTGTCCACTGGAAGCAGTTCTGTAACCAACGCTGAATCCTCCACGGTTACTGCCACTGCCACCGAGTCGATTTCTTCATCTCTTCCCAATGCTACCAGCGTGGCTCCTGTTTCTGCCACCACTGCTGAGGGCCACACCACTTCTGCAATCCCCGGCACTGCTACCGAGCTCACCACCGAGACGATCTCGTTGCCTTGCTCTTCCTCCTCGGAAGTGTCCCCTGTGCCTGGTACCACCGATATTCCTGGAGCTACTTCTGAAGTAACTACTGGGTCCATTACATCTTCTCGTCCTACCAATGTGGTTCCTGTCCCTGGTACCACTGGAATCACGTACACAAACTCAACTCTTCCCCAGGCTCCTAGTACTGTAACTGATGTGACCACATATTACACCACGTCTCCTTGCCTCAACTCAACTGAGCTGGCCCCTACCCCAGTGACCACTGAGATCACCATCACCATTGAGGTTCCTTGCACCGAGGCTACCAAGTGTCTCAGCACCAAGGTTCTCACCACCAGCACCCTGCCTTCGGAGATAACTGTTCCCGTTCCTGTCCCGGTTTCCACTGAAGAGGTCACTGTCACAGTTGAGATCCCTTGCACTGAGACCACCAAATGCATCAGTACCAAGGTGTACACCACCATCCCTGCGGAGACTACTACTGTCTCTGTGACTCCGATCCCGGTCACAGCTCCTGTTCCGCAGACCACCACTGAGTTGGTGACTACTGTGCTCCAGCCCACTGCTCCCGGTGTCCCTCCACAGGAGACAACCGAGGTGGTGACTACGGTGATCCAGCCAACTGAGCTGGTCCCACTTCCGCACACGACCATGAAGCTTGTGACCACTGTTGCACAGCCGGCCATTCCTGGTGTTCCTCCACAGGAGACAACTGAGGTGGTGACTACGGTGATCCAGCCAACTGAGCTGGTCCCACTTCCGCACACGACCACGAAGCTTGTGACCACCGTTGTACAGCCAACTATTCCTGGTGTCCCTCCACAGGAGACAACTGAGGTGGTGACTACTGTGATCCAGCCAACTGAGCTGGTCCCACTTCCGCACACGACCACGAAGCTTGTGACCACCGTTGTACAGCCAACTATTCCTGGTGTCCCTCCACAGGAGACAACTGAGGTGGTGACTACTGTGATCCAGCCAACTGAGCTGGTCCCACTTCCGCCCGCCACCACTGTCGAGGCTACCACGGTGGTCAAGGTTCCTGCTCCTCCTGCCCAGCAGGTTACCACTCTGGCTACCACTACTGTTCCCAAGCCCGCGGTGACTGAGGCCGAGGGTACCACAACCGAGTCCAAGGTTTCAGTTGCACCTCCTCAACAGCCTACCCACACCCAGGAGGATACTGTCCCACCATCTCCCCGTGGTACTTCTTCCAGTGGCACTAACTCCCCTTCTCCTGTTTTCAACAGTGCCAATGCCGCTGGAATCATGGACAGCCGTCTTTTTACCTTGAGCATTGTGGTTATCCTCTCTCATATCTTTCACATGATTCTGTGAGAACGCCACACATTCTTCCCGTGTTAGGAAGCAAGTCTAGCCATCTTCTGATGTAGCAAGGATAGTACCTGATGCGATGATTGTGTTTGCGATGGTATTTGATGAACCCATGGTTTTTTTTATGGGACGCAACTGGCTCCCCTTAATCTTGCAAATTTTATTAGTGACTAATATTCTAGTTGAAGCATAGCTTTCCAAATTTTAAGAATGTTCACTATTGGTTATGTCCAACATATCTTATAATCTGTAATCTGCAGCCAAATACGAAGTCCAAAAACAAAAGAGCTGGCCGAACAATGCATTCGGGTAGTTATGTTTCGGCCATGAAACAAATATTACAGATAAGTAGAGAGTACTACGTACGTAATTGAGCAGCCAAAGCATTGAACATAACACGCATCTTTGTAAAATGAACACAATAGCCAGTATAATTACTTCAAAGAATGGATGAATACTGATATCCCCAACAAATGGGTGTAGTAGCTTGGCTAAAAGCCAGGGTATCTCAGAGAAACAAGGAGAATGCATAGGTATGTGCACATGGAGTATACACACAGGACAGACGTGAATGGGTACAGATCTCCCTGCCCCAACAGAGCTCAAACCTCAACCTCACCAAGGGATTCAATATCTCTCGTCAGAGCACAGATCCGACATCCATCACCAATCTTGTCCCGCAGGATTCTTGCCGTCGTGACTTTAGGACCAACGGTGCGAGATGCGGTAGCAGATCGGGTCTCGTCAACCGGAGACATTGCTCGGGGTGTAAGATCTGCAGATCGGTCACGGCTATTCGTGCTGGATTGTGGCTGTGATGTATCTGCGTGCAAGTGGGAGAGATGGAAAATATGGCCACAAGCAAAGCCAACAAGGATTTCTCGCTCTGTGGCAGAGTTATTGTTAGCATTGCTCTTTTTTGAGGATAAAATATGGAATGGTGTTTAGTCAAGATCATACCGTTTTCCCGGAAGGCGGCTTTGCAACCGCCGCATCTTCCTTGTCCAGGGCCTCCGAATTTCTTCGCGCCACTGCTCACAGATATTTGATCTTGAGCTTGGGTCTTTGCGGTCGGTGTCTTATTGAAATCTTCCTGTCTATCATCAATGACATCGAACTTGATTCCCCGGCGCTGACCTTTACGCAGCGAGTCCATTCCAAGTGCAACCTCGCTTTGCATAACCCTGGCCGCACCTTGGCTGATACTAGCTTGCAGATCATGCTCACGGATCAAGCGAGTGAGACCCTCTCGTAGACCTTCAATCTCGAGCCCGCTCGGGATCCGACGCACAAGCTTTATCGGGTCGATGGCCGTTCCGGCCTCGACTAGAAGACCGTGGATGAACTTCGGTTTGTCCATGGAGTAATCAAGCAGATCTTCCCATAGATCAGGATCCTCCTGTGATTTCGCAAATGAAATGGCCTGTGAAACATCCTTGAGATCAGATAGAATCAGATTCAAGGCTCGCTTTGTCTGGCCCATCTTCGACAAGAGGAAAATCAACTCTGGTGTGAATTTGTGGTCTTCGCAGATGGATGTGGCTTTCTCGAATGAATATGATATGCTTGTTTGGAGGAACTCCATCAGCAGAGGCCGGTCGTAGTCAGCAAATACTTCAACGGCCGTATCGGCGAAGTTATCAATCAGGGCTTTGCCTTCATCGGCAGCAAGCTTGCTGGCTGCATCCCGAGCATGGGTTCCACGTCCCCTTCTGGGCTTAGAGGCGTCGTGCGGTAGTGACTCGCCTCGCCAGAGCGCTCGGAGATAGAAATAGAGGAACAGGAACCGGTTTGCGGCTATCAACTGAGATACCACGGTATCTGGGAGAACAATTCCCGTGTATGCTTCACTAACAAGGAGCCGCGTGGGCTCCGAAGTCAACTCCTCCAGTTCGGATTTCGTGGCTGACTTCATCTGCTCTTTGGAAACCCGAATCATAATGAAGGCCGGTATATCATCAGTGACTGCGTCAAGCAAGCGGTGCTCCCGGACCAAAGCCATAGCAGCATCTCCATCTTGCAATCGGATATAGCAACGCAAGGCTTCGCGATGATGTCCTCCTACTAGGAACAACTTAGCGAGGCAATCTGTGAGGATTCGCCACTCCTCAGACCCGGCGCGCACTGATTCGGATTTCGCCTGTGCTTCGATGGCTTCTGTGACCACATTCGCATCAAACAAATCGGATGGCCATATTTCGATGAGTTCTTTGAACTTGACTAAGTCTCGTGACACATAGTGAGTAAGAATGGCTTCGTAAATCCGAGAAGACAACGATGGATTTAAGTCGACCGGGATTTGCGAAGTGATCTCGTCAATTTTATCATTTTTGATAAAGGTCCATGCCCAGTGTTCCCATCGTGGGGCGTCGCGGATGACCTTGCCACAAATGCTTGCAGCCTCAGTCCACTTCTCTTCGCTGACAAGTTGGTTGATCCAAAGTTCCCCAAGGCGAGCCTTTTCCTGTTCAGCAGCAGAAACTTTTGTTCGACCAGCCGTTGTGATAGATGATCGATCGTCGGCAAAAAATTCACCTAAACTGGTTTGAGACCTTCCTGCAGCCACGGAAACAACTTCGGCTAGGTCAGGTATCGAGCCCGCAGCTTCGGGATGTTCATCGACGAGACGCCATGCATCCTCGTACTGGCCATGAGAGTCAAGCCAGGACAAACGGTCTGCCAGATCCCTTTTTACTGCAACAACGCAGTCGTATGGGCTGTGGACAAAGATTTTGGCGCCAGGGGCACCTGCAACTTCCTGAACCTCCTTCGGAAGGGCATCTTCGGCCGCATGGAGTTTGGATATAAAGGAGGGAGCAACCCTACCAGACCCCTTATCACCACTGCTTGTGGTACTTCGGATGCTGGCCCCGGAGCTGAATAGCCGCGCAGGGTACATAGTAGCATCCAAGAGCCCATACCCAAGAGCCCCCCAGGGCACCACGCTGAACGACTTGTCCCTCCGGGGTCTTCCACGGAGGCAAGACACTCAGATGATAATCGGACGCCGAGAGACCTTCGAACCGGTTTACTGAAAGTGTATCAGCGCTGACTTCTTCCTTGGTTTCAATGTCAATGACACGAAGTTCCGGTTCCAGGCCCTTTTTCCGATTCCGGGTCCCACTGCTTCTTCCGTTACTTGCAGTTTCACCTTCGGTTTCCATATATGCAAGAATGACAAGAAGACGAGGCGTATACAATGAGATACCAGATACCACGCAGTCTGTTCGTAATCTGTGTTCAAAGTTAGCGATGGATAATTCAACGCGTTCGAGCTCCAGCTTACATTGTAACAACCTCTGCAGAGCCCAATTTCTCGCCCTTCGATGTTTTGCTTGCCCTTTCGGGGTAGACATCAATGACCCAAACAGTTCCTCCCCATCCGACGACAAGCTTTTCCACTTTCTCAGTCGACACGGTCAACTGAAGTTCTGGACTTGCTGGGTTGTCACTTGGATCGAGATTGTCCCGACTGTCTAAAGCAGATTGGTCAATCCACTCTGCGCGTGCTTTCCAAACACCTGCCATTTCATCCCAGCCGGGACGATTTGGACGATCAATATGACTGATTCGTTTCCACGCAAATTCTGTCTCCGAGGAATCCAGATGCAGATTTGACCGCATGATCTTGATGCCTTCCTCGTTGACCCAGGCTACATATTTTCCTGAAAGTGACCATTTGATTGTGCTTATAGTGCCTTCCCCGCTGTGGATAATTGTATCTTTTCCACTAGTGGATGCCAGGCCCATGGATCCAAGCCAACTTGACGCTGTGGCGGCCGCACCCCCCATTGTTGTCGAGTTGGAGGTCGCTCCAATACGGCCGCCAGTCGTCAGAACCAATTCGCCCGCTCGGCCACCAGACAGGAATGTCCGATCAGTTTTGTACTCTGGAGACAAAGCGATAGACTGGACTGGTCGACCAAAATTGCGCAATTGCACGTCCTTGGGGTCTACCAGCGACGAGATACACACGTGGCCATCAATTGAGGAGGTTCCAATGTAAATCGAATTCGATGGTATGGGAGGGACAGCTGGGTGGTTACTCAGTTTCCCTTGGCCACGGATACTGCCGGTAGTATTAGATGATCGCGTGGATGGTCTGTATTCCTCTGTGGTCTGCTTGCTGAAGGTGTCTTGCCTAAGATTCGGGAGGGGAGGTGGAAATGGCGATATCGATATTGAGGTTACACTTGCTGAGTGTGCATGATATACACGGAGGGATTGTAGAAGCGGCAAGGACATAACATGCTTGACAGGATCAGCTCATATGTCTGCGCGCTGGTGTGGCTAACTTACGACGTTCCCGTTGTGTGTCCCGACGATCTAGGCACATCGTTAGCTCATTATCATAATATAGGTTCCGCTAAAAACACATACCATTTTATCTCCTGCTACGAGGAACGAGCTTGTCGCATCCCCGTTGCGATATACTGATCCTAGGTGCTTCGTAAGGTATGCGTACTTGAGGCGGGGCTCCTCATCCTCGTCGTCCGATTCATCTTCTTCCTCGGCCTCTTCTTCTTCTTCCTCGTCATCACTGTTACTAGAGCTGTGGTCATTGTATCGTTGGTGCTTATCTTGGGCGCCTTCAGTCGTGTCTGTTGGTGAACTGGTTCGTATGGATGTGTCGTGCTTGGGGGTGCTCTGAACGGCACTTTCGTCCGGCGGTGTCGCGCCAGGCGCGTCCATGGCGAATCCCTCACAGCGCCTGCAGCTCCCGAGCTGGTTAAAGTGGAATGCGACAAGCTGGAAACGGGATTCTGTGGTTCTACAGTTGAGCCGGGGTAGGTCAGGGCCCCGAGCTTGGTTCCATGACTAAGCTGGGTATCGGGCCGCGGGCTGCAAAACGATGTCATCGACCAAGCCACTGGTGTTTTTGTTCCTCAAACACACAATGTTTGCCAGGCCATTTGTCTGCGTGAGCTGCAAGCGCCCATTATTACAGCTACCTACGCGACCGCAGACCCAATACCTTCACGTCTCTCCTCCATTGGCACTTCCCCGACGGAAGGATTTCTTCTCATCCAATGCCCACTTAAAACAAAAACAGAACAACAACGATGAACCGATTGAGTTCTCTCCAGATTCCCAGAAGCAACGTCGACGGGGGCCTAGGTTACCAGCAGCTCCCACTTCATTGCGGCGAGTAGCGGTAGAGGCACAGAGGTCAAAGGATGGCATTCACTCCAAGGCGCTCCTCAAAGAGCAAGGTTTATATCGGACTAAGGTTGGCATAACTGAGATTTTCTACCATTTTCGTCTACTAATCGTTTTGCGTCTCTAGACAGTGACTGCCTATGCTGTAGCCGAGCAATTCAACATCCGCAAAGTCAGAGATATTTTACAAGAACGAGGATATGAACCGGATCCGTTGGAAACGGGGCTCTTCCCACAAGTCGTTCATGTTCAGATACCGTTAGATTCCATACAGCGCATGACGAATCCCTCGAGCACAGATCTATCATCCGACGAAGTGGGCGATTTATTTGTGTTTCCCTCTGGTACAGTCGTAGCGTGGTCGCTCCCGGAAGGATTCACATCATTCCTAGCAACACGAACTCTCTTGCCCGCAGCAGAAGGTGCACATGTTGATGAATTGGAAACCGAGGACCTCGAATTCGTGGAGGATCCGAAGCGGGAGAACAGTGTGATCAAAGGGGACACAATTATACTAGGAACCAACTCTGGCCACGGGGATGCCGAGGGATCACCAGTGGGGCAACAATCTGTCGATACGGTGTTGACTAAGGTTGCCTTTTCCTCGGGTCTTGCCCGGAGTACGAAGTTGGCTGTCCTCGAGAGCCTTCTTTCAAGTTATTTTGAATCGACTCGGCCAATTCCGACTCTCCTGTCACAAGGATCACGTCTTCCTTTTACACGAGACTTTGTCCTCCGCAAAACTGGGCAGCTACTTAGTGTCCGAGCACAGCTCAATCTCTATTCCGAGCTCACAGATTCTCTTCCTGATATATTTTGGGACAGCCGCCACGAGCTAGGCTTAGAAGGATACTATGAGCAGGCTGGCAGAGCTTTAGATGTTGGAATTCGCATCAAACTGCTGAATGAGAAGATGGACTATGCGCAAGAGATCGCAAGTGTACTCCGGGAGCGCCTTAGTGAGACACATGGTCTCCGACTCGAATGGATTATCATTCTGCTCATTGCCGTTGAAGTTGGCTTTGAAGTATTGCGTTTGTGGAAAGAAAGAGTACATGAGCAGGAGGAGGCGCGCAGGCAGGAGGCCTAGAGTCACCTGATGCCAGAAAATGACAGACACAAGGTCAGTGAAATATTTTGCCCGCCGTGGACCAACCAACTATGATACCCCTCCACTCTTGAATGTAAGAATATTACTCTGAATGACCATCTTCAACTTTAAACGAGTGCAATACAGAATGTGGTTGCTGTTATGCAAGTAAACAAAGCCCGGATGACTCTTATCAGCTGTCCCCGCGCTTAGTCATATGAGACTCCGCACGAGGCGACTCCGACGGTACACGGACAACCTTTGTAGCCTCCTGAGTATACCTATCCCTCCTCTGAATACGACAATCCTAGTACTTATCTACTTGTCTATTGTTATATTCTTCATCTGCTTCAATTTCACAAGTGTGTTCCCTGATATCACCACAAACGGCTGCCATCGATGATGCGGGGATCATCACAACAGTTCATGGGGATCCCTGGACCCCAAAAGATCCTCAAGACCGTCGGCTCACTCTGGCTTTCACAAACTTCAAATGAGAATGCAAAACCCGGAACTTCCTCGTCGTGCCCGGCCTCGGAAATAAGTTGCCAAGCCAATTACCACGGTCAAGACACCTGCTGTTTCAACTACCCCGGCGGTCAAATGCTACAGACGCAATTCTGGGATGTCGACCCTGCACTTGGCCCTGAAGACGCATGGACTATCCATGGGTTATGGTGAGTTTGTACTATATTTCCAGATTGAATTAGTATACAACTAACTAACTCTTCCAGGCCCGATCACTGTAACGGCGGCTTTGACCAATTCTGCGACTCCAGACGCAAGTACAGCAACATTTCTCTGATCCTAGTTGATGCGGGCCGGGGAGACTTGCTCGAATACATGAGCGAGTATTGGAAGGATTTCCGTGGTGACGATAGCAATCTGTGGCAACATGAGTGGAACAAGCACGGCACTTGCGTCAGCACCCTGGAACCAGACTGCTACTCGGACTATCTACCACAACAGGAGGTTGTGGACTACTTCGACAAGACTGTTGAGGTTTATAAGGAGTTGCCCACCCATGAGGTTAGTTTGATTCTCTCGATCAATGACCAACTATATATATTCGGATCAAACAACTAACCATATATCAGTTCCTGGCCAATGCCGGCATCATCCCATCCCAAACACGAACCTATGCTCTTGCCGATATTGAAGCTGCGCTGGAACAAGCCCATGGAAACCCCGTCACTATTCGTTGTCGAAGCGGCGCCATCAATGAGGTTTGGTACCATTTCAACATCGCAGGAAGTCTGCAATCGGGAGAATTCATCTCTGCAGGCCCAGGTCGGTCAACCTTCAAAGTTACTCACTCTGGTAGATTGCAAGCTTACAAGATGACTAGATGGCCTGAAGTCCAATTGCCCCTCTAGGGGAATCAAGTACCCACTGAAGCATGCTCGCCACGAGCCTACCCATACGACGACCATAGGTCACCCCGAGCCTACGTCACCAGGTACTCCGTTTACAGGCCGAGGTAACTTGATTGTGGAGAGGCTTAACAGAAAGCATGGTTGCATCATCAGCTACGGAACATGGTTTTCGTCAGGGACCTGTGCGACTTTCCGAGCCGAAAAGATCTCCGGTTCGTAGATGTGCTTTCCGCATATGATGCCTCTGCTATTGTTTGCTAACATGAAGTAAACTGTATCTTGCAGATGATATATTTACTCTGAAATCTAGCAAGGGGCCTTGTGCCTTCGAGCGCGACGCCCTTGCTTGCGGACCCCACGTCACCACGGCAAGCGAGTTCACCGTATGTATACCCCAAATCGTTTTACGAGATATCGTTTCAAATCCTCACACTGCATATAGGCCAAGGATGGTAAGCTCGCTTACAGTGATCACACTACCTTCTATGCCGACAGTCCACCCAAGGGGCGTACACAAAGTAATGTGTATGCTTCGCAAGGGGGGGCGGCCTATTGAGATTGAGATCACCTGGACTTCGAAGTAGATGATCATATTCACTATTGCTTTGCCTTCCTATGCCTCTAGTGGAAATTAGGTCATTGAGCAGGCATATCGGGATGTGATAGAGTTGCACAGAAATCCCAGCATAGAATGGGGCGAGAAGACTGTCAGTCACCGACTGTTTCGAGCAGAATTGCTCGAATAATTAGAAATACCAAATAGAAATGCGCGTTGCTTACGGTTATATTTTAGTATGTCATTTTGTTCTGAGCGAATATTTCCAACTTCGAGTTTTAGGTGTACATTGATAGATTTGAAGGTATTTGCCCTCTTTACATTACGCTGTATGGCTCTTCGTCAGACCATTTATTTTCCTTGCTCATAAAATATAAATTAGAGGATTCAAGCTACGATTCTACAATCCAGACAGTAACAAGATGATATGGAACTAGATGTAAACTGTGTGCATAAAAAGTTCAACATAGTAGTACAGGCTATCGGCAATTATGTCTGTCATCGAAGGAAAATCCTCCTCCAAGTAAGTCATCTTGTTGACAGGGTAAGTACAGAAAAGATCCATTGAAAGTAAAGACATCAAATACATATCGCATCATCAAACATATAAAAAGAAAGGTAAACACCGGGAATAAACACGTCGCCATACATCAAGCATCTTCAAAGGGATGAGACAAGGCCAAAAGGACGTGAATATTGAGCAAATCGTTCGAAAAGACAAAGGGAAAAAAAACAAGGAGAAATACAGGGGGTAAATATGGGCAGAAAGGGCAAAAAGGGCAAAAAGGGCAAAAAGCAAATAGCCCGAAACACCCGCATGTCCGCAAAGTTGTTTCAAATCCCGAAATGTGCAGAGAAAGTAAACGCCCGATTTTTTGTCATGGGTCATTAAAGTGTACAAGGTCGTCCCGTATCGTTGCAAAGAAGTGTCGCCGTGAAGAAAATGATAAGCCGCGCCGTATGTGTCGTGCTCTTATTTTGTGTACCAAAAGCCGTTCAAGGGTCCACCAGGAACTCGCTGGACAAGCAGTCGATTGGGTCTGTCAGGTCATCATCCATGTGGGGAAGACCAGAGAAGGTCTTCTCGGGGTAATATGATGAGACAGAGGCGAAGTCGGTGGTATCCACGAACTGATAAGTGGAGAAACCGGGGAGACCCGAGTGACCGAGATGGCCGAACTCCTCTCGCAACTCGTCGGATGGATCTTGAGTCATGAAAATATCAATCTCCGAGCCGACGGATGATTCAGCCAGGGTGGGCGCCGAGCGAGGGGAAGACATCTCCCGAGGCGAGAGAGCAGATTCGCTGTAGAGAGATTCCTGCGAGTACGTGGATTCCTGCGAGTATGTCTGGGAACCAAAATTTGATCCGTACTCGGCCATTGCCTGCTCGTATCTAGCGTGAGCGAGTTGGGGTGGTGACAAGGGCAGCATGTCATCCTCGAGCTGAGCATCGAGGGAGTTGTAGGTTTGGCACGGCGGGGACATTGTGTGGTATCTGTCTCCTGGGGAGGTTGGCGGCGTGAATGACGAGACGGCAGTGGACGGGGCGTAGTTGGGCGAGTTGAACACAGGAGCATCTTGCAGAGTGGGCTGGGTCTGGGCTGAAGTGATTGAGGCTGACTTTTCAGCAACACGTTGACGAGTACGAGTGGACTTAGCCTGGCGAGTTTCGATATCGGGACGGCTGTTCTTCTTCTTCGGGGGACGGCCACGCTTGGTAGTCTTTGGAACCACACCAGTGAAGCCTCCAACACACATATCGCGCTGGCGGTGACGAGTCAAGGCATCTTGTCTAGCGAAGCTGGCACCACAGGCACATGCGAAGGGCTTGTTGCCACTATGTGTCTTGAGATGGCGCTTGAGATCGTGTCCGCGCACAAAGTGTTTTTCGCAAATGTCGCATTTGAATTGACGGTCTCCGAGATGTGTTTGGACGTGGGACTTGATGTTTTCCTTGCGACCAAAGCGGCAAAGGCAGCCTGTAAATAGACAGACCCACTTTCCATCTTTGGGGTCGGGGCCGGAGATGAACTTGGCGATTTCGTCGGTCGAGATACCGGTTTGCTGGACTGATGCCTTAACTCGAGCATCAAGGTCACCATCGTAAGCAACTGACTCGATAGGAGTCGACACAGTAGATTGGGATCGCTTCTTGGCTCTGCCAGTGGAAGATGTGAATGAGACATTGGAATTTTGAGGTGTCATTCCGTAAGAGCTCGGGGATGGCATATCAGCAACCTCGGGGAAGGACGCGGTAATCGGGGAATTCACGGGGGACGGCATTTGCTGCTTAATCTGCACGGAATTGACATAGGGGGCTCCTTGGAAAGACTGGGCTCTTTGCATCTCAGCTGTGGCAGGGGTTTGGGGAAATGAGAAACTTTGGGACTTGGAAGGTGTTGGGTCATTGCTGTACATGGAATAATCAATAGATCTCTTCAATGGGGTAGAGTCGGGGGTCATGGGGGAGTTGTCTGCAATACGATTAGCTTCAGGCGCGTTAGACTGAAGAGAACGACACATACAAGCAGTAGACATTTGCGAAAGGATCTTCGCAGATGGAGCCTTTGGTTGAACAGAGACTGGGTGCATTTGTCCGGCATACGCCGTCACCTGCTCGTTTTGGACCATTGGCATGTTGCGCTGAGGAAACAATTCCCAGTCGGCATTGCCAATAAATTGTTCCTGTTGCTGGTTCGAGAATTGTTCTTGTTGCATGCGGTGCAAGGCAAGCTTCAATGGTGTGTTTTCGGAGCATTCACTGGCTGATCGAGACAAAGCCGGAGCACCGACGGAAGAGGGCGCAGGGCTGCCAGTGGTGGTGTGGATCGCTTGCAATTGTTCTTGGTTGAAAGCCTGGCAGTCAGACCCGAGCGATTGGTGAGGTTGATATTGATATGGCTGCTGCATGTGCATGCCTGATGGAATGAAAGACCGCTCGGGCTGCTGGGCATATTGTTGATACTGCTGTACATCCCTCTGCTGATATGGGAAACCTGATTTTTCGTTAAAATAATCTCGCAGCTGCGAGACCGTCTTCGGCATGTGTCGGTCCATAGGTGGCTGTTGACTGAAAGAGCTGTAGTCCACAGTCTGGCCTCGACGATGTGACCGACGGGTTTGCATATTGGTCATGACTGGCGCAGGCTGGTATGGAGCAACTGGTGTGGAGATTTGACGACGATGACGACCGGTTCCCAGCGCGTTGGAGTTCATGATTATATCGCCGATTGACGGATGGGTCCTGATTGAGGTGTCAGTATGTGAATAAGAAAGCAATGGGCAACAGGGAAGAGGAAGGAAAGTTGTTAGAGCCTCAAGTAGCGCAACTCAAGAGTATCAAGTTCAAGTAAACCTGTCACACTGTGGATTCAGAACTGAACCTGAAAGAGCAGAAACACGGATGTATGAATGGTTTCCCAAGTTTGGTTCTGGGGCCCAGATCTATGTGAGAGACCCGTTCTCATCAACAATCGGGGTGTTGGCATAGCAACGCCTTAGCCCGGGCGTCTGGGAAACCAAGGCTCTGACGAACATCAGCCCCACTCCCTTGCCCTTTGATTTTTTTTTTTGGCCCTTTGATGATCACCTTGCTTAGAATTATTCGGCTTTTACTGCAAGGGCAGCTAATCCCTGGGATAATACTCCATTTAAATGTACGTAGACTTAAGAAAAAAACCAACTCCTCGGTTGGTTTCCGAGGAGATTCAATATAAACAAAGTCGATCTCATATTATATAGACCTTGGCTCCATATATAGTACCCATAGGCCGATAGGCCGAAAGAGTCCCCATGGCGTCACATCCAATATTTTGATCTTGCATATTCGACCTGTCCAACACGGGATAATATAGGTGGCCTCAGGCACAAATCCATGCACATCACTCGTGAATCACGTGATGGGCTCTCTGCAAAGACGGGCCGACCTTTTCCCGTCACTGTTTTACCGCCTAACACGTGATTGATATCAGTCAGCATTTTCTATTGAGCTAGACTCCTTTCGGCTATATGACCCACCCACGTGACCGCACAACGATTTTAATCACCAACCGGCTTCCGCGCACAACGATCTTTTTTAATCTTGCAAGGTTGAGGAAGACACGACTGTCGAGGTGAGTCTTGGTCCTATACAGGCAAATAGGAATGTGATGGGCATGCGCAAATAGCATGCAGTCCATTCTCTCTCTACCTGCCACATTTTTATCATCGCGAGCATCCCACTGACTTTATCGCAGGCCTTCATCAAGATGCAGATCTTCGTCAAGACCCTTACGGGTAAGACTATCACCCTTGAGGTGGAGTCCTCCGATACCATTGACAATGTCAAGTCCAAGATCCAGGGTAAGCACAACGGAAATCCACGAGCCACGATCGCACACATGCGAGGCTCTTAAAAAAAATATACAGAAAAGGCGACATGGGCTAACCCCGCACTAGACAAGGAGGGTATTCCCCCTGACCAACAGCGCCTGATCTTCGCCGGCAAGCAGCTCGAGGATGGCCGCACTCTTTCGGATTACAACATCCAGAAGGAGTCGACCCTTCACCTCGTCCTTCGCCTGCGTGGTGGTGGTAAGAAGCGCAAGAAGAAGGTCTACACCACCCCCAAGAAGATCAAGCACAAGCACAAGAAGACCAAGCTCGCCATCCTCAAGTACTACAAGGTTGACGGTGATGGAAAGATCGAGCGTCTTCGCCGCGAGTGCCCCGCTCCCGAGGTATGTGTTCACACTTTTTTTTTTCGCAAGACAATATCCTACAATTTCAGTCAACAAAAACTAATTCATCCTTTCTTATAGTGTGGTGCCGGTGTCTTCATGGCCGCTATGCACAACCGCCAGTACTGCGGTAAGTGCCACCTCACCTACGTCTTCGACGAGGCCAAATAAATGGTCTAAGTCGGGCCGTGGTGTGCTGTCACCGAGCTTGAGCATGGTTTTCTCTGGGCTGGGGCAAGTGATGGAGTATCACGGTTGACGTTGGTTGATGATGGTTCCTTGGTATACCCATGTGCTACAGTCAATACAAAGAATAAAACTAGGCATCCGCCGAAAACTCAAAATTCCCACGTAATGATAAACTCGTATGTATTCGTAGACTGAGATATTGTCACTGTCTGGTAAATCACTGTACTGCTAATAGCATTGCATAAAGCCGTGCAAGCTCTCACTCAACCTATTCCGGGACTCCAGCTTGGATATTGGAATACTTGCTCTCGGGGAACTCAAGAGCATTCTCTGACTGATCCAAAGCGCCTACGCCACCCATACCGTCGACAAAGATACCGATCAAGCTTCCCTCCGCCGGATCAGCCTCCTTACCCCCCTTGTCACCGCTGCTCTCCCACCACATACCACCACCCAGTCCGCGCTCGAGGATATAGTTCGCCTTGACCTGCGCCACATGGGGCGTGTCGTAAGAAACCATCGTGCGCGAACCGCCATCATAGCAGTAAGAGGCACCGGCTTCCTCATCGAACTTTTCCTCGGCCCCGGGTCTGGGCAGCGCCTTGTAATCCCACACCCCGTTCTCCCAGCTGCCCTCTCCAACTCCGGAGAAGGGGGCGCCGGGTCCATCAGTGTTTTCAAATGCACGGCCGTACAATGGCATTCCCATGACGATCTTTGAGGCTGGTACACCACCGTTGTTGATGTAGTAGTCCAGAGCAGCGTTGATCGAGAAGGGTGTGGATGCAGGGTTTGAATCTGAGTGGGCGATGTTCGCTTGGTGGCCAGCGTTGCTGTCCCAGCTGCCGGCGAAATCGTACGCCATGAGGTTGTAGAAGTCTAGCACGGGGGTCATCTCTTGGAATTTAAGCTTCTCGTAGTTGCTCGCGCCTGGAAGCAGTTAGTTTGGTGGTTCATGGTACTTTCCCGTCATCGAGGTTATGGTATAAACATACCGGCAGGGCAGGCGATTGTCAAGTAGAAACGGCGATCGGCACCAGCCTCTCTGTCGAGAACCTATTTCCCGTTAGTTGGTCCAATTAAAGATTTAGGAGAACGATATACCTCTCGGCACTTCTGGAGCAAGAGAACAAGGTTCTCAGCCTCAGCGTCATCTGAATATAAAATAAGCCTCGTACTTCCTTCAAGTATGTTCTGACAAACTCACCTTTGGGGTATTCCCAATCGATATCAATACCTATAAAGAGTCAAAATTAGCATTGTATACAGTCCTGAAGTGCTTAGCCGACGAAACGTACCATCGAATCCCAGATCAAGAACCAGGCGTGTAGCGGATTCAGCAAATGTAGTGCGACCCTCCTCGGTGCTTGCAGGCTGCGCGAAATTCGCGGAGTAAGTCCAGCCACCGATAGAAAGCAAAACCTTCAGCTTGCGGTTCTGCTTCTTGAGCAGGAAAAGCTGCTTGACACATCCGTACGCATTGTCACCGACATCGTTCCACGAGTCTGTCGGGTAATGCTTCTCGACGTCGGACCAAGAGTCGGTCAAGTACCTGCAGTTCTGGGTCAGGAAATTCTTGTGCAGTCTGTAAGGGTCAGGAGCAGGACTTACACCTCGCCGGTTTCAGGACGGACGTTGGCAAATGCATAGAGAATGTGTGTCAGTTTCTCCGCGGGCAGATCCTGGGGGTTGTAGTTGCGGCCGTAAATTGCCTGTGGGGTATGTCAACATTCGTGTTTTTTTCGGTGTATATGTCCAGCCAGTTAGACATAGTGAGATGATATGCAGATCATGCAAAAGTGAAATGAAATGAGGTAAGTAAAGTTAAGCACATACCCAATTGACGAAGTAGGCGACTGATTTGATTTCAGACATGGTTGGTGCGGGGTGGGTAGTACGGGGATAGTTAAGGTATTGCACGAGGACAGCCACAAGTAGGACTGTAAACAAAGCAATGGATTTGAGACGATACGCCACAATTTTCAATTCAGAAGAAAGTTATGTTCGAGAGTTTCGACCAAAACACTAAAAGGCAGCGTGCAAGTATTTCTAGGAAGTACTTTATGTCGCAGCCTAATTGTTAGTGGACTGTCGTACCTTGGAGGGTCTGGGCAAGATCAACGCCACAACGTCATTGGTCAGCCCTAGGGGTCTCACATGTGGCGGTGTATAATTCAAGGCACCAAGGCACTAATTGTGGCTAAGTATAGATCGAAAAAGATATCCACAAAGATATCCAAAAAGATAGAAGATTGGAGATGTATCTGTGCAATCAAAGATATAATCTGGATAATCTGGAGACAACCTATGTCGGTGGGAGACTATATGTATGTTTACTAAATTCCCAGAAGGGTCCAACAAAACGTGGTGCGTGACACCTCCACCTGTTCAAGGTGCATGTAACCTCATTCATAGCCAATCCCTAATATGTTTCATGTAATAGTGTGTTAGTTTATTGGTTTTGAATTTAAACTTGATTGTTTTGTGGAAGCACAAGATATGGAGTATCAAGTACTCGTGATGTTGAAGAATGTAACTCTAGGCAAGAATGCGACATGGTCCGCCTAGGAAAAAGAAGCAATACTATATGTGAAGTCATGATTGACTAGTCATGAGAACTCATTGTGATTGTACTGGTTGTGAAATTGAATATTTTGAAGATCGTTGAAGATCTCATGATTAGAAGTACATCGCGATGCGAGATCTACAAACACCTTCATAACCTCTAGTGAGCACGCTCTTCGTCAAATGGAGCTTAACATAAGCTCCCGAAGCCACGCAATTCCTCGATACATAAACCTTGGGTCAGGCGACTTACGTCCTCAGATATGGTTGGGGAATGGAGCATAGGTCAGACTTTTTTTCGGCAGTAGATCGACCATTGAACCCGTGGCAAGTGACAACCTCAAGCCGAGGAATGTTCGGAGAAGCGGCAATCCCGCGTGGTGACATAAACAGGATAGCGAGTGATATAACAAAGATCGACCGTGACTACACGTGGAGGGGTTAACGCTCTTCTTCGTCATGAGATGATCCTCGAACTTATAGATAAATATTTTAGCATGGAATTGTAGGTCCATGCATGACCCCCAAGTATGCTTGGTTTTGATGTAACCTATTTAATTTCCTTATATATATATTTCATTTCTTCTTTTCTAATACTCTCCACTTGTTCCCATGTGATGAATTTCTGGATCACAATATCTAAGTTATAAATTGATGCATGAGATATATAGTTCTATATCGTAAAATGCGAGGTTACCACTGTTTATCCACCAATACATTATTAGACCTAACTACCGGAGGTCGCCGAAGAAGTTGATTTACAAGGATCGACAGAGCATTTTTATCCAACATGCCCCACCTCGTATTAATACCCTAATGCCGGTTGTGCCGATCGTGCAAGACGAAATAGACACAGAACTATTCCTGAGTGCCGCGACGACCGAGAAGATACTAAAGAGTCAAAATGTATGGATAGGAAGTGATCCGATAGCCCACTTGGAAGTTTAACGGGAGGAAATTAAAACGTGGGAATAATAAATCCACTATAGAAACAAAGGGGAAAAAATGTCGCCTGAAAATCCAGTCCATCTATAGCTGAACTCGAGCCGCGATATGGTCGTTCGTAGTGCTGATTGGATCTACACAGCCGAACTAACGCCCTTAGCTTCGCAGCCCGTGTCGGAAATCTCTACAACTTGATGATCCACTCTGATCTGTGCAACGTTTTTTTTTTTCTTGACCCTTCACTTTAGATATACAGTGGATCTTTCAGCTGGCATCTCTGCCTCGGCGCCCCAGGTGTCTAGTTCATATGTCAATTGCCGACAGGGTCGACGAGGCCTGCATTTATGATTTTCGGTCTTTGCATGTAGTCTCTGAAAGCAATGAAAGTAAATTTTGTAGGGAGTACTTTTTGTAACTAGTACTTGTGTTAGATCCCTGTGGGGCCATTAGGGCTGTCCACGGGTAATTCCCGGCTTATTGTACGAGTACGGAGTATATATTGCGAGTCTTGTATATTAAGTATAAAACAATAGAAATTGATTCTTAGAAATAACTAATAACATTTTAAACAGAAATACAACCCAAAAAAAAAAAAAGAGGGGATATCGTAGCTATAACCAAAACCACGCAATAAAATCCAAACTCATTTTTGTTTCTTCACAGAAGGCAGTACTCACGACCAGCGCTGTACCTACCATCTCACACAAGCCCCTCTATTAAAAAGAATCATACAAAGCCCAAGGCTCCCAACCACCCATGAATCAGTAGAAGGCAAAAATCCGAAAAAAAGGCTCCCAACCTCAACCCCATGCGACATGCATTCGTTTCCGTTTCCATTCTTATTTTCGTTTCATATCCGTTTCATATCCCCATTACCGGCCCGCGACCCAGCGATGGATTGCCTCCAAGGATGGATCATCGTCAAGCCAGTGACCAGCGCGTAGATCAGCAGCTCGCAAGTCCGCCACGACATGCTGATCCGTGAAGCGAGCCAGATCCTGATGGAGGGTGGCAGTTGTGCTCTTCAACTGGGCCGTTGGATTGGAGCCGCGGAGAGCGCTGGCGCGGGTTATGGCCCATCGCCGGGCTGCGGCGGCGCGCAGGTAGATCTTGTGCGCCTGGAATCGGCGTGCACTGCTGTCCAGGATGACTCTGTAGAGAGACCATTAGCGTCTTGAAATGATGAAATACTTGGAGGCTGAGAGGGAGAAATATATATGTATATATATACATACCTTCGTAGCTCGGCTTTCTCGGTCTCGACGTTCCCTTGCCCTGTTACCGGACAGGCTTGGTAATTGGCGGACATTAGGGTCTGGGCTGAGGCTATGGACTCGCGGAGTACTACGAAGCCATCTTCCCAGTATTCTTCTTGGGATGCTTCGACATTTTGTTGCGAGATGTGGAGCAGGAGAGTGCGGTAGTCGTTGATTATCTCTGCGACTCGCATAGCGCGGGCTTGGTTCACTGCACGATTATTAGCAGTTTGTTTCGGTGATTGGTTGAGATGATTTTGGAAAGTAAGCTTACATCCGTCTGCCATGTTTCTGGTAGATTAAGTATATAAAAAGGATCAGACGATGGACGAGTAGGAAGAAGGCAAAAAGCAAGTATAAAGAATGGATATCAACGATAGCCAATGAGAGATGAAATAAAGGCAATAGTCAGAGGAACTGATGGTCCATGAAGTCGAGATTGTTAGGCCACCAACGGTTCTTGGGGGAAGTAGGAAAGATATAAGTTGTTCAAAGGTTGTGGTGTGTCTCTCTCCTTACCCCATACATGACAATCCTCAATAGGTGGACCAGAAAAGGAAAAAAAGCCAGAATAGTACAAAATAATAATAATATGAAACCAAGGATTTATCAGCCCGCTACAGCGGAGCCGACGTCAGGATACATCATCACCAAGAGAACGAACTGCACCAATAGACGGGCAAGATCCCACGATCAGGGAGCTCGGGTTGTCAAGCACAGCTGGGATGGGACCGGGCAACACCATAAGCTCCCGAGAAACCGTTTACGGCATGACTAGGACCATCCCTGTTCCGAGGAGATGGATCGGTGGAGACAGTTAGGGAGACAGGAAGGAGGGCCCAGGAAGGAGGGCCCATATGTCGCATGGGAAAAGAACTGGCCTATTGTCTTTACAGTATTCCGAGCTGTGGATTTGAAGTGGAGAGAGTTGTCCCGCATATGAGATTAGGTTCCTGTGCGACCGATTTGGGGATTTTCGTAAGAAGAGACAGATGGTGTTTCATGATGCTGATTGGAGAGTATGAATGAACTACTCAGTGGGGAACCATACTTTTTTTTCTCCCTTTTTTTTCTTTTCTTTTTCCCTTTCTTTTTTTTTTTTTTTTGCGATGCATCATGGCTCGTGGGACCCCTGTTAAAATCCAGAGACATAGAGCAAGGGCAAAAAAGTCGAGACCTCAGCCTTGGACCTGCATTAGACGAGATCTGCTCGACGTGTAGTGGATCTGACAGTTAGGGTGAACATGTTCAGCTGATATTTGCCACACTTATTCTTAGCCTGGGACTCTTACTATTAGCCACTTTAGTCTCCCCTAGCCTCTCTAGTTCAATTGACAATACCAATCATATACCAAGAAAGACCATTGAGAAAGACCATTGGACGCATCGATGAATAATTTATGGGCTGTCAGGATCCAGCCACCGCTAAGCCACATGTGGCACCCCGCACAACAGACTCGTAGTAGTAGCATGCCCGTCCACTGTCTCCTTGCTTTTATGCACGTACGGAAGCTGTGATAAATCGGTAATACCGAATTTTCTATCTAAAAATTTTCTACGGGTGGCGGATTCTCCAGTAGTTTTGACAGGCTGGATATGGTCTCGGACCACCCGACGGGGTTACGCTATAGTATCCATAGGTAGTATCGATAAGAAATGGATTTATGCCCGAGTATCCATAATACCAGCGATAATATATGCATGTTTTAGTAGTATGGAGTCAATATGCAAGATGAGAGCCCCGAACATGGCCGAAAGTATACTCGTGCAGGAAACAATTGAGTTATCATTCACAGATCGTCTGCTTCTCTAAAATAAACACCGTTGTCCTTCCATTACTGGTCGATTACCTCCATAGCTTGCAGGCCCAGCTCGCTCAGTCCTTCTCGGCTATGGCCTGCAGCCGTTCATCAATCTCCTCTTCCGTCAGGGCACGGAATGCTGTAGTGGTTCCCTCCTCGCCATCGACCCGCGGCCCACCAACGATACCAATCTCAATTTCGTGCTTCTTGAAGTCAACACTTAGCACATTGCTGAGAGCTGTAATGCCCAGCTCCACAACCTCCTCCCAACTACCCGCGGCCGCATCCTTGTTCTTCAGCTTCTTCTCCAGGTAGTTCAACGCCTCCTGCTGCTTGGGGCCGGATGCTGTTGCCTTGTACCCAACGTAGTAACCGGCTGGGTCACACTTGTAGAGCTGCGGGCCGCTCTCATCATCGACGGAGATCAGGGTCGTAGCCACGCCAAGTGGTCGCATGTAAGCCTGGAGAGTTTAAAAGAGATACATGTCAGCCATTCTGTCTCTCTGGATGAGATGGTTGCACGGTGGCGGGGAACACATACCCTTTGTGTGTAGACTTGGTTGATATTTGCCAGACGCTTAGCCAGGACATCGCACGGCATCTCATATCCGAACTTGTACCGGAACTCAGCAGCCTCACCACGGGCCCGGTCGACAGATGCGCGAGCATCTGCTATGGAGCCGGTCATCACGCAGCCTACGGAAGGCGAGATCCGGAAAACATGTGAAACGGAGGAAGGGTCGATCAATTTGTCCTAGTAGACAGCAGATTAGCATGAGCGCAACCCCCAAGCTATAAATGAGGAATCCATCTTACAGCGACTTTCTTCTGCGAGAGCACCACGGCACAGTCCTTGCCCCTCACACCGATGGAGGTGATGTTGGCCGAAGTGATGGCCTTGAATGCATATTCTGGGAGATGTTTGGTCAGCGGTCATAATAACAGCGTACGGATTGAGACCGCTGAGCAGGCTGAGGTGGAATCGTTGACGAGTGGGCGATACATACCAACTTGGTACAATCGACCCTGGTCAGAGAAGATAGTGATATGTCTATCGTAGGCGCTTCCTGCGGAGAGAACCAAGGTCAGTCGGGGATGAAGTCATGAGGTTGGACTGAGCCATCATCAACGAGGGAGCATACCAGACATGACGGCGGATCTTCAAGTATTTTATAGCTAGATTAAGAGAAGCAAAGGAAAGAAATGAGGAAGGAGGGTCCGAGAGGATGAGATGATGGGGGTTGATCAGTGACGCGTGCCAGAGCTGCCTGAGCTCAAGCTTGAGGTCAGCTTCACCGCCTTCCATGTTCCTGTATCAACAGCCCTGAAGTTCACCAGCATTGGTCATGGATTTCCACTATTCGTGAGTTCGAGGTAGTTCACGGAATAACAAGGGCCTATAAGTTGATTTCTAGAAGCCTGGCCCAGATTTATTTTTGCTATTTTTTTTGTTCGATCTTGAATGCGTGAAATATCAACCTCGAAGAGAAAACGAACCATATAGATATCTACTACACATACTTCAATGCATATCCGGACGACACGAGGATAAAATGACTTTTGACATGAACATAATTACACCGTCCCAAATGCTGTGGTAGAGATATATACACATCCAAACCCTAGGTAGCAACCTGAATCCTATTTCGTCAGAACTATTCGCTGTCACTCTCGCTGCTCGAGATTTCGATCTGAGCAGTTCTGAGCTTTCGCTTCTGCGTCTTTTTCGGCACAGCAGGCTTAGGCTTTTCTTTGCGGACTGGTACAAACTTCTCCTTCTTCTGCTTGGCAGCCTTGGTCTCCTTAGGCACTGCAGCACCACTGGGGGCGGACGATGAAGGAATCTTCGCAGCACTCTGTTTGGCCGGGGCCGGGGCAGCAGACGACTTGTCATCACTATCACTGTCGCTGTCGCTGCTGCTGCTGCTGCTGCCGCTCGACGAGGTGTCGTCATCGCTATCAGGCGCGGGCTTGTTGACAGCCTTCTTGGGAGCCGGGGTATCATCATCACTATCCTCACTGCTGCTGCTGATATCCACAACCATAGTTCTGTTCTTCCGCTTCTTGTTGACCACGGGCTCGGGAGCCTTGCGTTTCGGTTTCGGCTTCTTCAAGTCCTCAGCGCTGAAAAGCTTGCCGGCAACAGCGAAAAAGACCAGCTCTGCTCGCTGCCTCTTCGGCAAACGCTTTTGAACGTCTCCCTCCAACTTTTCTCCGAAGTTGACGTTGTCCAGATCCTCATCTCCCTTTGGCAAGCACTCGCGGAACGCATTGATAGCTTCCAGGTACTCGGGGTTTGTTGAAGGCTCCCGGGTCTCCCCTTCTTCGTCTTCCTTCGGCTTGTCAAGGTCCATATCGGCCTTGATCACCTCCCCTCGCAGCATTGCTCATTCGCTCCTTGGCGGCATCACCCTTCAGGCCCTGCATGTACGCCAGCAGTGATGTATTGTACTTAGAGGGGACATGCTCAAGCGAGTACAAGTGCTTGAACAGGTTGGTTTCCCGGTTCTTTTGGAACTTCCATGTGGCGCGTGCTCGGTGGTAGTGGCTCAGGTACGAGAGAATAGGCGTCTCGTGGATTGGGGCCTCAGCCGAGGCGGTACCGGCTTTTCTTTGCTTCTTCTTCTCCCGTTTGCGCTGCTTCATCTCCTCGGCGGTCTTGTCTCCGGCGTCTTCGGTGTCTGCTTCGGCTCCGTCGGTTGCGGCAGCATCATTGCTGTCGACATCGTCCGACTCACTTTCAGAGTCGCCGTCGAATTCCTTTGTTCCGGGTCCGAATGAAACTCGCTTCTTCTTTTTCGTGTGCGATTCATCATCCTTGTCTTTCTGGTCGTTGTCATCTTCGGTATGGCGGCGCTTCTTCTTTTTCTTCATTTCGCCGTCGGTCTCGGGAGCCGCATCTTCGGAAATGGACTTGCGCTTTTTCTTGTCCTTCTTGTCGGACTTGGCGTCCTTTTTGCTGGGAGTGGACTCCTGTGCGCCTGCAATTCCCTCCTCTCCTGTAGAATCCTTCGACTTCTTGAGCTTCGATCCAAGCTTTTTCGACGCTGGGGACTGGACGTCCGTCTGGGGCGCCATCCTTGCTGCAGGCGGGTTGCGACAGGGCCTAACGAGAAACAAAATAGAATTGAGAGGAGCGTGACGCTCTAAAGAAGGCTGGAGTCTGAAGTTCAAGGCCTGTAAATGCGACCTCGACTGTGGTGCTGAGATGGTTGGGCGGAGACTACTTTTTTTCTGCCGATCAATTGCGCCAGCCAATCATATTGTCTCCTCTTTCTACATACTCCGAAGGGCTAACTATTTGGAAGGGAATTACCAATTGAAACATATCAAAATAATCAATATTGATGTGCAGGGTACGGAAACGTCGGTCAGAGAATTGTGCCTAATGGTCTTGATGTTGATGTACCAGTGATCTACAGGTAAAATCTTCAAGGAGCAAAGAAATGGAGATCTATTCACGGAGAAGAGGGAAACAGGAACCGCGATCTCCTATGGGACGCAAAGACGAACGAAGTTCCAGCAAACGGATGCTATTGAACAACTGGCTCCACAATACAATGTGTGATAATTTCTCATCTTGAGCATGTACGTCGTGGAGAGTCATGGACGTGGAGGGAACCTCAAAGGAAACAAACAAAGTACGACTGTATAACTTGTATGGCATTGAGAGTGGCAGAAGACTGTGTAAAGGACACATATGGACACGACAATAACATGGTACCTAGAGCATGCGCAATAGACAACTTCCTCTCCAAGTGCCCGGACAAGCCTTACAGTTGATAAAAAAGGGCTCGCATCGTATGGGGTTAGTGTAAGCCCAATGACACGGTGAAGCCAGACATAGTCAAGCTGTGAGGGTCAAAAATTGAGGTAGTCTTTGACTAGGGATCTCACCCGTGCACACTGGGGAGAGGAAAAAGAAGAAAAGAAATCTGGAAGTCGACCTTATTTATACTCCATGGCAGTTAAGGGCGGTGACTTTTCTGTCTATACTTGGAAGTCACGACCGAAGCCACCACTGAAGATCCAAGTCTATGGTCTGGCAGATTGTGACGTAACCTAGGTAGTTCTAGATCTAATGCCACGCCGCCTCTATCTCAGCCCCAAGTGGTTCTAAGGTTCCAAGGTTGGCAACTATAAATCGTACTAACACTGACATCGAGGAGTTTTACCAACTAGCTACCAATAGCCATTAGCCCAAGATATGATGAGCATTTATAGTAGACTAATAGAAATAATGTCAAAGTCTCGAGTCAGATTTTCAGATCAAGCTTTGTGCATGGACACGGGCTTCTGGTATCGAGATGTCTGTAGCATAGGGCGTATTAATGCATTTTAGGATGCCGAACTTATAGATCTGAACTCAGAAAGCCGCGTAGATCGAAGATCGAAGGTCTCGACGAGGATCATACATGGCACGGGGGCACCTAGCACTTCGACACTCTTCGGGTCGTTTTGATAAACGATGAATTCTTAGCATCTACATAGACGGCCTGCAGAATATGGGATGAGTGACTCTAGGGAGTTGTATGCTCCATCTGAAGATTGGCAACAAACTATGGATGATCGACTGGATTTGATGTTATAGATGGACAGGACCCAGATCTTGGCTAAAAGCTTGGCATGGGATAATTGAGTTTTATTGGCTGATATCAGAGAATAGAAGATCTCCCAGCGCCCAACCTCTTGTTAGCGATGAATTTCTGCATTCAATTGTATGATTTTGGTTGATTTTCTAGTATGTATTCAGCTCTTGATAGACTTGTATACACTTCAATGAAAAGAAAGATATCGTGGAACTCGTCAATCGCATTAATGATGCCCTCATAGGAGGAACGTGATAGCGGCAGACATCTATGTCCCAGTCCCGGAAGCAAACCCAGGATCATTAGCCCCAGTATCCCTCCTCTCTCGGCGAACCTCCTTCTGTACAAAGCTCTCAGTCCCAGATCCGGTAGCCGCTGCAGACGCAGCAGCCCTCCGTTTCGCCTTCTCCCTTTCCTTCTCCTTCTCCTTATCCCTGGCGCTCGGACCAGCCGCCTTCCGCCGTTTAGGCAGTTCATAGACATCATTGAAGTTCATCACAACGCCCAGGAAACGCATATCCACATCCGGCTGGTACGACAGATCGCCGAGGAGGACAGTCAGACGGGAGCGGAACTCGGCGGAGAGTTCGCGGAGGCGGACGCGAAGCGAGGCAAGCATGTTGTCGTCGGCGGCGAAGTTGGGGCCAGATATTGAAAGCGGGGTGTTGACACCATCTACCCCAGCACTATCGGGTCGGATGTCCGGGGAGGCAATTGATGTTCCGGCCCGGGTGCTGGATTGACGGGAGAGGAGATCACGCTCTGCGAGACCCCATTGACCCTGGGCGGAGCGAGTCTCGATCTTGGCGTTTATCTCCTGGCGGCGGGTAAATTCCGCAACGGAGAAGGAGTATAGGCCGTCCACGGCGTCTTTGTAGGCAAGCATGAATTTGAGAATCTGGTGGAGCTGACTGAGGAAGCTTTCTTCGGGTTGTTTGGCGGAGGTTGAGGTTGAGGTGCCGTAGCGTGAGGAGGATGCAGATCCTAGTAGACCCTTGTGGGTGATGGAGTTGAGGTATTTGGTGTGTGCTTCGATAAGGTCGTCCAGTGTGCAGTCCGGTCTCCGGATGGCCTCGAGTAGTTGTTCCCAGCTGGACTCGATGACTTCGAACAGGATATAGTATTGGAGCTGATTGACGAAATGGATCATTTCTGCAATCACGCAGCGTGCTCGCTTCCAGTCTGCTCCGACTTTGTCTTCCACGTTGCCTAGCACTCCTCGTGCACCTGTCATGCATCGTCGCCAGGTACTGTTGAGTGCAAACTCAACTCGCTTGATGCGCCAGAGGAAGTTGAACACTTTCAAGTATTGAGTTGACGCCCAGGGTGTGATGACCACGTCCACGGGAGCGTCGATTTTATATTCCAATGTGAAGCAATCCCATCCAATTTCACCGTGGCTTAGCTCGAGCATACGGGCATCAAGCCGGCGCAGCACTTCTGGGGTGTCGTATTGTGCATTGGAGGCACGGATAGCATGTTCCAGCTGTGCAGTTAGGGTATGTCGGTATTGTGAATTTGCTGGGCGATCCAGATTTGTGGCAAGCGATTCCATGAGCAAAGCAATGAAGTCTCCTTGGCCCAGTAGCAGGTAACTCTTCAGTGCTTTTAGATGATCGAATAGGTTGAATTTTCCATTCATTAAGGAAATCAATCGAGCCATTGTGGTCTTATATGCCTCATCAATGGAGATCTCGAGAGTGGCAGTGTCACCATATCGAAGCTCCTTGGAGGCTTTCTTTGAATAAGCTTCCACCCACGCTGAATCACCGCAGCCATGGCGGATGAAGTTCAAGGATTTTCCAATCAAGAAAATCTTCTTCGCAAACTCCTGAGTGATGATTGAAGGTAGCATGTCATCATCAAGCTTATATTTGTCCTCCCAGACGCTAGTTGCAAGCCGCCGAGGGTCAGTCTTGGGCCGGAACTCTGGATCAGCGACAAAGAATTCCTTGTATGGATCTGACAGTTCACCATCATAAATCCATAGTCGTAGCATATCGTAGAATGGGCGCGTCACATGTGCAAGAAGTTTCTCGGCGAATGCGCACACGAAGGGATCTCCGTGGGATGTTGAAAAGCCGTGTATTAAGGAAATCAACTGGCCACCCCTCTTGCCTATGATATATGTGTCAGCCATTAAGAAAGTCTAGTCATTTGTCTGTGCACTCACTCTGAGCCTCTTCCACAATCAAGCTCATCAGCCGAAGGGCCATCGTAGCATCTCTCGTCCACACCACACACCGCTTCAAGGTAACGCCACCCTTTCGTACACCTTGAGGCTCGGTTCCATCTCCAATCGCGGCCAGCGCCTGTCGGATTTCCGCCTCTAGTGTAGCCACCAAGCTAAGATATGCGCGCAGCTCAACGGCAATGGCAGCTCGCAAGCTCTGGTTCACCAGTCCACCTTCTTCGCCCCCCACAAACACAGACAGTCCTTTATAAAGGAGACAAGGCTCCGCCAAGGTGTTAAGAAGTGAAGTTATTGGCGCAGATAGATTGGAGGGTAATTTCAAGCTCGACGAGGAACTAAACTGCAGATTCGACGAAGACAACCCTTGCAAGTTGAACGGAAGGTCGCGCAGGAGCCTATTCTCAACAGACCCAGACATTTTGGCTGGGCCCGATGGATTAGCACTCGAGGGCCGAGGCGAAGCAGCACGAACATCCTCATCGCCGGAACGATCATTCACCCCAGCATCAACGCGGGTGGCTGGTATTTCAGTCGCGCTGCGCCCCGCCTGGTCTATAACATCACGATCGATATCATGTCGCAGTGAGCTCTGCCGCTCCATCTTGGGCGGTAGTACGCGTTGGTGTTGCTGCGAAGCCGACGAGCTGACGGCGGGGCCCTCATCCTCCGAGTCGATCATCGTACCCCGTCTTGGACGTGCACCACCCTTCCCCAGCATATTGTGCAAATGCGCCTCGTCCATCAACGGGCTCCGGCTTCGTTCCCCGCCCTCCATTGGCTCATCCGAGGCAGACAACTTATATAGCAAAAAGAGGATACCCCATTTCTGCGACAGCACAGGCTGCGTCAGAAGACGAGAGTAGAGATTCGAAAACCGCACCGCCTTATCCGGGCTGACATTTTCGCGGCGCAGCTTGCGCTTAATCAGATCTGGCGCGTTGTTAATGCTCTCTGTTCCCGCGAGACTTCCGCGGCGTCCACCAAGCCCCGCTGGTGATCCTGGGTCCGGGGCGTTGGTGCTAGCGTGGGTGTCGAGGATGCGCCAGGCGCGCTCCATGAGGACATGGTGACGGCGGCTTTCGGCTGAGGCGAGGGCTTCTTCTGTGTCTGAGTAGTCCTCGTCTTGGATGGCGGAGATCGGGAGCGCGGGGGTTAGGCCGTCGACTAGCTGGGAGAGGGCGTCATCTAAGCGGCGCCCGCGTGCAGGGTTTCGGGCTGGATTTGACATCGTCTGCCCGGTGCCCTAGTGGGCGAATTGTTCGGTATCTTGTATCTGTTCGCTCGTGGTTGGCGTCTGTGGGTGCTTTGTTTGCGGAGGAATTGTTGGGCAAGAAGAGATCGCTCAGGCAGCGGGTTAGGGAAGAAGGTCGCGAACCAAGCCTGATACTAGACTGTAAAGTTTCAACACACGTCTAAGATGATCCCTCCAAGTTGCATTTCAATGGACGTAACGCGGACTCAAGCTTGAAGCTTGAGTGTTTGTGTTTGTGATGTTTGGCGTGTGTTGGTGCCAATTCCCTAAGGCATAATCCTTATCGTCCTATCGCTATCTGAGCTTGCCCTTACCCGCCCGGCGATATGATATCTCCCTGTCATGTAAAAGTCCATGGTTGTTACTACAACGCATCTCGAGACTCACAACTCCATGTCCTTTCTTTATAATATAGGTCCTCTGGGATGTCTTACAGGCTTCTCCTTGGGTTAGTTTTCCACAACAATTAGATATCTACACATGAGCCCATCTACATAGTTTAAAACCGCAGTATGGCCTTCACCGACCAATCATGGAATTATGCATCATGGAATTTGCGCAAGGAACTTGGGCCCTTCGGTCCCAATTCCAGCAGTTGTTGAGCTCAGGCTCAGCAAATGCACAGTCAAAGTATAGCCAACGTGTACGCAACACTGCGGGCATGACTCGGGGCATTTTAGAGCAGACCCGCTATAGTGACGTCCATGATCATACAGGATCTGTAGGATTTGGAGCCACCCCAGAGGCGACCCTAACAAAGCCTTAATTGCTTAAATTTTTTTTTAGTGTTATCTCTATTCTTCCTATTCTCTTCCCTTTCTCTTTCTATGTCCCTGTTTTAGTAAATCAAATGTGCAATCTCCCAATATGGGCACAGGCACATCTACCTCTGCGACCGCGCGACCATTTTTCAGAGTACTAGGCAACGCAAAGCTCAAATTACTTGCTCTGTTCTTAACCGTCTCGACCATCCTCCTACTCACACTATTCTCTTCGCGGGGTTTATCAGAGGACATCTCACCTAGCACGAAAGACGAGCTTGCGAACGAGAAGGACTACTGGACATGGGAAACAAGCACCCGGTTCCGGAAACCCAAGCACGGAAATGACAGCGATGACACCGAGAGTTCGCAAAGTGCGACCTGTGACGCTTTCCCATCAGACGTGCTATCGCGCATTCAGATTATCTTGAAAACCAGCGCAACCGAAGACCCGAAACGAGTCGACACACACATGGCCTCTGTAACCCGCTGCATTTCCAACTTGCTAGTTATATCAGACAAGGAAACCAAGCTCCATGGCCATCGTGTGCACGATATTCTAGCTGATCTGCCCCCCTCGGCCCGGAATCAGACTCCGGAGTTCGAAGCGTACGAAGCACTACAACGCGGTCAGAGCAACATCGACGGCTCAGCAGGGTGGAAACTCGATAGATTCAAGTTTCTGCCCATGGTGGAGCGTGCTAAGAAAGTGAACCCCGGAGCGGAGTGGTACGTCTTTCTCGAGACGGATACTTACTTCGTGTGGGATAACCTGTTCCGAATGCTGGAACAGTTCGATCCATCATCCCCTCTTTATATGGGATCGCCTGCGCCAGGCCGCGATATCGGTGATGGGAAGGTCAATTGGTTTGCATACGGTGGCTCGGGCTTTGTGCTATCCCGAGCTGCGGTTGATATATTGGTGGCGCGGGAGGTTGGTGAATATGGGCAGTTTATTGGGCAATCGCTTAGTGGCCAGTATATGCAGGCTGTGAAAGATGACTGCTGTGGTGACTCTGTGCTTGGGTTTGCGCTGTATGAAAAGGGCATTGAGTTGTCTGGGATGTGGCCGATGTTTAATGCGCACCCGCTGGACTCGATTCCGTTTGGTGATGATCATCACTGGTGCCAGCCTGCGATTAGTATGCATAAATCACAATTGGGTGATATGACCGGGCTGGCGGACTGGGAGGATGAGCGAGATAGAACGGTATGATGCGTTTTGCTGAGCCTACTGGCTGATAAAAGTGCTAATTCATATCACAGAAGCCCCTACTTTACGCAGACTTGGTTGACTACCCTCGTCTGGGACAGTTGTCAGAGCGAAAAGGATGGGATAATGGAGCCTGGGGTGGAATCATCGAACAACCTGATACTCTACCCCAACATGAATCATTAGAAGCTTGTCGCCAGGCATGCCATGACCGGGATTGGTGTATGTCTTACACTTATGATACTGCTGGAGTCTGCGTGTTTGTGCGGAGCCTGCGACTTGGAGCAAAGAGCAAGCTGGAAATTTCCGAGCAATTCACGGCAGGATGGGACAATGATAAGATCCAAAATTGGCGGATGAACAACACGTGTGAACAGCCCATGTGGATGAAGCCGAGTTTGACAAGAATTTTCTAGAATTTAGATGTGTACACGACTTTGAAGGGTTTACTATAAAACGTTAATAAATGATATACGATGTCTGAAGATACGACCCCTATAGATCCCAGAGCTACAAGACACCCAGCATATACTAAATGAAGATCTACAAAATTGCATAACACACTTAGAAAGCGATTGTTGATTCATTTGCCCAACCATCTGGTTCAAGGAAACTAGTCAAACATCAAAAAATCACAAAAGCCATCCGTACGCCACCCAGGAATCATGTATTTCGACACAAGCAACCCACACTTGGGAAAACAAACAATGCACCGATGTGCCCTCAAGTATTAGACAAGCGAAAGGTAAAAAGTTCCTCTGAGCCATCAAGGAGGAGGATTAAAAAGAAGAAAAGCGAAGGGTAAAAAAAATACAACAAGGGAAAGGGGAAACATCATAAAGCAGAACATCAACCTCGAAGCAGCCATAAATCGAAAGAAAGCATCTCATACGCCGAGTTGACACACCCTCAAAAAAGGTCATTCCAGACCACCTAGTCCGTCCATTTTTGAGTCGTGAGGATCATTAACACCTGCCCATGCCAGAACAATCGGCGGAGCCTTAGCCGAAGGAAACCGCGAGGAAAAACAAACTCCTAGGAAGAAGAGATCAACCGCCGGATCTAAGCAGTGAACCGTATTTCCTACATGCGGCGAAAAGCACGATAGGTATCTTGAGATGAGAAACAAAGCAAGTTATCTCATCGACGCATGCCCTGTGTAGGGATGCCACCGGGCTGCATGCCCATGTTAGGCGGCATATTATACCCGTGGTGATCATATCCGGCTGACATGCCGTTCATCATGAGGGGGCCGAGTCCCTGGGCCTGAGAGACCGGGCAATCCTTGTGTGCCAGCAATAAAGTCTTGAGGTTGACAATCTCTTCACGCAGCTGAGTCACTGTAGCAGTAAGGGCATCATTCTCTGAGGTGAAAAGCTCAACCTTGTTTTGGAGGTTAGCCAGCCACTGCTTCTTCCGTTGACGACATTTCAAAGCCGCGACACTGTAGCAAACGTTAGTATCCCAAGTTCCCGAATATATTAAGGCCGGATCATTCATACCGATTCCGCTCCAGGAAATTGCGTCTTTTCTCCTCATCAGTCATCTTCTTGGTATCCATTGGGAATTGTTTCATATCATCGTCATCGTCCTCATCATCCATATCCGAGGGCATCTCCGTGTTGGCTTTGGCCCTTTTGTTGGATCCCTTCGGGGCATCTTCGGCCTTGCGGCGGTTATTGGCAGCAGGGGCCTTAGCGGCACTCTTTTTGCCCTTACCCTTAGCGGGTTTAGCGGGTTCATGATCAGATGCATCCTCAACACTGGTACCATTGGTGTTCTGGGAAACACGTCGGGTTGCAGCACGGGTATCATTTGGCATCTGGGCATGGTTCATCGGCGCATTGTTTGCCTGGCCACCCTTTGCCAGCATGAACAGTCCATTCGCCGCATCAGCCGCATCATGCTGAGTGAAGTCAGCGGGCCGAGCTGGTTTTACATCCATATTAGCAGCAGCTTGTTCCTGCTCGTTGGGGTTGGAGGTGGGAGCATTCGAGTTGTTCTTCTTCGCTGTGAGTGCGGTGCGATGGAAATCAATAGTGGAAGGAGTGGCACCGCCGTTCTGAAGTTGTTGCAAGAGAGCTTGTGAGTTAGGACTGGGGGCCGGGAACATGGAACCTCCACCGCCAGGTGTCAGTCCCGTGCGGAGAGATGACTCGTTCGGGGTAGGGAAACCACGACCGATACTGTCGAAGTAGTCATTAGGGCCGGTGGGCCCAGGGAGCATAGCCGGGCTAAGAGGTCCCGAGCGGAGGGAGTTGTTCCAATTGTAACCACCAGTAGTAGAGGTTGTTCCAGGTAAGGCCGGTGAGGTGAGCGCAGCAACAGAGGGAAGAAGCGATTTGCCTGGAGTCTCGGCCGGATTCCCTCCGAACGATTGCTCAAATGGATTGGGCTCTAGCGAGAAAGGATTGTGCATGGAACTGAAGTAGTCCGGGGTATCAGACGCAGTAGGCGCACCCGGTCGTGGAGGCGGCGCCAACGAGGTCTGAGGCTCTACGTTAGATTTCTGGTCGTTCTGTGAAGACGCGGCCTGCGAGTCTGACGGGGAGAGTTCGAGTTAGCAACGCGCCAAGAATTAATGCGATCGCAAATAGGTACCACTGCGGTTTTGGGATCGAGTTGGGGGCTTCATTGTGGAAGATTCATGTGTTGGTGGGGAGGAGATCAATGACGCCAGTGGGTGAAGTCATCGCGACGGCAAATGGACTTGGGGAATTTAAGGATCGGGGGAGCAGTGGCGTATTACCAAACCAAAAAAGGGGACTTTTTCTTTTCTGGAAGTATAATGCAGAATATGAAATAAGGTAGAGAAACATCCATATGGAATCACAGTGTAAAGCAAAAGTACTAGAAAAATGCGCAAATGTAAAAAAGCGTGACACACGAACCTTCTTTTTCCTTCTTCGAGTCCATGGGGGAAGACATGTTTGATCGAAGAGTCGATACAGCTGGGGCGACCGCAGCAGACATCGGGCTTATTCGAAGATAATAGATATAAAATGCTGCAAAGCCAAACAAACAATGGGCTTTCTGGGAGAGTGAGAGTGAGAGTGAGAGAGGAAGAGAGTGACGTAGGGGGAAGAGGGATATGATGAAATTTAGGGAATTGGGGGATTTTGGCAGTTGAAAAAGAAAAAATACACAATTACGGTCAGGTACTGTATTTGAAAAAAATTGGACCTCAAATTATATGGGTGTCCAGCATATTCAACATACATGACGGTAACTGTCGTTCTCCGAATCAGGTTCGAGCTTGGTTTCCACCATTTTGTATTTTGTACTTTGTACACATTAAAATGTTGCTATTGGTACTCTTCTAATCTTCGTATTTGCCTGTTCGGTCTAAATGGGGTGCTACCCTCCCCATCTCAGACATTCTATACCATAAAGAGACACCCTTACCTAGGATTTTGACCATAAGGTGGAGAATCGGTTGAATAGGTCAATCTTCATTTGCCATGGAGAGCGGAGTCAACCTGATCCAATATCACTGGCTCAAAAAGAGAACAAAAAGGAAATTGTACAATCGCGAGTCGACTCTTCGCAATCCTTGTACCTACTGGTAGAGAGTCGATGCTTGCATCTTTGATACAGAGAGTTTCCAAGGTTGGTCATCCCAGTATTATTCATTATGTCACGGTGACGACAGAAATCTCTCCCGCTGTGGGTCAGATGCACCCTTTTGACCAATAAAAGAACATAATTCCTCAATGCCAAGATGAGGATTTCACCTAACCCAAAGAATGCGGTGAAAATGATGACGCAATCGATGGCACGTGAGGATCCTATCTATCTTCAAGGTTGCCACTGGAATTCTACAAGTCGTAGATATGTTGATCTCCCATATGTGACCGAAATCTAGGTGTACATATTATATATGCTAAATGGGGACAGGAAAAGACTATATTGTATCTGACCAAGGTCTGTACATTATTATGTATGTGTAGAGCCTGTATCACCTGTTACCGGCCCCCAACAGGACATTATTAATCAACGGCAGTCCACGGGTGTATCCATGGGTACTCCATACAACATACGCGTCGTATGCATACGGAGTACGGAGTATACAAGATCGCGTCTGGCCCAGGCGGCACTTTGTACATTACATAACATTGTTATTTAGGGATGTATTACCCCTGACATTAATGCAAAAGACCCCGGGGCCTACCATATGCTCCGTAGGCTAGGTAGTAACTAATTAGTATGTGATATCAATCACCTTCTACATAGTAGTGTCTCGAGAGCATACCATCGTATAGATCATTAACAATCGTAATTTTGAATATCAATGCGATAATTGCAAAGAGTGGTCTAGCCCAAATTAGCCATTTGATCACCATGCCAATTGGGCGATTTCGTCGGGATTGAGGGTGGTGGAGAGTTCCAAGGTTTCCCCACAGTCTTGGTATCCTTCAACCTTGATTGTACGTATGTGCATCACCCGTCGATTGTGAGACAGGTCTAACTGCAACGACTCAGCTTGGACATGACTCTCAATGCATCTTGGGAGCTTGGTGCTTATCAAGTAGTAGCCCAAAATACCTATCGAGCCACTCAAAATTACCTGCATTGGATGAAACATTCGACTATATTTAAACTCCATATATATGCCAAAAGTTACTAACACACAGTCAAGATAGTATTACTTCACAGGAAGTAATTTCCAAAAGCAGGTTGCCGACTCGAACTCTTAAGGGCATAGCCAAGCACTGCAATATCAACCCTTTTTCAATAAGGTATAATTGATAGAAGATAAAAATATCAAGGTTTGACAGGATCTTCAGTGTATCCACAGTTCGTCTGAAGGAGTCCAAGTAATCTGCCTGCTGTTTCTCATTCCGAGAAAATGAACTATGGATATTATTCAATAGGAAGATGTTATCCTCACCTGCGCAGTTCACCCTACAGCCTACATATATCTAAAGAAACATAAAGCATAAAGCTTTTAGACAACAAATGAGCAATAAAAACCATAGCCAAGATCCATGCTTCAGAATAACACCTTTGCAATAGAGATAGCCCATTGACATCCATTCACCAAACCCTGGAGAGATTGCAATATTTACATAAAAAAAAGGAACCCTCATTTATACCAAAACTTCACGAACCCCGATAAGTCGAGTAGTTCCAAGGACCCAGGAGGACAGGAACATGGTAGTGGCGCCAGCCCTCCTCGCCCTCACGGCCACGTCCCTTGACAGTGAACTTAACCTCAACCTCTGGCCAGAAGCTCTCGACGCCCTGGGCCTCGTACCAGGGACCCACGTCAAAACGCACAGACCAGTTGGTCTTGCTGTCTGCAGCAGGCAGAGCAGCCAATATAGCAGGGACTGATTCTGAGGCTGTTCCAACTGGTGTCCAGTTGGCGACGCGGCCGTCGGCGTTCGTAGTTGCGCGGAACGAGATGCCGCTGGTGGCGGATGTCGGGGCGGAGAGGAGGGTTAGGGTCACTGGCAGGTTGGCTGCGGGTGTCCCTGATAAAGTGTTGAGGCAATGGCAGGTGATGGGATCGCGCGCTGCCATGGTGGTTGGTTGTTGCTTGACTGGGACTGAGTCTTTGGTGTGCGGGGCGGGGGAGATTTGTTGCTGATAAAGTGCGAGGCGGTTGGTGGTACGACCAATTTGTTGGTTATTTTGAGGGGAGTCCATTCATTCAAAGGGAAGGTGGGAATATAGGAGAAGGAAAAAAAAGGGGAAAAGAAGAAGAATGCCCTGGAAGGAGGAGCTCTACAGTGCTATCAAAGGTTCATCGGAGGATACCGATGGCTGCGGAGAGTGCCATGCAACTATCAATCGGGGATCCATGACTCGCGCATGAATATTCTATAGCCTCTTCGCTTCCTAATTTAGTGACTATCTGTAGTAAATAGAATTATCTCTCTTGTGAGAACTTAAGTAGGGTAAATTTGTGGGTTCAGAGACGAAGAGCTCCCACGACCATAGGAACCTTTTCAATTAGTAGATGAACGGGGCTAATTATAACTCTACCTAGATATATTGCATCTAAGGCCAATTGCATGTATCTAACATAAAATATAAAAACACCCAGAGAAAGTTGAAAGGGTTATGATGTGAAAGTCTTGCCTTCCGGAAAGTTCGATTTTGCGGGGCAAACTTGGGAACTCTTGAACTTCCAAGCTCCCAACTTCGCAACATACAGAACTTCAACAAATCATACACAATGTCCTCCGCCGTGGTAAATGGCGACGACCTCGACATGGAGCCTACGCTCCAGTCAGTTCTCAACCAAAACACTCTCCGTTGGATCTTCGTCGGAGGAAAAGGAGGTGTGGGTAAGACCACCACCTCGTGCTCGCTGGCCATCCAGCTGGCCAAAGTCCGCAAATCCGTCCTCCTCATTTCGACCGACCCCGCACACAACCTGAGCGACGCTTTCGGTCAAAAGTTCGGAAAGGAGGCCCGTCTGATCGATGGCTACTCAAACCTGAGCGCGATGGAGATCGACCCCAATGGGAGCATCCAGGATCTGCTCGCTACCGGAGATGGCCAGGCCGAAGATCCCATGGCGGGATTGGGCATGGGAAACATGATGCAGGATCTTGCTTTCAGCGTAAGTGCTTATTCCATTGTCGCGCAATACACTCTACGTGTCAATCTAACTCTTGGTGATGGCAGATTCCCGGTGTTGACGAAGCTATGTCGTTCGCCGAAGTCCTAAAGCAGGTCAAGTCACTCTCCTACGAAGTCATCGTGTTCGATACCGCGCCCACCGGCCACACCCTTCGATTCCTCCAATTCCCCACCGTACTCGAGAAGGCGCTAGCCAAGCTCTCCCAGCTCTCCACCCAGTTCGGTCCGATGCTCAACTCGATTCTGGGCGCCCGTGGTGGTCTACCCGGAGGTCAGAACATGGATGAGTTGCTGCAGAAGATGGAGTCGTTGCGTGAGACTATTAGCGAGGTCAACACGCAATTCAAGAACCCAGACATGACCACCTTTGTCTGTGTATGCATTGCAGAGTTCTTGTCGCTCTACGAGACGGAACGTATGATCCAGGAATTGACCAGCTACAACATCGATACCCACGCAATCGTTGTCAACCAGCTGCTGTTCCCCAAGGAAGGAAGCGGCTGCGAACAGTGCACTGCCCGGAGAAAGATGCAGAAGAAGTACCTCGATCAGATTGAGGAACTCTATGAGGATTTCAATGTGGTCCGTATGCCAATGCTTGTTGAGGAAGTTCGCGGGAAGGAGAAGTTGGAGAAGTTCAGTGAGATGTTGGTGACCCCATATGTGCCTCCGCAGTAAAGGCGATGTCGATGCGAGATATTTTGTTTTCGCTCATGTCGGACGAATTATGAAAAGACTAGAGAATATTACATGAAGCGCCTTGTGGACTAAGATTGGTTTGAACCCCACGTAGACACCTCGGGAGCATCCGGGCTAACAGGCATGAATGTGTTCATGCATATTCTGTCACATCCTAACGCTCCGTGATGAACCTCTTGATTACATCTCGGTCGATCGGAGATACAGCACACACAATTCTGAACTAAATGATATCGGACCCCGATTAATATATATCCTCGAGAGAGGAACTCCAATCGTCCCCGCACCTAAGCTCCTCTCCATCTGCCATGTGTTTCGAAAACCAATGACCCCATATACAATATCGTCTTGGCAATACAGAATTCATGCCATTGAGGCGAGTTCATACCCTAAAAGCGAGAGCTGCAGATATTCTCGCTGCAGCTTAGTGGCCCCCGCGATCTAAAACTACAATCCGTGGTGCCACGACACCACCGCAGTCCACCGCAGTGAGCCAATTTGGCGCTGCATAGGTTTGAGAATCTGCGGTGAGAGAAAAGGAGACGTCAGAACTGATTTCCTTCCTCTTCCAAATACTCCTACAGGTGCACTGTCCACTCCTTTTAGGGGAATACCCCAATTCTATGCGCCTTGAGATTGATTCGAGGCCGATGCTCCTCCATGCAAGCCTCACTTTCGTCCAAGACCGGGTCCTCGGTAGTAAACAGTGGGAAAAGTGGGCAGACCAAGATCCCGTCCCATTTTGACGGTCAGAAGCTGCAAATTGACACACATCAAGGGAGGGCAAAAAGGGTTGGGCCTCGTTGGTTGATAAAGTGAGGCGGGTGGTTCTCTTGTCCTCCGCCCCCGAACATTCCGACATGAACCCTCCTCTCGAGATCAAGGCACAAGATCTGGGCCGTTTCTGGTGATTCTCCACTGGTTTCACTTTCTGATTCTTGCCGCCCTCCGTGGACACTCGCTTGAGTGTTACCGAATTCGTGGGTAGCCGGTTGGTTTCATTTGCCTATGTGCAGCCGACCTTGTGGATCGTGCTGTTCGATGAAGGGGGGGGATGCGCGGTCCCCTCTGCCGTTGACCTGTTGTGAGACCATATTCTCCGAAGGATCGGGGCCTGCATTTTCAATAGAGATTTGTCTTATGCATCTCCGTCTCTGGTTGAATTGTTATTTGTTGAACTAGGGTATCAACCAACCTATTTATACTCATGTCTCATCCTTCTGAGCCGTGCCCAAAGTCCCACAAAGAGCTTCTAGGCACGGTCCGTTTGTGTGTCGGTGTCGACTGACATCAGACCATAGCCCTTTCTTCGCCCCGTCTCGACGCCTCACCCCTTAGCCTTGATAATGGCTCCTGTCCAGCAATACTGGCTTCCGGGATATGGACTGTCCCGACATATTGTCTTAGGCCATATCCATTACTTCCTTGGACCAAGTGCAACAGTTAGACCCTACAGCTACCAGGTATGTCTTGCCATTGCTTCTACTACTCCCCTCTATGTGTGGCTCATTCTAACAAGATATCATTGCAGGGACGCGATGGGTATCTCATCAATGGCGTGCCACTCACGCGGGTTTGTTTCCCCTACCTTTATTTGAACATGAATCGAACCTGGAGAAGAATAATCGAACATCGTTGACTCTTTCGAACAGGAACAAATTGATGATCTCGCTGTAATGTCTCGAGAGTACGAAAAGCAGGAAGCTACTCGGATGACCCACAACACCAGCGGCTCCTCCACTTCTAGCTCCAGCAGCGACAACCCAGCAACTCAGTCTGAGCCGTACATCAATGAGATCATCCCTATTAATCAACCTGGAACACGCAGGCGTGCATAACCAGACTCACGAGGCGGTCGTCGAGCCCAATTTTGTTTTCTTGGTTTCATCCATTGGACTCGCTGTTTTTTTCCTACCTCTTGCCTCCGTTCTAGGATTCCGTCTACGAGGAAGGACTTTCCTGCATGGCCGCCTAATACTGCTCCGTTTGACCCTTTCCCTCCTTAAGCCTCGTTCTTCGTGCCCCGGAGCATCTCGTGGATTGCAGATATTGGCCACATAGATATTCAACCCCTGACTTTGTTACCCAGGTGAAATCCTTGGACTACAGGAACTCCGATGGACCAGTGGAAGGAATGGAACACTAATCCTGCCCAGGTGGGATGGAGGCGGCTCTTATGGGCAATGGGGGTAGCCCTGTTTTGAGCTGATAGAAATATGTGTCTTTCGTCTCGTTTTGATATACCCTTCTCTCTTACTTCTCGTGGTCTTGATGCCTATTAGTTGTCATAACGCCAAATCTGATTTTGAATACATTGGAATCTCGGATTTGAAGCTGCTAGCCTATAACAAACTATGCGCTGGGCTGATCTTTCGAGGCTCATGGGGAGAAAAAGACAAATGGGATGATCCCCACAACCACACAGTATGCACTGGGGCTGGAAGAGGGAGATATGGACGTCAAATAGGTGTTATGTTCAATGCTCATTATAATAGTTACGAGTTATCAATGATAAACCGGGACATAACCCTAGCCTAAGAACAAGGATATTTTGGAACATGGGTTATTGTCAAAAAAGACATCATCTTTCACTCATCTCTATAGACCATTCGTAACAGCATAGATAAATCAGACCCTAAGATCAAAGAGTCTACTACATATCTCCATCTCTCATCTTTTCCCCCCAAAGATATGAGGGCGCCATGATTCTCTGGCTGCTTTTGGGGACCCCCTCGCTCCAAACCTCCAGGGTCAGAAATGGCCAATACATAAAGAGGTCAAGCAAAATATCCGACACAGGAAGTGAAAAAAAATATGGGGAGAGAGTGATTTGCATAACTGCAAGACTAAAGAGGTAAAGAAATAAGTGTGGACCCCCGAAAAAACGCCAGCCGGATGCCACTCTGCATGGAGTCCCCAAACAACCGTGTTGTGACCTACACGGGGAGATCACTAAAAAAATGGGGCAGGCAGAAACAAGTTGGAAATCACATAACAGAGAAAAGTTCAGTTTTCAACATCAAGGTCATGGTGTTTTTATTTTGCGACAGCAGCGCTCAAGACTTGTGTGCGGAAGAAGGCACCCTTGGTCTTCTCGATGACTTGCTGGTAGACCGACTGAGGGGGGTGGTTCATGATAACAGTGCCCTCCTTGTAATCGATCTTGGCGTCAACCCGGGTGTCGCGGATAAGGTTGACAATCCACTTCTCACCCTCGTCCTGGTTCAGACCGAGGCGAGTGGAAAGGTCCCTAGAAAAAAAAGGAAATCGTTAGTCTGTCGTTCGTACCAATTTCCCCAATACGAATAACTTACTTGATATCGATACGCTGGTGGATCTTGCAGTAGCTTTCGGAGATGAGGTGACGGGCAGCATCGACGAAAGCGTCGGCGGCCGAGACAAGGAAGAAATCGCTGCGCAGAATATCCTCGGCCTCGCCGAGCTTCTTCTGTGCCTCCTCGAAATCGAAATCGACGTAAAGGGCCTTGACGAAATCGGTGACGGGGTCGGTGTACTCGTAGTCCTCCTGGCGCACAACGCGGATCAGATCCTTCAATTGCTTCTGGTAGACACCGGAGTGCTTCTGGGGGCGGCTGCGGTTGGTGATAACGGCGGCGGCGAGGTATCGCAAAATCCAAGGGCAGCTGGTCTGGATGGTGTTGATGTAGGCGGGGGAGAAGAAGAGGTCGGTGAGGACGTCGCGGGCGGGGTCGTGGTTGAAGAAGGGGAACAGCGACCAGTGAATGAGCCAAGAGCGGTTGGTGAGCTGAGCCAGGGGGTTGTTGAACAGGCGAGTCTCAATTGAGTCCTTAACCTTCTGAACCTCCTCCATCGCACCCTCCCAGTTGGTGGTCAGGATCTCTGATGCGAGCTTACCCCATGTGGCGGCGGCAACCTTGTCGTTGTCGGTGGACAGAACACGGAACTGGTAAAGCAGCTCAGCGGCGTTTCCGTAGCTGCCGCAGCTGTACTGGAAGCGTCCGTAATCGTGGAGAGAGTTGACCATCTCGTTGGTGACACCGTGCTGCTCCTCGAGGAACCGCAAGTTGGCGGCCTTGTCGCTTCGCAGGTTACCGACAACCTCCTCATCCTGCAACAATTCGGTAATCTTCTCACTCTGATCCTGGTAGTGCTGTAGCTTGGCCAGAACCTCCTCGCGCTTCTTCACAAACTCTTCGGGGATGGTGTCGGAATCGTTGATCTCCTGCCACAAGTTGGCGACGTAGTCGGTCATGTTGGTGTGCTTCAGGAGCTCGTACTTCGCCCGGGTGATTTCCTTATCCTCCTCATCGCCGGTAGCGCTGAATTCGAGCAGGGGGAAGACCAAGTGACGGTCGAGGTACGGGATGAGTCGGGGCAGCAAATCATGCTGGGAGGTGATATCCTCGGCGGTCTTGGGCGTGTGAGCAGCAGCGCCGCTGAGCAAAGTCTCAGCGGTAGGGGGGCGTTGTCTGCCATATTGGATCTCAAAAGATGGCAGAAGGGGGTTAAAGGTCTAGAGGGGGATAACAAAGGGCCAACCGCGATCAATGGAGAATTTGCAGATTGTGCGGGCGTCGGTGGCCCTAAACCCTTTTTGGAAGTGGGTGTTGGGCAAGCGGTGGCAGAAAATCTGAGCAGAGGAGCATCAGATGTCGCTCCCCGATCTTCCCAGTCTCTGCCTTGATATCCCCATCTTCTCCAACCAGGTCTTTTCTTTCGGTCCTTTAGAACGTGAGAAATGCCGTCTCTTCTATACTCAGGCCCGTCTTCGGCCATGCGAAAGCAGGCCACAACGATTCCTCTTCGCGTCAACTCTGCACAGTCCGTGGCTTCCGTTCAGACATGTAGTTCATTTTCCACATTATGTCCTCAGGCGAGGTTGAAAGCTTCACGTAAGTCACGATTTGTTCGGTTTCATCTTGATCTCTTGATCTTTAAGAACCACAAGAGCAAGGCCGAATCCTCGGATCTTGCAATATCTTGTAACCAACAAACAAGAGAGAAGAAAGAAAGAAAAAACACGCATCTATGCCGTGTTAGTTTCAACTGAGAAAAGAGCGCGCATGGCTAACCCTTCCTCTCAGATCGTCCTCAATCCTCCTTCCCTACTCTCCCTACTCGCCAAAGCCGTACCTTCCTCGCTCATCTCGGCCGTCAAGCGCAAGCCCTGAAACAACAATCTACTACCCCATCGGCGACTCCATCCCCAGCCAAATCAGACAAGAAACCCAGCCCGACCCTGCAGCTCACCAACCTCCCCTATTTCGTCCGTCGCACTGCCTCCAACCAGCTTCCCGTCTACGTCGTCACCAAGGCCGGCGGCACCAAGCAACTCACCAAGCTCCAGAAGACCGAAGGCGATCTGGACGCGCTCCGCAACGACCTAGCCTCTGCCTTGGGTGTCGTTGACGGAAACAAGCCTAACCCGGATGTTACTCTCAACCGACTCACTGGCCACATCATTGTCAAGGTATGTTCGCTTCTACGGTGCAGTTAATTATCACGCGACAGAAAACTGATATATGGATACAGGGCTGGCGCAAACCCGAGATTCTGAACTTCCTCCAGGAGCGGAAATTCTAAATGCTTTCTTCTCTAATACCTCTATCTTATCTCATACTCTCGCGATTGAAGAGCTCATTGGAATCATTCGAATGGCCCCAAGATTCACCCCCAAAAGCATCATCATACCCCTATTGCGAGGGGTATGCTAGATCATACTTATCGGAGAGACCAAGAATCACATCACGTTGAAAACAAGGGAGGAGAAAGAAAGAAACGAACGCTCACGGTGGTCCCTGATGTGGATGGGTAATATCTATTTTCTTGATCTCTCTCTCCTCTTCCCTCTCGGTGCATACGTTTAATCTCGTTTCGGGTTGTTTTTCTTTACTTTTTCCTTCCTCTTTCCCTTTGGTGTTTGTGTCTTATCTATCTGGTCGTGTCTTCTGGCGTCCACCTGCTTTTTTTTCGTGTTCCCTTGCTCTTCTATCTACCTGTAACACTTCCAATCTGTACATTTTCGACGACTCGATGGGTGCTAGTGCTTTGATATTGAATGAACACATGCATTTCCCTTCAGGAAACCTGTAACAGTGTGTAGTAGGTATGCTGCTGTCTGCAATTGGGGTATGCCAACGTAGGCCACGGGTAGACTTATTCAAGATTATAAATTCCAAACTACTTCGCTAAGCGGATGATGGAATAGGGCTACCATTGCCCTCTTCTGTCTCTACTAGATGTTTCGACGTGGCTGGGTCCAACTACGAATCTCTGGGAAGCCACCGATTTGATAGTTACGAATTTAAATGGAAGCAAAGGCCAGTTGGTTATGATGCAAGTATCTCTCGATTTGTGTCGAGGGTATTTTGAGCATTGTACACCGAAGCAGAACAGAACGCTATCTCACAAGAACAAAAAAATAGAATCCCCATCACCGACCAGCGCCCAAAAGTTAAGAATAGGAAGACTGACAGTCGACATGAGTACAAATGACATGAGAGAAAATCAAGATTGTCGTATATGCTACGTGGAAGAGGATCCGATTCCTCCTAGGCGGGACTGGTACGAAACCAACCTGTCACCAGCGCATTAGAGGTTCATGCAGATATCATTTACTCCGCCAACCGAGCATATGAGAGGAGCTGGCGAACAACACCACCGTCGATGTTGGGGAGGAGCAGTGCACCTAGCAAGCTTTCTTTTCTGGGAAGGATTCCCGATGGGATGTTGAGAGGGGAGGTGTTGTCAACTTGCTTTGATTTTTCCGCCAGTCGGCGTAGAATCCCCAGTCCTCGGTTGACAATTGAGCTGAAGGCATATGCATCGGCTTCGGCCTGACTTCTTTGTCGCATGTTGATTTGCGGGATGCGTTCTGTGCACAGTGCACAGGAAAGTCGCAGGAGATGGACGGCGAACCCGTCGACTGACTCGAGCCATGCTTTGGCAAGAGCACCATCGGCGAATGTGGTGAGGACATCAGCGGACAGAAGACCTTGCATTAAAAACACTTTGCGTGCATCCACGACAGCCATGGGCTTTTTGTCGGGGACACAGGAGATGGCAAGGCCAAACGCACGGGTTAACAACTCCGGATGGGCAGGTGCAGACCCATCGCCCGAGAAGATGGCTTTGAAGTAAGTTCGGTTCGGGTCATCTCTAGCCAACATTTTGGCAAGCCCGTCAACGGCAGCTGGGGTGTATCGATCAACCGAAGAGTTGAAAGTAGTGAACATCACTTTGCCGGAGGGTGATGTGGGTTCAGGTTCGGGTGAGAATGCCAACAAGAAAATCAACAAATTCAGCGCCTCGTCCTTTCCGGGGATTTGAACAACATGCGCCAAGTTACTCAGCAAGATCACTGCATCCTTCATGAAGTCTAACGTGTTATGGCTTGTCCGCAGGAACATTTTGCGAGTTCCCATGTAACGGAAGACGGCTGAAAACAGCTGGGCGACAGGAGGGATACCAAGAGGTAAGAAGTTCGTCTCGCTGAACGAGAAATTGCGCAGGATGGTGGTGATACAGATAAGTCGATCGACGGCCCGGTCTAGTTCGTACTCAATACTTCCAAATTCGGGAACATCTGCAAGCGATGTGTTTTCAGACTGGCAGTCCCGTGTGACTTCATCATAGGAACGTAGCAGCATAGTGTCCGACTCTTCCAAGGTGTGTTGTGCTAGAAGGTCGACCTGATCTTCGGCGCAGTCGATCAGGCTCTCTACCAAGTCATCACAGTTCTCCAATGAAATCTGAATAGATGGTTCACCAGAAAGTGTGGTGAGGGTATCCAAGGCAACCCGGATCTCAGCGTAAATCCCGGATTTGAGCGCCATTGTCAGCGCATGAATATCAACAACTCCTAGTTCTGCAAAGCTTGGCACGTTTGGCTTTAGTCTGGAGATATCCTCGCCAATTTGGTACATCTCATCAACGGCAATGGGTCCGTGGAAACGACTCCCTGTCAGAACCATGGGTTTGAAGGTTTCTTCAATAGGTCGTTTTACTAGCTGCTCTGGCTTTTGTTCTTGTTGTACGGGCTGATGTTGGCCCGGAACAGGTGTAACACCCTTCACGGACTGCGGGGAAGGAGCTGTGAATTGTCCAGGAGCAGCTTCAGTGGGTGGTGGGACTGGTGGCTGCGAACCCCTCGAGATGCTTTGCCGATGTCCGGCCTGGGGTGGCCTGCTTTGGCTTCGAGCGTGCGTCGGCGTGGCGAACCCATTAACTGGGTTCCCGGGGGCATTATTATGAACTGGCGTATTATTCTGAGGGGACTGTGCCATTGTCTGACCTTGCTCAAAGCCCGGATTAGGCTTAACTGAAGGTGACTGGAATTGACTAGGCGGCCGCGGTATCCCACCTTGTTGCTGCTGCTGTTGCTGTTGCTGCTGCATGTGGTCCGCCATTTGTTTTTGTTGTGAGCTGATGAAAGCTTGTTCATAGGGAGCCAAGTTCCTGGAGTGGTGAGCTTGAATCTCCTGGGCGGCCATGGGGTATTGCATCTGGGGGAACTGGAGCTGATGTGCAACTGCTGGCCACATATTTGTTGCTGTGACCTTTTTTGATCCTCCCATCTTCATAACCGTGGCATAAAGCTGAACGAGGTTGATCGGACGGCCACTGACAATTGGATTTGGGTCCATCGGAAGATTCTGGCTCACCATGAATTTTTGCAATGAGCGCAAAAATCCTTCCGGGTTACTGGGTTTCGGCATGTTTGACTGCATGTTCGGGGGCATTTGTCTCATTCCTCCCATGGGCTGCTGCTGCTGAGGATTGGCCATCGGGTTCATGCCTGGACCCGGCCGTCCAGCCATTGCAGGATTGGGGTTCATCCGTGTATGTTGCTGCATGGCATGCAGCCGCTGTTGCTGGTTTGCTAAAGCTTGATGGTAGCCCTGGGGTACTTGTTGCATGCCATTGAACTGCGGCGCCTGCATCGAGGGCTGAGGGGCTCCAGAAGTCATTCCACCAAATTGCTGCGCTTGCATAAAGTTGGCGTTTTGCGGCGTATTCACGCGGCTGCCGTCCGACTGCGATGGAGACATATGGGGTCCAGGGGGCGGGCCAGCGGGCGAGAAGGGGCTTGGCGAGGCCGTTCCCATACGAGCGCTTTGTTGATCATAGTCCTGCATAATAGGCGACTGCGTGACATTCGGAGACGCTCCTTGCTGAAGATGCTGGTACGGCGTCGGGTGTTGCGGGAATTGCGGGTTTCCATTGGCCGGTCCTTGATAACCTGGAAATGGTTGGTGGGGGGTTTGAGATCGCGACCCCGTCACGCCACCCGGTGCTGGCCTTGGTGACATGGGCATGCCATCTTCCGGCCGTGCTCGCTTGGATGGAATCACTTGGTTTGAATTGTGGAAGCCTGGGGAAGCATTCCGCGGCACGCCATTGTTGAACATGCGCTGGAATTGGGATGGATCCTGGGAGGTCGGGGAGCCATGAAGGAAAGCAGTAGAGGGATCTATAGTGGATGGATGGAAGGCGCCATTATCCTGGCCAGGAATATTCGAGGCGTCGGCAAGCCAGGCATTCATGTCGAGCGGTTTTGCCAACCCATCTACCTAGGGCGAGTCAGCATGTGAACATTGGCTCATACGCCATCGCTATAATGTGCAAACGATGTCATATAGGAATGAAGGAAGTGTAGGATTTAGTCCAATGATGGACGATCAGGTAGACGCGTCGGGGATGAGATGTTTGGAGTCGCGCCCAGACCCGGTCGCGACACAGGTCAAAGAGAAAGTGGGGAGGGAAGGCACAACCATGGGGAAATATAGGAGATAATATGGGGGGAAGGAGGGGAGGGAATGAGGTACATACCGATAAGGCTGGAGTGACTTAAATTCCGCTTTTTATACGGATGACTGAAGCCGGGTCCCGGAATTGGCAGATGGGGGATAATGAAGGGGACAGAGGTTGGCCAGGTGTGGTCACGTGGTGTTGGGAACCTAAGGCAGCAAACCACGGGAGGCAAAGGCGTTTATGGATTTGGGGGGCAGGGGGAGAGGAGGGGGGAAGTAAGAAGGCTGGGGTAGACTAAAATGTTAGCAAATCATAGACAAGGAACGTCAGTCTTGATCCTTTTTTCATAAAGAGCCAAGATATAATAATGGGAGTATTCCCTCCAGAAACCACCAACGGTTACAGAAGGCAAGGAAAAAAAGAGAAGGGGGTGCGTGGTCACAACCAAATCATATCAATACAGGTAATATAAGGTAATATAATGTAATATAATATGGGTAGAACAAAAAAAAATAAAAAGACAAACGAAACAAATAAGAAACTGGCGTACTTACCGATTCACAAGATCCGTTCAGTTAGGGATGAAAGGGGAAGTGGAGAGAGGAGAGCGAAAATTACTGACAGGTCAGAGCTTTTGCAAGTAACCCTCTCTGTTGTTACTTGGTGTTTTTGTGTTACTAGGTTAGTCTTTCTGTTCTTTTCAGTTTTCAAGTTCTTTGGACTCGTTTTTCTTCGTTTTTCTCATTCTCTTCTTTTTTGGGGGAGTTTCTTTTGTTTTTGGTCCTTTGTGTTAGTCTAGATTTCCCATTGGTTTTGTTATCTCGTTGAGAGCGGGTGTCGTCAGCCTCAACCTGCATATGTATGAAAGAGACTGGCCACACATAAGAGGAAAAAGGAATAGAAAATATTAGGGAACAGAAAGAGAATGAAGGAAATCTGTTTCTGGGCGAAAATTCCCATAAAAACCCCATCTTCCCCTCGGATTTCATAAATCATCTAAACGATGATCCATTCCAACGGTCTGGCCGAGTCAGGTTAGATCATATAGTACTCCAACCCCCGATATCGTCTGAGGGTTAGCAATCACCCAGTGGTAAATTCCAAAGGGGAAAACTGCCATGGAAAAAAAATAGAGTCTTTCTAGACCAAGACCTGGGGGAAGGGGGAAAGAAATAATAGAAGAGGAAGAAAAAAAAAGATCTAGAGCCGTGACGGTGACCAGCGGGCGGTTCTCCTTATATAAAGCTCGCACTAGCGTCTGATAATCATGTCGATGCGCGCCCAATACTCCGAAGTTACCAACAATTCGAGGTCAAGAACTAAGGAGTGGATTAACCTGGGTTTCCTAGTGAACCCCGTGCAAGGATCCGACTCGATCCGCGTGGGAAATCATGACAGCTTTGGTGCCTGTCCCACCTACCGTGTCCCGGCCTACTCCACCACTACAAATGATTGGATCAATTTTTCTTCATTTCCCTTCTGTAGGGCTTTGGGCCAAGCTTGAGGATATGGCTAACTCCAATGGCAAGGATGCTCGTAACCGTCTCAAAGGCCTTTGCGCACGGCGGTCCAATATGATATTCTCCTGACTTGAACCTGATCAGGTGTCCAAACTGGCAACATGCTCCGTGCATCTACAGATCACTCGATGAAACATACAACCCAGGCGAATAAGCTTGAGATTCTCGTTATTGGCTCCAGGGCTACATATTCCGCGACAGCCGCTAGCGTCCGACCATAGATTTGGATTGAGACACTCACCCAGACAAGATTAGTGTATACTTGGTGCCTGGGCAAGATACAGGGGAAATGATGATCAGAACTGTCGAGACTTTCCAAGCTCTGTGTAATTTATCTCACTGTTCTGGGTGAGATTGTTGCATACGAATGTTTCAAGTAGTTGACGGGCGCCTGATTTGGTAGTGTTACCGTATTGCCAATTGCCACAATCTTCTAGCCCTGGAATGAGGAAGTATTGGACACCACACATATACACCATAATATATAGAAAATAACCAGTCGTGAAACTCTTGTGATGGAATGTTTCATGGAACATAGAACTAAATCTATAAGCGTTGGCAAGATTGGCTGTCATCACGTGACGGATAAGCTTCCCGGCCCATAGCATCGAAAGCTCCAGATGGCTGAACTCCGAGCCCTTCACACAGCGCGTCATTCACCAACCATCTTCAAAGCACATCCCATTTCCCTTCCATTTCCAGTTGATAGACATAATCTCCTTTCTCATCTTGCTCATTATCTAAAGTATTCACCATGGGAGACGTTGCCGTGGAGAACCCGGCGAACAACGTCACGCCTCTTACCAAGCCAGGTGCGCTCGACGCCCTCGCCAACTTGGATTCCCTCGATGGCACGGGGGCTGATGGAAACGATGAATATGCTACCCTCAAGAGGCTACAGAGACATCTCGAGTATGTCTAACCATGTTTGTTGGATGGAGTGATCTGTACTGACGTCGAACACAGGTATATCCAACTCCAGGAGGAATACATCAAGGATGAGCAGAGGTATGCATATTGGATTCTGTTGTTCAATATTGGATCAGTGGCTAACTACCGTCGTTTGATGCAGGAGCTTGAAGAGGGAACTGGTTCGGGCACAAGAAGAGATCAAGCGCATACAGAGTGTGCCATTGGTCATCGGACAGTTTATGGAGGCAATCGATCAAAAGTATGTCTTTCCGTGTCTGGGACCCTAGTCGAGATGGTCATTTTGCTAACTCATCCATAGCACCGGCATTGTGCAAAGCTCGACCGGTTCTAATTACGTCGTCCGTATCCTCTCCACTCTCGACCGCGAGAAGTTGAAGCCCTCATCCTCGGTCGCCCTTCACCGTCACTCCAATGCCCTTGTCGATATTCTTCCTCCCGAGGCTGACTCCTCTATCGCGATGCTCGGCGAGAACGAGAAACCCGATGTGACATACGCAGATGTCGGTGGCTTGGATATGCAGAAACAGGAGATTCGGGAGGCGGTCGAGCTGCCTTTGACACATTTCGAACTCTACAAGCAAATTGGTGGGTAGTTATGGAGATCCATTGCGTGTAATGGCACTGCTAACGATTTGCAGGTATTGACCCTCCCCGTGGTGTCTTGCTCTATGGCCCCCCGGAACCGGAAAGACCATGCTGGTGAAAGCCGTGGCCAACAGCACAACTGCCAGTTTCATTCGTGTCAACGGATCAGAGTTCGTACAGAAGTATCTAGGAGAGGGACCTCGTATGGTCCGTGACGTGTTCCGAATGGCTCGTGAGAACTCCCCGGCCATTATCTTCATTGACGAAATCGACGCGATCGCCACGAAGCGTTTCGATGCCCAAACTGGTGCCGATCGTGAAGTTCAGCGTATCTTGCTGGAGTTGCTGAACCAGATGGACGGTTTCGAACAAACCAGCAACGTCAAGGTCATCATGGCCACCAACCGAGCCGACACCTTGGACCCAGCTTTGCTGCGTCCTGGTCGTCTGGACCGAAAGATCGAGTTCCCAAACCTGCGTGACCGACGTGAGCGCCGATTGATTTTCACAACCATTGCCGCGAGGATGTCACTGTCCCCCGAGGTCGATCTCGATGCCTTGATCGTGCGCAATGACCCCTTGTCTGGTGCTGTCATTGCTGCTATCATGCAGGAGGCCGGTCTGCGGGCTGTCCGCAAGAACCGTTACAATATTATCCAATCGGACCTTGAAGATGCTTATGCCGTCCAGGTCAAGACTGGACAGGATGATGACCGGTATGTTTCTTGTTCTCTTTTGGGGATTTTCTATGTCACTAACTGGTTACTTGCAGACCTGACTTCTACCGGTAAATGCTTGGGTCTCTTGGGAACGTGGGTATGGGTGACGAAAGCTTGGTCTCCCTCACCAGTTGTATTATCAATAATATGCAGGCGCCATGTGTCACAGTGTTTGGATTATGTCTTGATCCCATGGTCTTCCGTTCATTCTTTTAGATTGTAGATGTAGATTGTAGATTGACTGGCAACACCCTGCCTGTATACCACTTGCTTTAACATGCGTGTCGAATCAAGGTTCTTTTATGTACATTATATCTATTTTCCTAATCTTCTTCTTCTTGTTCTTCTACGGACCCACCGATGGAATTATGGTCTATTTTGTGGTATCGGTTCTTAGATGCGGATACGGATGACTTTGGGGGGTGGGATGTCAAGATATATATATTCATCTACAAAAAATGTTCAACAAATTATTAGATTAAAAAGTCCGCCACTGTAGATTGTAGTAACGCAGGTAAATCCAAAGTAGCAATAGAAACCCACCAAGTATTCATTCATAAGCCATGCCTTTGTGTCATCATTGCTGGTTTTATATTGTATGTTCAATGTTGTATATACAAAGGAGCGGGTGGACCCTCACTCGATACTTCAACTGACGTCACACTCACACTCACATCTACACCCATTAAGAATGGAAGTCGGAGCTGACCATATCATTGAAGTGTGCCTAGTATGGTATTCACGCATTAAAGTTCGTAGTAAGGTAGGCTTTAAAAGTATTGCTTAAGAACATCGAGGGGCTTTTTCTCGCCGTATGTCTTTGCCGCAGCCGCAATGGTACTCTCTCGCTCAGATAGTCAAGATCCATGATCTTAGCGCCAGTAGTTTCCATGGATATTATTAGCAAAATGATTGCCCTATATATTCTTTAGGGTGAAACTTGGCTTGCATCATGAAATGAGGCGTCATATCTAGTTTCTGCTCGGATAGTACCATAAACATCCCATCCACATTCGGCAAACGCTCGGAGTAGATTGAATCCAATCCCTTGATTTGCGCCTAGGTGAAGTGTCAGTGCTTTGGTGAAGTTGCTTTACCATCTGTAGTGGGCCTGGACCTATGACGAGAACGATGGGTGCCATTCTTCGAAATAAAGAAATGGGAGGTCTATGTGCTGACTCGTGAGAATGAAGGCTAATAGTGGGAAGAACAAGATCTAGAAAGATACCCGGATGAAGCAGGAGTGGTATAGATGGATGATATCCAGAGGGACGTTCTCAAGGCTACCTATGTTGTATGTAGGTGGCTACCTTCTGAGGTTCATAAAGGGCTCGGCGCTGGGCGGGTGGTCATGCGGGAACAAAGAACGTACGCTCTGTCAGTCGTCCACGGGTGTCTGTAATACTCGGATATGACGAGCACTGCAGGGGGTAGTCTCACCTCTTATGTGCAGAGCTGCACACCTGAGCAATACACCGATTAGCAGTCCGACTATCACCGCCCCCCAGGTGAAGCTTTGTGGTGTCAGAGGACCCCGGGAGAAAGGTTTATGATGAAGTAAATACATATATTCAGATTCGGGATCCTGCTGGGACACACGCGTCGCTGGAGACATCACGATGAGGTTGGAAGATGGCGCAAAGTCACTCTAAAAAGACATCTCTTGTCAGGGGGTTGGCTCCCCATTGAACCAACCCCCTTCAACCCGAGGACCATATATTGAATTACAGGGTTACGCAGCTCACATAGCCCTGTACGGGTCATCTTAGTAGGGTGCATTTATACGAGGCATCGCTAGAATATAGACAAACCGATGAAAAAATGGTAGGGAAAACCCACAAAAAGTTGCGCTATACACAAAGTTAGCATGTAGAGGTTGGCGCCCTTAAGAGGCACTAAGTGGATTTGGGTTCCAGTGTAGATGAACTACAGACATATGATTACAAGTCTACAATAATGATACTCCGTACGCATCTAAAACTTCATGGCGTATCACAGTAGGGCACGATACCCTGCCGTTGCCGTAGAACAAGGCATACAATCATGAGCCTGGCCTTTTGCCACATCAACTATCTTGCAGCTGCCAGGTACGCCGGGAGGGGTGTCTTCCGACCAGTCCGATCATAGCGCTAATCACGCCCAGGCAGCAGCCCAAAGCGCTTCCCCTGCTCAGGTTCGATTTTGCACGGAGTATATGATAGAGGAGCTATAGTAATCCAGTGAGTAAATAGCCCGAGAAACAAGATAATTTATTGTGTACGTCAGGAACTGGAATGCCCCGGGGGATGAGGACCCATGTCATGAGTCCATCCCCTAAAAGGGGTTAGTGTGACCCTCCCGCTTCCGTCATCGTCTCTCCAGCCTCCACTCTTCCCCCATCTACCATCTACCCTTATCTCCTCTCCTTCCTAGGTTCCTTCTCACATCTCAAGTCATTCTCTTCTTTGCATCTAACATCTACAGCCTTCTTTTCTCATATTGAATGATGAAGTCATTCACTCTCCTAACAGCTTCGGCGTTGTTGGGCAGTGCTGCCGCCGAGGTTCACAGGCTCAAGCTTAACAAGGTCCCTCTGTCTGAGCAACTGGTATGATTATCATCATCGATATTGCCCTGAGAATACCCTGGAAGCTAATCGATTGATAGAACACACACAACATCGATGCTCATGTACACAACCTGGGTCAGAAGTACATGGGCATTCGTCCTGAGAAGCACCAGGACCTGTTCCACGACACTTCCCTAAACCCCGCTAGTGGCCATGACGTGCTCGTTGATAACTTCCTGAATGCCCAGTGTAAGATAATACCCATGACTATCTACGGTCTAAGTGATGACGCTGACCTTCCCAGACTTCTCCGAGATCTCGATTGGTACCCCTCCCCAGACCTTCAAGGTTGTCCTTGACACCGGTAGCTCCAACCTGTGGGTCCCTTCTTCGCAGTGCAGCTCTATTGCCTGCTTCCTCCACAGCAAGTATGACTCGTCTTCTTCGAGCACCTACCAGAAGAATGGCACCGAGTTCGAGATTCGCTATGGATCTGGCAGCCTGAGCGGCTTCGTGTCCAAGGACACCCTCCAGATCGGTGACCTGAAGGTCGAGGGACAGGACTTCGCCGAAGCTACCAATGAGCCTGGTCTGGCTTTTGCCTTCGGTCGCTTTGATGGTATTCTCGGCCTTGGCTACGATACCATCTCTGTGAACAAGATGGTTCCTCCCTTCTATCACATGATCAACCAGAAGCTCGTGGATGAGCCTGTGTTCGCTTTCTACCTTGGCGATGCCAACAAGGATGGCGATAACTCTGTCGCCACCTTTGGTGGTATCGATGAGAGCCACTACACTGGCGAGTTGATCAAGATCCCTCTCCGCCGCAAGGCCTACTGGGAGGTCGAACTCAACTCCATTGCCCTTGGCAACAACGTTGCTGAACTTGAGAACACTGGTGTCATTCTGGACACTGGTACCTCCCCTCATTGCTCTGCCCTCCACCATGGCCGAGCTGCTGTAAGTTGATTTTTCCCCATGTCTCTGTAACCTTCTTTGCTGACCCATTCCACAGGAACAAGGAGATCGGTGCCACTAAGGGCTTCACTGGCCAGTACAGTGTCGAGTGTGACAAGCGTGACTCGTTGCCCGACCTCACCTTCACCCTGGGTGGCCACAAGTTCACTATTGGCCCCCATGACTACATCCTGGAGGTCCAGGGCTCTTGCATTAGTAGCTTCATGGGCATGGACTTCCCCGAGCCCGTGGGTCCCCTTGCTATCTTGGGTGATGCCTTCCTGCGCCGTTGGTACAGTGTCTACGATGTCGGTAACAACGCCGTCGGTCTGGCTAAGGCGAAATAAATTCCCCAATGCTTCTGGCTCAGTGAGCTGTGAATATCAAAGAATCAGGTGACACCAAGAGATTGCTTCGTATGTATATACATGTGGCTTCTGGGTTGAACGTATGGTTTCATAGCGCACTTTATTCGCCTATTGCTAAGGGTTTTTGTTTTTGTTTTTTTCCCTGCTGGTACAGCCCCGTCATGAGGCCTGTCGTTCATTGGTACTGCAAATTGATATCTTTATTGGTTAAGATCTACTTATTACATTTGACCTTGTTATTGAATAATTCTTCCCCCATACTGGCTTCAGTACTCCATATGTCGTGCTAGATCCCTCGGCTAATTCCCAGATGTAAGAAATTGAGTGGCAATTGGCTGGAGCTTATGCTGGTTAAGGTGCAGGTAAGCACCAATCTACAGTCAAGTTTCTAATACATACTGCCGAAGCCAAGTGGGATGTCACCATTACTACCTAGAGTAGAAATAAAACTACCTCGGTAGTTGCTTGATCAAGCCATTATATCAGACCATTCAGAAAAATAAAGATACTTGGACTGAAGTAGATCGCATGTCAACTAGTAAGAGGAGTTACCGGTTTTCAAGTACCGGTATGACATAAGCGGACGTAGCTCCAGGTCCAACCTGGATCGAGCGAGTCCCCGCACAACTTCAATGAGCTTCCCTTTTCTTTGATTGCAACCCGCATTCCTCTTTCAACCTTCTCCGCCTTCTCAAATTCAATCAAATTACTCCGCCTGGTGTGTGGCTTACCTCTGACCTCCGCGCCAGGTTGTGCTAGGCGCACAGTTTTCTTTTCCCATCTGCGCCTTGGAGTGGCGATTCTCATTGCGCTGCCTAAACCACCATTAACACCTACCTATCCCACCGATCTAGCCCAGACTACTGAGTCATAGGCTGAAATACACCCGCCGAAATCCGATATACTCCAGCTCTACACGCGTTGCGTGTCGGTGATGGCTTCGTAGCCGGAAGCGCACGCGATCAATCCATTCGACCCACACGTCCTCGACGCGCACTGTCAACAAACCAAGGGCACAGGATATATTTTGGGAGAACGGCAGGACAAAGACTGAGCATTTGTACATTACATCGCGCCTGGGGGCGAACGAAGAGCAACGATGCTTCTCCGTCTGCCCACCAGCCTACATTACCCGATCACCGTGACGTCGCTGCTTAAGCAGCCTGGCGACACGGTTGAGAGGGATGAGGCTTTGTTTTGGTATGTCTATGAGACTACCGTCACTGAGGGTGATGGACTGGGGAACATCGTCGAGGTAAAGCGTAGATACCCGACTAGATTCGAATCGACTGTTGATGGAGAGATCGTTAAATGGCAAATCCACAAGGGAGACGTTATTGATGAACCGTGAGAATATCGAATCTTGTCCTTTTGCTGTTGAATGTCCTCTAATTGTTGCTAGGGTCAACGTTGTCGAAATCGATGAGCCTTGCGCGCACGAGATCCAGTTTGGAGGACTTTGCGCCGAGTGCGGAAAGGACATGACTGAGTATGTATAACCCTATTAGCGGGAAACATGCCTTTCTAACCGTCTATCGTGCGAACAGATCTACGTACAACACCGAAATCACAGATTCCATGCGCGCTCCAATCTCCATGGCCCATGATAATGTCACACTTACTGTCAGCGAACGGGAGGCAACCCGAGTCGAAGAAGACGCGAAGCGCCGGCTACTTGCATCAAGGCGTTTGACCTTGGTGGTGGATCTTGATCAAACTATTATCCATGCCACTGTTGATCCGACAGTGGGGGAATGGAGAGAAGACAAGCAAAATCCGAACCACGAAGCTGTGAAAGATGTGCGACAATTCCAACTGATTGACGATGGACCTGGGATGCGTGGATGTTGGTACTACATCAAGCTGCGGCCAGGACTGGAGGAATTCTTGCAAAATGTGGCCGAGATATATGAATTGCACATCTACACCATGGGCACTCGTGCTTATGCCCAACATATTGTTGATATCATTGATCCCACCCGCAAGCTCTTTGGAGACCGAATTCTTAGTCGTGATGAGAGCGGAAGTTTGACGGTCAAGGACCTGCAACGGCTCTTCCCAGTGGACACAAAGATGGTGGTGATCATTGATGACCGTGGTGATATCTGGCGGTGGAGTCCCAATCTTATCAAGGTCTCGCCTTATGACTTCTTCGTCGGAATTGGTGATATCAATTCAAGTTTCCTCCCAAAGAAGGAAGATATTGGAGCGAACAAGCCTCAGATCGAAGCAAAGGCCCCCGAGAAGACCAAAGAGCACCATGTCAATGGTAAAACGCAAGAGGGGACCGAGATCTCAGCACTAGAACAGCTGGTAACCATGGGAGGTGGAGACAGCCCAAGACTCCTCCAAGAACAGACCGATGCGCAAGAAGAGACAATATTGCATCAAGTGGAGGATCGACCTTTGTTGCAGAAGCAAAAGGAGTTGGAGGCAGAGGATAATATCGCTGAAACCAGTGATGCATCGTCTAGCGTCGAAGAAACCCAGGAACATGCGAAGCATCGACACCATCTTCTTGAAGATCACGACCAAGAACTCTACCAGTTGCAAAACCGCCTTGAACAAGTGCACCTTCAATTCTATGATGAATATGATAAGAGGCGGACTCTCGCTCTTGGCGGTCGGGTGGCAGCTCTAAGGGGAGAAAAGGTTCACTCAAGAGACAAAGACGTGGATCTCAAGTTGGTTCCCGATGTCAAGGACATCATGCCACAGATCAAACGGCGTATCCTTGGAGGAGTAGTATTGGTATTTTCAGGCGTGCTTCCTCTGGGCATAGACTTCCAAAATGCAGACATCTCCCTGTGGGCGAAGAGCTTTGGTGTGACGATCTCGTCAAGGGTAAATGCTCGCACAACGCACCTCGTGGCTGGCCGCAATCGCACCGCCAAGGTGAGAGAAGCCACTCGCTATCCCAATATTAAGATCGTGACGACACAATGGCTTGTGGACGCATTGGTTCAGTGGAGACATGTGGACGAAGAACCCTATCTCCTCCCGCTTCACCCAGATGACCGAGGCGATCCCCTGACCCCAAGTGAACTCGAACTCGAGACCTCCATGCTTTCATCCACAGACGAGGATATGACAGGGTCCCAATGGACACAAGAAGATGATGCCGAAGACATCTTCAAGTCGTCCGGTCTGGACGAGACATCGCCAATTGGGTATGATGCCGACGAGCAAGCTGCCGTACACGATGAATTGAAGGACTTCTTGGGTAGCGATGATGAAAGTGAAAGCGACAACGAGTCCTTATTAGATGAACCATCCACAGGAGGCAAGAAGCGTAAACGCAATGAAGAAACCGAAAGCGGCACCGACGAAGAAGAGTCTGGAGACGACGACGGAGACGACCATGATAAGCAGGGCTCCCGACTCTCCCAACGCATCAAACGCTCCTACGAGCGCAACACCAAGCTGCGAGAAATCACGTCGGCTCCTGCCGCCGGAATTGACCAGGTTTCCCCAGATCAACCAAAAACACCAGTTGTGGAAGGAACGTCTGACTCTGACACAGCAGGAACCAGTGGCCCAAAGCCCGAGTATCCTGACCCTGATGACGATGACGATGAGCTGGAACGGGAGATGCTTGCTGCATTTGAGGGTGGAGGATATGACTCTCAAGCAGAGGCAGATGCTGCAGCTGAGAATGGATAGAGCACTTGATTCTTGTGCTTTCGTTTCAGATTCTCTTTGTGTCTGCTTTCTGCCGTGTCATCACCGGCGTGGGTGCGGTTGCAATGCGCTCTTGGCATAGCGACGGCGTTTATTAGGTCCATTTGACTTTATGTGTTTTGTGTGTAATTCTCAGGAATTTGTGTGTATCTGTGAGTCGCTAGTTGTACAATTCAGTTCGATATACTATGAACTACTAGGGATTCTGTCTGGATCGACTAGTATGATCTGTATGTCTATGTAGGTTGGAACAACTCGTTTATATTCTTTTCAGATAAAACCAGATCTCATAAATAGTACATCCCCAAAAATCCAATGCTAGATCGCTTTCAACGCCATAGATGCAAAAAAAAATGGTATCACAAAACAAAAAAAAAACATAAAATCAAATCAATCATAAACATCCCGATTAACCTGCCACGACATAATCATCATCCAAAGATAGAAAATCGTATTAACAAGTTCGAGTGCAAAGGCAGTTTTCCAGCAATTGCCTAACACAGTCAGTCATCTAACTTTGGAGAATATCAAAAGGAGATATAAGAAAGCAAAGAACTCACATATGGTACTTTGCGTCAACCAAGCCAAGGTATTAATATTATTCCCCCAAGACTTATTATCCCTCACATAGATCTGACAATTATCATTGACGTTGCCTACAACCCCATACAGCTGCAACGAAGTCTCAATCAGACCCGTCAGCCACAGCACAAGGAGAATAAAGCTGCCGATGATGATAATCCCCGGTAAGAGGAAGTGTCGCGATGCAAGCACCATAATAAGGAAAATGAAGCATACACCGAGGGCACTGGATACAACCATGTAAGGGAAGAGCCTGGATATCGTTAGTATATCCTTATCTCTCCGTGTTCTATATAACAAGTCTGATATGGGGAGAATGTGGGGTGTGGATTCTAAGAATGCATCGAATCCACATTGTATAGATATAAATATAAAAACCACTTACCATGGTGTCCCGAGATGCATTTGTGATTGTACAGCCATGAACCAGGAGAAGATACCCAGACATGTTGCTGAACATGATAACACGACCATAATCCAGATGTTGAGTTGGAGTTCGGGCCAGTGGTAGCGACGGCGCGCTTCGTGGCGCTTGCGGACTGCCATTGGATCGTTTGTGGGATATCGATGGAGGGATTGGAGGTGTGTTTTGGATTGCGATGGGTGATGGAGCTCGATTGCGACTGGAGTGTGTTGCTTGCTTTATACTGGTATTGTTGTTGTATACTGCCCGACGCAGGCTTGGATGCCCTATGTTTTGTTGCAGACTTGGGATCGAATGGCCAGATCGTGAGTCAAGTGATCCAAGTCTGAGATTGGTAGAATCGTATGGATGTTTCTGGTGAGGCGCGGTGATTTGGGACAGCGCATTGGGCGCCCTTGAGCGCTGGAGGCCCTGGGGATTTGAAGTTGGTGCGACGTGGATATTTACAATTGCGCATAAATCTCCGATTAGAGAGAAAAGGCCAAGATGTACTTTGTACAGAATACAGAAAGGAGGAAAAACCAAGGGAAAAAAACAAAAAAACAAAAGGCCGGGGAGGGGGAAATTTAGGAAATTGGGGTGGCAGGGGATTTACTCCGTACTCTGACTGGCCGTATTATTTTGATCGACTTCGTACTTCCAATCTTTGGACTGAATTCTCTAGAAATCTCATTTAATATTCTCTATTCTCTTTTATCTTTTTTATCGAATTGTCCTTATAGAAGAGTATCACCCAAAGCACTACGAACCAACGAACACCCTGCTCGAATGGTCTCGGATGCGCCCTTGGACTCCAAGCTGGGGTTGACCTCGACCAAGTCCATCGCAATCAGATTTCCCGTCTCATGCACAGCTTCACAGATGAAGTCTCCCTCCCGCAGCGTCAAACCACCACGAACAGGTGTACCGGTACTAGGAGCCCACTGAGGATCCAGCGCATCGACATCGAAGGACAAGTGAATGGGGGTGTCGTTACCGATGTGAGCGAGAGCCATTTCGACAACGCGACCGATACCATGGCTAGTAGAGCACAGAGAAGTTAGCACGGAGGTCACCACCATAGGAAAACCAAGCGAAAGAGAAATAGAAACATACCGGTCGATATCGTGCATACTGAAAGCCTTGATACCATTCTCACGCAAAAGCTTCTTCTCCCCACGATCGACATCGCGCAAGCCAATATAGACAAGCTTCTGTGTGCTCACAATGTGCTCGTCCTGCATCCAGCCAAAGATATCCTTCTTCTCCTCCCGGGCCAGCCGGGTCAAGAAGGCCATGGGCATACCGTGGATGTTTCCACTGCCGCTAGTCTCGGGGATATTGATATCGGCGTGGGCGTCAACCCAAATGACGGCCATTTCGCGGCCAAGTCGTTCGCGGATTGCCTTTGCTGTGCCGGAGACGGTGCCGATGGCGATGGAGTGATCGCCACCGAGAGTGAGTACGAACTTTCCATCCTTGGCATATTCGTAAATCTGGGAGCTGAGCTTTTCGGTCACGGCGCTGACGGCGCGGGGCTTCTTCATGCCCCGGTGGTCGGGGTCTTCGGTGGGGATGTCATTCTCGTAGTAGTGGACTGTGTTGTCGTGGTGAACTTCATAGTCGAGATCCTCGCTGAGTTGAGTTAGGAGGCCTGATTCGATGAGGGCCATTGGGGCGGCTTCGACGCCCTTCTTGCACTGTGAATAGTGGGGTTAGTATGATTCATTGATCTATAGCTTCGGTTCCACAGGGTGTCTTACCTGGCCGCCATTGAAACCAACGGCAACAACGCCGAGTTGGTTAGGGTGTGAGAGGAACCTCGAAGTGATTGTTGAAGGTTGTGTCATTGTGTAGAATGTGGATGACTGTAGGTGATTGTAGGAAGTAACAACCTAAGGAGAGCTATCGGAAAGATCGAGATAAGATCAAAAAAGTGGAGAGGCTCTGGATAAGAAAGGTCCAGGATGATGTTGATATTTTATTTTAAAACAAAAAAGAAGAGAAGAAAAAGAGGATAGGTGTTCCTTTTAAATATCTCAGAATTGACTCAAAGCATCTTTCATATTGCCCCGACTTCAACCGGGGCAGTGCCTTCATTCCTTGCGCAGTGCCCGCGAAGTCGCTAAAAACTGCTTTTAGCGATCAAACCGACTCCGCCGGATCTCCATCACTTCCGTTAAGTACAGGTTGAGGAGAGCTCCCCCTTTAGGGCCATTCGGTGTCCCACAAGACTTTTGGTTTGACCTGTTACAGTGACTGATAGACCGGAATTTCTAGAATTTCATTTCCGACGTTTTATCCAGGCCCGTGGGGTGGTATCGGAGGTCCGGGAGAGAGTTTACATGGAAAATAGAATAATTGAAAGGCCACACACAGTATTGGTCACAGTCATGAGGGTATCATTGATGCCATAGGATACATTTTATACTATACTATACAAGCTATTCCAGAATCAATTCCCGGAGAATCTCCTCTGCTTTGGGTGCCTCCACGCGGCCCTTCTCACCATTGCGCATCATTTGCCCCACGAACCAGCCCAGTTTACCCAGCTGATTCTTGCTGCGGATCTGTTCAACCATCTGCGGGTTCAAAGCAATGACTGACTCTGCTAGCGCTAGATACTCCTCACGCGACAACGGCCGCAGGAGGAGATTCTCCTCCTCCAGTAGTTGCGGCACTGGTCGACGGTCCCCGTCAAAGATGGTTGCCAGCACCTGTTTGGCTGTCGGGCCGGTGATAAGTTTCCGCTGCAGATGATCGATGAGATGGGCCAAGGATCGGGCTGGGACGATCTCCGCGTCCCATGCCTGGTCTGCCTTGGCCACAAGACCGCCAAGCTCGTGTAAAACCCAGTTACTTGCCACCCGCGCGAGACTGGCGCGCGTTTTGTCGTCCTGGTCTACTTGAAGGGTGCGGAGGATATCCACAACATCATGGTAGTACTCGAGGCGGGCTCCATTGTCTAGCTCGATGAGTGGTTTGGCATCTTCGATTGGCAGACTAAACTCGGATCCGACGAGCAGTGTAAGAAGAGCGTCTGGTGCTGTCGGGATAGATTCTCTGAGACTAGAAAGTAGGTCCTCTCCAATGATCAGTGGTGGAATATCAGGGTCAGGCATGTAGCGGTAGTCGACCGAGCCCTCTTTGCCACGAAGTCTGCGAGTTTCGGTGCTGCCGATCGTCCAGCCACGTGTCTCTCCTTCGATGACACCGCCACTCTCGAGCACCTCGATCTGACGGTTCTTCTCAGCAATAATGGCATCTTCTACTGCCTTGAAGCTGCTGAGGTTCTTAATTTCGGTACGCTGACCCAGCCCGCTGATCCCATCGTACTGATGTTGCCCGGGTGCTTCTCCTCGGCGTCGGATCGAGACGTTGACATCTGCACGAAGACCGCCCATCTCCATTCCCGTAGTCACGGCACCACACGATTGTACAATGGCTTGTAGTTTCCGAACGCATGCTGCGGCCGTTGCAGGTGTGTGTATTTGAGGCATAGTGATGATTTCGATAAGAGGATGGGACACGCGGTTGAAGTCGAGAAGTTGTGTTGAGGGCGGGTATTCCTGGGATTTGGCCGTGTCCTGCTCCAACTGGAGTTGCTTGATGTCAATACGAACCCGCTCGCCGTCTTCCGGAGCGATTCCATCGTAATCGAATAGGTCAACGTATCCATTTCGTGCGAATGGTTCTAGGGCAGAGGTAAGTATATTTCACCGGGTAAATAGGGACAGTACTTACCATAGTATTGTGTGATTTGATACCCCGCCGGTTGATCCTGGTAGAAGTAATGTTTCCGATCAAACCGACTGATCGGCTGTATCTCACAGTTCAGTGCAATGGCAGCGCGGAGAGCTGGTAGGAGTGTTGCAATTTGGAATGCCTGTCCCTGATCAGCCCTGGCTCTATTTCACAGCATCGTATACTATAACACTAACCGGTTGACTACCCGGGAACGCCAGATCGAACAACGCAACATTGGAATTGGGAGTATCACTTGTCGATGTTGCTGCCCCTATTCAATTTATGAGAGGATGACTCGTAGTCTCCGAGTTTCAAGGCGTACTGACGGGAAAATAATTTGGACTCTGTATCCAATTGCGCGTGGATCTCCACACCCACTGTGAGTTCCCATTCTTGCCTCGAAGCCTCCTCCGTTTCCTTGCGTTGTTTCTTGTGTGACCGAAGCGCTTTAGCTTCCTGCTTGAGTTGTTTGCGGAGGGGAACGCGATCTGCGGAGACCGGCGGTTGGAGATAACGGGTTGGCGCGGAGGAGAATCGGGCTTTAGGGGATGAAAGGGATGACCGAGTCAAGCGTCGAACGCAAAGAGAGCGGACCGTACCGCTGCCAATCCATGACCGAAGCATAGAGAGATTGGACTCGGGTTAAGAGTGTTGAACCTTGGAAGGACGTGAATTTGCGGGAGAAGCTGGGACTTGGCGATCTGCAGATCATTGGACGTCTCGGGAAAGACCTTTTTAAACCTCATTTTCGAACCATCATTCTTATTCATTTACAATATTTTAAAAATTATAAGAAAAATAGAATATTATTACAGATATCTTTTATGCCTAGCAGAGTTGTATTGAGCTCATATTCAAGGGATTAGGGGGAAAAATTCGAGGTTCTATACGAACCCTCATCCACCCAGGTCTACACTTAACGCTTAAACACGAGTAAAGCTCTCAATTCTGTTCAAAATCCAAGTATTGGTTTGTGAAGTATAGTTTCTTGGGCATTGTAGTATACTACAAGGCAGCATAAGCCTTAGTATATACTAAATTCGAGGGGTTCATCGCTACTGTAGCTTTGCATACCGCAGTAGAATATATGTTTTCCCAAGGTTTCTCTATTTCTCATATCGATCTATTATCTTCAATACCCAGGTAGAGAGTTACTTCCATACACTTCTTCCTTATATATGCACTAATACATTTTATCTCACCGTCCAGTCTGTCGACACAATAATTGATGAGTCGAAAACTGTAATTTCCCAATCCATTTATTAGATCGAGATCTACACCTAGTAGTCAATGGGCTGCAGCTGACTACTAGTTCACTGCTGGTCCACTACCACCGCGATCCACACTCGTCAATCGGTGGCTGCAATTGACCGCCATTCCACTGTGGTTAACTATGAACCTAATCTGTGAAGAAAGTATAGATCAACCAATCGTTAACCTCGTCTAAGGGACCCTTTACGTAAAATTGGAATTGTCGCAAGGTCAGATGTATGTATGAGGGACAAGCTGTTTTCCTGCATGTTTGACGTGTCTTGAAAGAAGACGATGGTAGATACATACATCACGCGAAGGGAGGTATATATAGAGCTTAACTATCCCCCAAGCACATGGCCGTAGCCTCGTGTGATATCCCCCCCTAGTATACTTGTACTGGAAATTTGGTAACCACCTCATCTGCTGTATAAAATCCTCCACAATGGCGGGTCAAGATATCACTACAGACCTTCTCATCATTGGGTCGGGTCCTGTAGGAGCCACCTACGCGAGAAAGATCGCGGAGCTGAGCGCTAATTCGCAGAAAAAGCCAAAGATTACTATGGTAACGTTGGACGGCAGGTCAGTCATCCCTTGGCTCACCATTCTCGGATCTTTCACTATTTGGTCATCAAGATTTTAATACAAATTAGGTACGACGCCCTAACAGCTCCTTTAACATGTGCAACACCCGAGCCGCACCAAGCCGAGCTACCAAGCAAATACCGAGCTGAAGATTGGGGCACGCTTATGAAAGAGGCCAAAGAGTTGATCGATGTCAACAACACTGCGTTTGACGAGACCTCTCTCCGTCAAGCAATTGTGAAGGAGGCACTGACAAAGTCCTTCGAGGGTAGACAAGTTGAATCGCTTCCACTTGCCTGCACAAGGGATGCTACAGATGGCTCGGCTAGGTGGTCGACAGTTTCCACCATCCTCGGCGATCTAGTTGATCTCAAGTCTTCAAAGGCTGAGCAATTTGAGCTGCTGTGCGAGCACCTGTGCACGAAACTGGTTTTCCAAGATCCTTCAAATAAGGATAACAATCAGATTGCCCATGCCATTGTCAAGGATCTTGAACAAGGAGGAGAAAAGAAAGTCTTCGCGCGTTACTATGTCATATGTGGAGGTGGCATCAAAACTCCCCAATTGCTTTTCAGCTCCGGCTGTGAGCAATCAGGTTCAAGTGACCGTCTCCCTGCCTTGGTAAGCGCCTTTTATTTCACCTCTAGCAGATAGTTTGACTTTGACTTACAATACGCATTACAGGGACGCTATCTAATGGATCGGAAATCGGCGCTATGTCAAGTAATCCTTAAAAAGGACATAGTTCATGCCGTGCCGAAAGCCAACAGCGAGGTCTGGCAGGGCCTGATCAATGAACACAAACAGAAATACCCAGAGGATAAGATTCCCATCCCCAAAAGTGACCCCGAACCACAGGTATGCCATTGATGTAGTAGTACAGGGCCTAGGATGGAAACTGACTGGATTAGGTTGGTTTGCCTTTCTCTGAGGAGAAACCGTGGTACACTGAGGTATGTGACTGTTACTTGACAGTCTGATCAATCTTTCTACTAACATGGAACACTATACAGATTCACCGTGACCCTACTTTTTCCAAATCCGAGGGGAACTCGCAGTTACCTACGGTATGGGACTCTTACTTCTAGTCCGATCAAACTGTCTACTAACCTGGAATACTAAGCAGTTTGGTGGTAGCCCTGCTTTGTTCAACTCTGAGCGGAACCCGCTGTCAACTATGGTATGGAACTGTTACTTCCAACCCAATCAAACTGTCTACTAACCTGGAATACTACGCAGTTCGGTGGTAACCCTGCTCCTGTCGGTAAACCTAGCAGTACCGTCGACCAGCGGGTGGTGCTTCATCTTCAATCATTTGGATATAGCACACCTAATGCAGCAAATTGCCTTAAGTTCACAACCGATATAGGAGATAGATGGGGTATGCCCATGGTGAGTGTCTTTTTGCTCGGTATAGACTCGAAAGAAACTGACTCGACGTCCAGTACGAGGCTCAATTTGAGCAAAACACAGAGGATAATGAAAGAGGGCATAAGATGATGAGCGAGTAAGTCAAAACCTCTACGCATTGATGGAACCTGGTCAGTTAACTAGTCTACAAGTATGACGGAAGTTGCTGCGAGTCTAGGAAGCTATATGCCAGGTGCAACGCCGCAGTTTGGGGGTTTGGAAAAAGCCCCGGATGGATATGTGAGTACCTTGGTCCCGATCTTAGACCACGGTCTTGTATTATCTGGATCTAATAAGTACTTATTCATCAGGGAACTACTCGCGTAGGCTCGACCAAGGAGGACTCGTGTGTGGATGCGAACTTTTGCGTTCATAATTCGACGAACTTGTATCTCGGTGGCAACAGTGTGATCCCAACAGGTTTCGCAGGTAACCCGATACTGACAACGATTGGATTTGCGATCAAAGGTGCATCTGACCTTTACAAGAAGATGGTGAATTAAGTGTCAGCCTTGGACTGTGCTATGTTAGATGGCTAGGAAGCTTTGAAAGCTTTAGGCTGAAGAAATTGATTACATGAATTGAAACACGATCATAGTAATTATAAGAGCATTAGACGTAGTAGAAACAGGTTAATCAGTGAAGTGACTTCCTGAGGTCTCTGAGTAGTAGCCAATGCTGAAATATACTTAGTGGTCTTGAGCCTGAGCACGCTCACAAAAGCGGCAGCAGTTTAACTACATATGTAAGAAACCTTGTAAAAGCGGCAGCTTAGATAGGCAGATAGGGAAAGCCCCAGGTGTATGCGTGTAGCCTGGGGGATGCCACGACGAGATGCATACAATGTACATACAATGTACATACAATGTTGTATGTACAACATTGTATGTACACAGAATAATTAAAAATCGTTCAAAACTTAATTATGGTATTGAAAATTAAATGATATATCTACATATGTATCTACATATATGTATATCCTCTATACTGAATAGTTGATTATCTCAATTTCCCCTCTATCCTCGTAACCTCTAGCACCTAGAGTACTTCCGACAACTACTTAACTTCCCCATATCAATACATTCTTGACACTTCATGCTTTATGCACGCAATATGGCAGAGAAGTGGCGTTGTACAGAGTCCGTACACTGTTCACATAGCTGCATCACATTCCCCCGCTTCGCTAGACCGCCAGATGCAAGGAAGATCGACCAGCGCATAACTACATGTTCCTTTCTAACTTCGTTCAGACACACATGCGTTTGCATTTTGCATTAAGCATGAGGCCTGATTTGCTGTCACACTTCGGCCCACACTGGATTGTTCAGAATGTTTAGCAACTCGGCAATTCAACGTTTTCCTATTTCTTGATTGCCTGATTTCTTTGAATCGTGAGACAGAGGTCGATCGACAGGGATACAAGGAACCTCCTTGCGACACCATTGTCATTGGTCGATCTAAATAAAACCCTCGGCGCTTCTAAGTTGCTTCAGATTGCGCCGGGACTGGTGTGACGAATTACAAGACTACATTTCGACCAGCATAAACACTTTGGGCTTGTTTTCAGCAGCTGACACAAAACCTACCAACTTTGAAACTTGGGCTGACGTTTCTATAATAATACCGTATTCCCTTTATCTTGGGAATGTCTGATGGAATTCGCGGGGAAATTGGAGATATCATACTATTTCCCATCCCCTAGATTCCGCACCTTTTGACACTCGACTCCATCTGAGACCTGGAATTCCACCCCTCCCCCTAGGCTATGCCTCGGGTCCCTATACTCCTAATTCCATTGTGATTCCATTGCTGCAATTCATTTCATGTACTTTATTTCTCATTCACCTTTCTTCCCCTGCGGGCATGCTCTGATTTGATATCTATATTTCGAAGAGGTATGAATCGGGTGTTGATTCCGAACTGCTCCGATCATCATGCCGCTCCAAACTAGAAAGTCCAAAAAGGATGGAAGAAAGAGGACATACTCGTTGCTATCGAACACTACAAACACACAGGCTGGCCCTGTTGCAAGTCCTAAAACTGTCGCGAACAGTTCGCCTTCACAGCAACCCAACGGGTCAAGACAAGCCCTAAATGCGCCTGCCATTCCAGAGAACCCACCACAGAAACCCGCAGAGCCGGTGAAGAAGTTGCCTAATGTGTTTGAATTCCTGGAAGAGAATGAGGAATCGTCTTCAGACTCATCATCAGCATCCTCATCATCGTCGGAGTCTGAATCCGAATCCGATGAGGAGCTGGATCCTCCACGCCCTATACACACTACCACCAAGATCCAGTCTCCTAAGCCTCGGGCAAATACCGTACCACATGGCGTGTTGGTCTCAGGAGGCAACATACCCCCGAAGAAAGTCGCCCAATCAGCTTCAGTGGCATCCAAAAGTCCAAAAGAGCCGCGAAAGTCCGCAGCACCACCCGCGCCTTCAACTGGCAATCAGTTAGTCACCCGGAAGAGACAACCAACCAGAAAACCGAGTCCGATCTCGACTGCAAACATCTCCCCAGGAAAAGGCCAACTAGAACTGTCCCGGCCATCGACCTACCATGACTCATCAAGAGACAGCGGTGCTATCCACAGACCACCGCTGCCACCATCTCCCCAAGAAGCCCTGAAGATAGCATTCACAGGACGCCGACAAAGCGACGGGACTCCAACGCATCGCAAGAGCCATCAGGATATGGGCTCCTAGCTTCACACCTAACCAAGTCCACTTCAGAAGAGAGTGGGAGCTTCCCTCCACTATACCGACGCTTCGAGACCGTGAACCACCGCGTTCTTCTCCACCTCCAAGATGAGATCTCCCAAATGGAAGAAGATCTCCACGTGTTAGATGAATATGAAGAAATGCATCGAGTCGACATAGCCGAGCAGGAAGGCGCAAAGCCATTACCTGCTTCACGACGGCGCGACGCCCAGTCACAGGCGTACTCATCTTTACATTACCGTCGAATGGACCTCATGAGTGCTTTGATCCAAAAGACCGAACAATATAGTAAGTTCTTTCCTTCCACTTTCGATATCGTTATTCCACAAAGCAGGCCGGCTCACTAGTGTGCAGACAACGCCCTCAGCGCCTATAGCAAAGTCCTCCAGACCCTCCCGCGAGCATCGGAACAGGAAATCACGGGCTATCGAACCTGGATGAGAGAGAACAAACCGGTCGCTGGTGTCGAGACACGGTTCTTAATTCACGACGCGGATCTGGTCTCCCTCACCCCGCGACTGGCTGCTTCTACCGCCGCAGCACCCGTCTACATCGCCATTATTATAGCCTCTGGAGCGCTACTGCTACCATTGTTGGCGTTTAGCCTTATTGCGGAATTCTCCGGTCGTCTCGTCGTTGTGACAGTTGTTGGCGGCGCCGCATCGGCCATTGCAGCGAATTATTCGGCTGGTATTGATACGCTGGTTGACTCGAGGGATGGTTGGCGCTGTGCTATGATGTATGATTGCTTCCCATTCTGTTGTGGGACTGCATTTGTGACTAACGTTTCTCGATAGATACTTCGGTTTTATGACTATTGCTGCTATGTTCATTCCATAGCTTCGATGCTCTATTTTCTCAACTTGGATTGGATCCTGCCTGCATCAGCTTATGACTTACGAATCTTCTTTGTTTTATTTCCTTGCGACGAGCCCTATATGTCACTATGATTTTTTTTTATTTGTTTGGGAAGGGAAGGTTGGGAGGGCACTCACCACCAAGCGCGCAAGAAAGATATGGCGTTCGGTTTTCGGGCGATTGCTTCAATAATTGGATATGGCAGATAGACGAGTATCTCGGGCCTGGCGTGTAATGGAATATGAGCATTGGACTGGAGATACAGCGGACTGGGAGATACTATAGCAGGGTGGGTGTTTCTCTTTATATGGGGGTTTTATTGAGCAATGTACTATTTATGAGATATTCTGGGAACTCCCTGCAGGCTCTCTTACCAGTATCCCTCTTTACAATGGAATCTTTACACTAGAAAGCACAATGTGTACTGATATGCAGCATATTGATTGAATTGGATCGAAAGCGAAAAAACAAGTAACTCTCTAAGCAAGACTTAGCTGTATCGCAATGGTAGCCTGTACACCCAGGCTGACCTGTCTTGAAGTAAAACCATCCACGCCAATCGCTTAGTCCATAATACAACACCAAATAAAAAGAAATCATACAAAGCCAGGGATCAAGAGGTTCATTAACAACACAGTTGGGGAAAAAAAATCGGAGACGCGGATCACATCCAGTGCTCATCATTCGAAACGAAAATAGTAAGAGGGAAAATGCAAAAGTCAATAAAGCAGAAAGCCGACTGTAGAGGGATGTAATGTTGGAGATTTGCCTCTCTCCAAAAACAAACCGCATTTTTGAATTTTGAATACAAGCCCATATCCTCAAATTCGCGCAAGTATCAGGTTCTAGGTTGAAAGGGGCGTGCCATTTGGTTTGCTCCCTGGTGTGATGCTGCCTTCTTGGGAAGAACGAGCATCTAGCCCTTGGGGTTGAGGTGTTGAAGGACTGTGGCCTGACTGTCGAGCCGCCAGTTGTGCCTTGTTCCTGTCCATCAGCGCAGCTTGTTCGGCCGCACTACGAGAGTATGTGGCACTGGCAGCGGAGTTTGAGTAGCCAGCTTGTGAAGGAGTTTGGCCTGGGTACTGAGCTCGCTGGTTCGACGTTGCGGTCGCGTAGGGTGTACGTCCCTGTGGCGTGGCGTTGAATGTCCCCGGCTGCCTGGGCTGTGGAGTGTATGGCTGTGGAGACACTTGGGCAAATCCATTGGAAGTAGGACGCTGGTATTGAGGAGCCTGGTTGCCCTGACTGTACTGCGGGTTCATTTGCGTGTATTGAGGAGTGCTGCCTGGGCGTTGACCGGGTGTGCTTGGTGGACGACCCGCGCCATAAGCATGCGTGTATGTCGTTGGCGCTGAGGGCTGCCGTGCGTGCTGCGGCGTGACCTGGAACCCGGGTTGAGCCGGAACCCGAGCATTGGAAGCAAAAGCACGTTGGTTGTAGGCACTATGAGAGCCTTGGTAATTACTAGGCCGTGAAGTAGAGGGTGTTGAAGTTCGGTTTGCGGCAGTGGCTGCTGCGAGCAATGCTGCAGCCCTTTCTTGCGATAAAGTGAAGTCATCCTTTTCCATGGTGCCGCTGTAGTCAGGAGTTTCAACCAGAACCTTTTGGCTGATATTCAACTCAGCGAGCTGATTACCGTCCAATTTAGCGACGGCATAAGGTGGCAAGTTGCTGACGATTGCAGCAAGGCTTGACTTGAGGGTATCATACACGAGGGTCTCTGCTTCAGAGGGCGTGTTCACATCGCCCAAATCAAGGCCAGGGGTTTCATTCGACTCAGGTACTTGTTGACCAGGCAGTTGCAAATCAGAGGGAAGTTTGAAACTTCGAAGTCGCTGGTAGGAACTAAGAGTGTCGAGCAAGTCGGATACTTCCTCAAGCATTTGCTTGATCTCCTTTGATTCCAGGTCGACTTCACTACTCGGATCGGTTTCCGTGATGTCAATAGCAAAGTCTTGGGCGTTGAATGACTCGACCATTTCATCTAGAATGCTCTCATCAAGTTCGCCAATATTGCCCGGCTGAGCGGTTTGGGTGTCATTTTGTCTGATGCTTTTGTCCCATGGGACCGATAGCAATTTGCTCACGCGGTCCGCACCCCGTTGTGCCCACCAAATCATATCCTTCGAAGCGCGCTGTACAATCGCGCCAGAGCTGTCGTAAGAAGGGGCAAATGACGAGAAGACACCCTGGAAAGCAGACGAATCGGGGCCAGTCCAAAGGGCAGGATCGCCATGTCGATGAACATTATCCGAATCTGTATGCTTTTCTACACGGTCCCAGTAGGAAGGCGATGATGTGACTCCACCGTATTGAAGCCACTGGGTTGAAGGGAGGGGTGCTAGGCAATAGTTGCTGCGCTCCCCCAAAAATGTTCTGACATCGAAAGTGGCATCGAAGCGATCCGTCCATGTGGTCGAATTAGCCCGGTGAGATCGTTTACGCGGAGGTTCCAGCTTTGGTAATGTTTCGCGTGGAGCAAATACCTCCCCAAATGTTCGCTTTGGTTGAGATGCCGCATCAAGGTTGTAAGGGATGACTTTGGTGGCTGTGATGCCATTAGGCAGAGCGAGCTCGCGCAGCTCCTCCTGCACTTCGACAAACTTTTCAGGTCCAGATTCAGACTGCAACGGTACCTTCACTGATTTTTGAAGACTTGAGAATAGCTGCTTGGGATTCGATGGATTTCCGAACAGTGTTAGGGCGGGCTTATCCTCTCGCTGGCAGACATTGATCGCGTGAAGCTCCGTTGATTCGTCGGTGTCGTCCTCCATTGTCTCTGTTTTGACCTCGGGTTGGTTGACGAAGGATTGGCCAATCAAGCTGTTCATATGTTTTTTGAATGCTGCGATCCGGTTGACCACCTCATTCAAAGGTGCCCCATCTTCTTTTGCACCGTTGGCCTGAGTCTGATTGCGTTCAATTACAGCAGCTGATGCTCTTTCGATGTCGGAAAGAAACTCCTGCAATGTGCTGTATTTGCCCGAATTGACGCGTGTTTGGATGTTGGAGGTTTCTGAATCGCCAGAAATCTTCGCGCGCTTGGTACGAGGCTTGGTTGTTGAATTTGGGAAGGGGCAAGAGAGGAGTTGGAGTTCGGTGTCGTGCCTGTGAGTGACTTGTTAGCGAAAAACTAAGAATCGCATACTTTTATCAAAGCTTACTTCAGTAGAAGCTCTATCAGACTGCGTAGAGTTTCATGAAGATTTGCTTGATCGCGGGAGGTAGTGGCACTTGAATCAGTGCTTGGTTTGTCGTCCTGAGTGGAGCGCTTCCGTTTCCCAGAGGTTGCATTAGTAGCAGGGTCAGGATGAGGTTCGCCATTTGTGGCGGACACCGGTGTTGTGTCTCCAGCTTCGTCGGCGCTCATGGTTGCGAAGTCGCGCCGAGGTAAAGGTTCACGATACTTGCTTTGACGCGGTCCCCTCCAATGTAAATGGATGGGGTCCACAAATCAGAAGGTCGAAAGAAAAGATTGGAAGGATGCGATCGTGGAAATAAATATTTCCTGGTAATTTGGTGTTGAGGTTGATACTTGGTTCGGAAAGCAGCCGAAGTCCAAGTAACCTCGATGGATAGGGCGTCAAAGCGAATCCTTAGAGAAGATGGGGATCGCGAAGAGCGAGGGGAGAGGAAGATAAAACCTCCACGTCACCACAATAAAAGAGGTGAATATGAGGTGGAAATAATTGCCAGTAGAGACCAAGGTATTAGGACAATGATCAATGCAATAGACAACCCTCGAACAAATAGGTCAAGTGTTCCTTTTTTTCTGTTTTGTTGGAGAGAACGTTCACTTGCGCTTTTCGGAATGGCGCGCCTTCTGACGATCCATCACGTGACCCCATTTTCTGCCGCGCGATTGTTGTATTTTTCTGATTCCTGACTTGACTTCTCTCATCTTCGGAGACAAATAACTCTTTGAGCCTATTGAATGGGTCTGTGGCGTCCAGGCACTTTCACCCATGACTACGTTCATGGATGTCATCAGTTTTCAAGCATGCCCGAAGCCTTTCGGGAGTATCGCGGCTAAGAGCAGACCTGCTCAATAGTCAATTGTACAAGGTAATTATTTTTTAATTTGACTCTGCCCGTCATTGGATATAGTGCTAAACGATCATGATGTGTCCTAGGCAATATCTCGTCACGACACCAAGTCTCCCGTACATTATTCACGCAATTCCCTGGCTGGCCTAAGCCTAGGCAGTTTTCGTTCGTTCCAGTCCACTGCGTTCCTCAATGTGCCCGACTCACTTGCAATCGACACTCCACCCTCACAACTCGGTGACAATTTCAACAAAAAGCGGCCAGATTCCTTACTCGACGAACAATGCGCAACAGTGCCCCAAGACTCGGTGGATAGCTCGTTCGGAAAGAAAACGCTCGAAAAGACCCCCAACATCAGAGTAAAACCGAAACCTGCCGAATATCTCTCCAAAGCTTTGCGAAATACTGGCCACGCCCTTGGATATGGTGGTCAATCAGCCGGGCTTGTCCGCGCTCGCTCCAAATATACACCCCAAGCACAGAACGAGCTGAGGACAGTTGGTCGACCAAAAAAGCCGTCACTGCCGGTTATTCTTGGGGAGTACCTACGAGAAGTTGATCCGCTATTTTCAGCAACGTCGGATAAGCGCGCAAAGAAGGATTTGGATATCGCTCTCCAGAAAGTATTCAGAAACACAAGTTATGACTACTTATCATGGCGTGGCTACGATGCCGCCGATGTGACTGCTTGGGCCTGGATCATGAAGAGCCACAGCCCCCACGAGGCAATGGTACGGCTGTTCTTGTTCGAAACGGACAGAGCCAAATCTGGCGCTGCTAGTCCGAGGATTCCACCTTTTATCCCGCTCCATCTTTTGAGACAGCAAAACCTTGATGCTCACACCTTCCGTTTGCTCCTAATTCACTCTTTACATCTCATGAGCGGACATACCTTCCCCATCCCTGAAACTCCTGCTAGTGTTGCCGAAAATGATCCTGAGCTATCACCCGAGGACTTCCGGCCTCAAATCGATTCTGGTACATGCATGATTTTGGTAGTGCGTTTAATCCGCCATGCTCGGCGCGTGTGGCCACAATCACTTCTTACTATTGCACGTGCATTCGCTCGCTTCCTCTCAGCTCGCAGGGTGGATGATGCCGAGAGGTCGGTTTTGTTGACTCGACATGATGATCGCGCCAAAACCGCCAAGTTCAATGAATGTCTCTGGTTACTTTCCATTCCGGCCAATATAGCTCCTTACCGCTCCACATCTATCCAACAGCAAGCGCAATTTGAGCTTCTTCGAGCCATGGCAACCCATACGCCCGTCCTTCCTGTCACAAGACAAGGATATCGAGCGGTCGTTGCAGTCCAGCTGGCCCATAAGAAAACATCCGAAGAGCGCCAGTCTGCTGAACTAAAAGCTCCATCGTGGCCCCCATGGAAGGAAGAGAAATTGGGAATTGATTCCCAGCGTGGGAATGAAGGGATGTTCAGCCGTGCAATGCAGGTACTTTCACAAATGAAGGATGCTGGTTATTCCCATCGTCTTTGGGAGGACATATCCTCGATTTTGGCGGGTTGGGATACGGATCACAGCCCGACGGTGCAGACGAGGGCTATGATGCGTCGCCCGCAAGCTTTACCGGATAGACCTGGCTCCAAGTCGAATCACCATGAAATGTGGGTTGCTCGCATTCGCTCTACGAGGACTGTCCGTGAAGCCTGGGCATGCTTTCTCTCCTATCAGGATCGTGGCCTGCCCCCGAAGGGTGCCATCTACGCTGCCATGGCTGAAAAGTTAATCTACCGACGAAATGCCATAGAACGCGAGTTTGACCAAATGAGTCATGTTCTGCCAGGAGATGGCCTTGAAGTCCACCCTGAACCAGCTTCTGCTCGCGACATTATCTATGTGCCCACAGAACCACCTACTGTGGATGAGTTCCTTGATCATATGCGCGGACGGGGGCTTCGGCCTTCTGGAAGATTCCTCAGCCTATTACTTCAGTCGGCTACTTCTCTGCATTCAGGGTTGCAGTATCTCCAATGTGGAGACTTGACAGATGCTCAAATCGAGGCACTCTCTGTTGTGCAGGACAAACCTCGCACATACCAAACTTTGGACCTTGGAGCTTTTCATGACTTGCCGGACTTGGTATTTGCATCGTTCATCAAGTTTCTATGCACACATTCGGATATTACTAGCCTGCATGTCGGTAATCGAAATATTCTCACAGCCGACCGTTTCCCGGCCTTGATAGCCGCTGACAGCTCGACCGGTGCGAAAGTGGACCTTGTTGCATATTCCGAGGAACACCCAGGTAATCAGCACTACCCAAGGGCTTTATGGCACGCGATCCAATTGACGAAATTGCGACGTGCTCCTTACACCCCTGCCTGGACCCATATTCTGTTTGCTCTGACCCGGGAGCGCCTTACCGGGTATTATGGCCTAAGAACTCGCAGTCTTCAGCGCATACTAGCATGGCACCAGGCTCTCAGAGCATTAAGTTGGATGCGACAGCGTGATGTTCAACTTGGCGAGGAAGGATTCCGCATTTTATGTGTGGCGTTTACAAAAGCCATTGACGCTGCCCTTAAACACCCTGGCACCGCCGAACAAAGCTTTGTACTGATTCATAAAGCTCGCATCCGTCGTCTCAAGGCCACAAACGAAGGCGATAACGACACTGACGCTTTGATGCACCACGCGCTGCAGGTTTTGAAGCATCAGTTTGATCATCTTGTTCTCCCAGCCTCCAAAACCTCAGAGCATGCGGAGCGAAGTGTCTTTGCGGGGGAAATCGCCTCCGAGACACATCTCAATGTTCCCTCGATGCTACAAATACCATCACCTGCCACGCTACATGCCTTTGTTCGGGCTTTGGGGTCTGTAGGGGATGACGAAGGGTTGTTGCATCTGCTGCACTGGATGAGTCGGTCAGCTGATCTATTGAAAGAAGCTGCAGACGAACATGCAAACGGAGACAAAATGATGCGTCGAACCCTTGTGGCGATCAGGGTGTTTTTGGAAAGACGACAGCAACAGATTGACACGCGGGTACCATCGGACCTAATCGTGGAAGCATACGACCTTATCAGCCGGACAGGCTGGGACTGGCCGAGTGATGCGGAGGTTGCAGAATATTGTCAGTGACTGTGTATATAATATTGTAGTTTTAGAGAACTTTTGTCAATGTACATGATACCCCCCCATATATATCCTATTTATCAAGCGCTGTAGCTTTCGGTAATCGTCGGCCTCAGAGCTTTCCCCACACCCGAGCTCCGAGAACAACTTCCACCCGAGAACTTTTCAGCGCAGTGGTCTATCTTTCTTCACTTGAATATCGCAGTCGAGAGTAATCTGACTGGATTTTTGAATTGCCGCCTGCACAATGGCAACCATTATGTCAACGCGCCTCGTCCGCCTCTCTGCACCTCTCGCCCACCTCCGGGCGACCGCGGTACCTACCCGGGTTTTCATCTCTCGCTACAGCACCAGCACAGAAGAAGACATCATCAAGACCCAACAAATCCCCGCCCCAGGCTCAGGACATGTGCGCGTGCTACAGCTGAACCGGCCCAAAGCTCGCAACGCGATCTCTACCCACTTACTCGACACGCTCTCGAAGCATGTGGACTCTATCGCCGCCGAAGGAGGCAACGGACCAACCCGGGCATTGGTTGTAGCGAGTAACGCAGATGCAGCCTTCTGCGCGGGCGCAGACCTGAAGGAACGCGCCAACATGAGCATGGCCGAGTGAGAAACAACCCTGTGCCCTGGTGCCCTGGTGCCCGGTGCCCGGTGCCCCGGGCTTGAAGCTAGAATCTACGCGAACATATGCAGCTAACCACTCAACGCGACTATCCAGAACAGAAGACTTCCTCCTCAAACTCCGCGCCACCTTCCAAAAACTCGCTTCCCTCGAAATCCCCACCATCTCCGCCGTCTCGTCCGTAGCCCTCGGCGGCGGCCTCGAGCTTGCCCTGTGCACGCACCTGCGCGTCTTCGCATCCTCTAGCGTTGTCGCCCTCCCCGAAACACGTCTTGCCATTATCCCCGGCGCCGGCGGCACATACCGCCTCCCTCCGATTATCGGCGTGAACCGCGCTCGGGATATGATTCTCACCGGCCGCCGGGTGACTGGACCCGAGTCTTACTTCATTGGGCTCTGTGATCGGCTTGTGGAGGTTTTGCCTGAGGAGGAGGCACAGGAGGGCGTTGCCCGCGAACGTGTCCTGCGGGAGAGTATCAAGCTCGCTCTGGATATCTGTGAAGGTGGCCCTATTGCTATCAAGATGGCGATGCAGGCTGTCGGTGCTCATGCTCTGGGTGAGCGTGCGGAGAATGCGGCTTATGAGGCAGTCGTTGAGACTGATGATCGGTATGAGGCGCTGCGCGCCTTTGTCGAGAAGCGGAAGCCGGCGTTCCGTGGGAGGTAATGTTTTGTGATAGGATGAGTGCCGAGTGATATATGTAGAAAAAGGTGACGCACCTAGGTAAGCTATATTATCAAAATGATATGCCCTTTAATTCTATGGACTTTTATGTGCAGTTTACTCCTATTAGTAACTCAGAACAAGAAAAACCGATTTAAATAGACTGGATAGACTACTGAAGGTAGAGTGTTAGGTACGTACTAACATACCGAGACATCATGTGGACATGGTTTCTGATCATGAGGGCAACCTTCCAACCTTGGAATCCAATGTTAATAAGCATAGGTTTTCCCATAAGACAATGATTCAGTGACTGTAAATAGTAAATAGTGATCTACTTATGTAGCATGCATGGATCTATTTCCATTGGGGAGTGATATATTTTGTTTCCATGGTTGTGCTTTTAAGCTTCTGCCTGATCTATAGCCTGGTCTTGTCTATACTTCTGACTCCGACTCTGGTCCTAAATAGGCTACAATATAGACCAAATGGACCAAATGAGAACATTATGAACATTTCAAGATTGGCCTGGGGCCAAAATTACATAAGTGTGTTTCATTTCCCATGGTTGATCTACGTGACTCACTGGTCACTACCTATATAGGAATACTCCAAGGCAGCATACCCTGAACAAGGCATACTCATCAATGATGCAATGATGCAACATCGTACATATTATACTTATGTATGTCTATGAATAACGGCAACTCGAGGTCTGAGTGGCACGGTACCTGGCAGGTTACCCGATCTGACAGGGCTGTGCAAGGAACCCCGGGTTAAATCACCAATGGCCAAAACCCAAGACATAACCAAAAAATGATAGAGAAGAATAATATGCGGCCCGTCACCCGGGATTCAAAACCGATGCAGAAACCCCATGGATCGACCAAAATAGTCCGGGTGACCTGGGTCAGGGGGGTGCACACACTGCCCCCAGTTACCCCCAGTCACCCCCAGTCACCCACAGTCACCTGCATCATATTTATAAAAGCCAAAGTCCGGACTGGCTCTTGAATTCTTCTTCTCCCAACTTCATATATTATGGCAATAACATCCTGACTCTGCTATTGTCTCATCCGTTGCCATGTCCAAGCCTCGTATCGCCGATCCAAAGGCCATCAAGGCCTTTGGCTTGACGCAGATCTATACCCCGCGCGACGATCCAACGATCGATATTGTTTTTGTTCACGGCCTGAACGGCCATCCTCACGACTCCTGGACCAGTAAAACCACTGATTGCTTCTGGCCTACGGACCTTCTCCCGGATGTGCTTGCCTCACTCTGTCCCCGCATTCTTACTTACGGCTACAATGCGAATGTCACTGCTTTCACCGATGGAGCTTCGCGTGATTCAGTTGTCAGCCATGCTGAGACTCTTGCATCCAGTCTCGCTGCTAATCGAAATGTAGGTCTATATTCTCAACTTTGTTTTTGATTGCTCTTGCCTTTGATATCTTCTTCGTCTGGTATCGAGCCTCAAGAACTGACCTAAATTTCTCATATAGCTGCGAGACTGCTCCAACCGTCCGATCATTTTCATCTGCCACTCGCTGGGAGGCCTGATCGTGAAGCGCGCCCTGATATACTCCCGTAGTCTCTCGAGTGAGAAGACTGAGCATCTACGTTCCGTCTATGTTTCCACTTTTGGCATCCTCTTTCTCGGCACACCTCACAATGGATCCGATATTGCGAAATGGGGTTTGTTGTTGCACAACATCTGTAATGCTGTGCTCCCCAAGAAATTCATGGAGGCGTCTCCGCAGCTTGTCAAAGCTCTGCGGACCAACAATGAAACCCTACAGCACATCAACAGTCTCTTCGTTGATATCATGGGCCGATTCCACATCTACTTCTTCCATGAAACACGGTCCACCGACGTGCGTGGTACCCGCGAAGTTATTGTAGACGAACACTCAGCCGCGCCGTACATGGAAGGTGTTGAGCGGGCTGGTATCGAGGCCGATCACAGCCATATGTGCAAGTTTGATGACGAGAATGCGGCGGGCTATGAAGTTGTAGCCGAGGCCATTCTACGGTACTCACGTCAGGCTCCTTCCGTGATTACAGAGCGCTGGGCGGAAGAGAAGAAAGCCCGCACCCAGGAGAAGAAGGCCAAGGCAAGGGAAATCTATGACGGTGAGCCTTTCGAAAACAGGTACCTTTTTGATATGTATTCTTTCGGATGCTGACTATTGCAGCAAGAATAGATGACCCGGCAAATCGAAGCATGCCTGATTTAAACAGAACCGGTAGGGATTCATACCTTCTCCCTGCACCGGAAGTGGCTGTCACGTTAAGGGACTATGAGATTGAGGAGCCTCCTGTCTGAAGCTTTCCGGCGAACCACATTTGCTTTTGTTTTTTTGTTTTATTCCGCTCTTTCTTCGGGCTCAGTTTGCTCATGTTTCTTCCAATTCTTGTCCATGATTTCCTTGGCCACTCGTTATCGAGCTAAGGGGCCAAATACTTTTGCAAATCCACTCTATTATTTTTTCACACAATACACAGTGTGTTCTTCATTTTTGTACTGAAAGTATTGGTCTTGTCTCCAGGGTGGCTCCCATCTCATGTCCTCAAACTAGCTGACCTACACTCTTCTCAATATGAGAACCATCAAATTTCTTTAGAGTCACGCTGGCTGACTTCATCATAGGCCAATCCATATTATCTCTACCGCGCGCCCCTGCGACAGAAGGTCGAAACTCCCCAGTATCTGATCTGGGAAATAGTGAACTTCTTCAACTCTCCCACTATTCCACCAAAGATGCACCCTTATTCGTGGCACCTCCAGGGTTTCATCCCAACGCTACTTTTTTTGGAATGGAGAAAGAACTTGAAGTGCTGCACAGCAGATTGTTCAAAGCCAAGGCACGTCCGGAAAAGACAATGGCCGTACTGATCTCCGGCGTTCCAGGCTCCGGCAAGACACATCTAGCTCGCCAGTACGTGTTCACTCAGCGTGACTGCTACCCAGGTGGCATATTTTGGATTGATGCCAAGTCCCGTGAATCAACCTACAAGTGTTTTTGGGAGATTGCACAAGCAGCTACGCTAATTGAACAGAAGGTCACCGTGAGCACTGAGTATCACGAGACTGAAAAGTATGTGAATGCAGTCCGCCTCTGGCTTCAGACACGCAAAGATTGGCTCCTCATCTTCGATGGTGTTACCTTCGACCGTGACGACGACATCAATAAGTTCAGGGACGTCTTGCCATGGGGCAAACAGTGCAGTATTATATACACCTCGGTCGACACAACGCTGCGCAAAAAGCAGCGACTGTACGAGCCGTATTGTTTGATGATTTCGCGGTTGCAAGTAGAACACGCTTGCAAGCTTCTGTTTAAGGATATTGGGATTACGCGAGCGACACCCGAGCAAATCTCTAAGGCTACTCGGATAGTCGAGCACTACGAATGTCTACCTTTGGCAATCCATGCGATTGGGCACCATCTCAACGCAACAGGTAAACCAATCGAAAAGTACCATGTCAAATCTCAGGTGACGGACAAAAAACTTGCAGAGCCCTTCTTGAGAATCATGAACGATTTGTTTCGGTTGCAGCAAAAGCAGGCGTTGCACTTGATTAACCTTCTCTCGTTTCTTGGCCACCAGGTGCCAGTGGGCCTTCTGAACCTGGGTCGGGCAGCTATGGCCGCTGAGAATTTGGAGATTCAGACCAGCAGCCAAATAGGAGAAGATCCCAATCTCGATACCACACTTGGAACCCTCATTCACTATGGGTTGGTTGAACGGATTACAGATGCCGATCTCTTTCAGCAGAGATCATCCGTTAATTATTTTGAGGGTGATCAGAGGAATTCGGATGTGAAGAGTGTTCCGGAGCTCTCAGATTCTCTGACAGAGAGCAGCCAAGAGGGATTTTTCTCTATTTACCGCCATGAATCGGTGGTTGATGTAGTTAAGATTCACAGTGTGGTGCAAGGGTTCTGTCGTGATGAGCTCCGAATCAAGGACGAGGAGAACAAAGGCCTCATGAGCACCAATGACCCTGGTTTCTTCGATACTTGGCTGATTGTTGCCACCCGTTTCCTTATCACGTCTTTCGACGCCGCTATGGGACGGATGGCTCATTATGAAGACTGTGGCCTTGTACGGGATTACCGAGAGTACGAAACTCACGCTTCACGACTGCTTGAGCTTTTTCCAAAGAAGGCAACAATACATCTACATCCACTAATAGTTCGTGAAACGCGAGAGAATTTGCGACGGTTGGCGTCATTGATCAGCAAAGAAATCGAGAACATGTCCCCAAGCTCCTCACACCACTCTGTACGGAATCAGAAATCAGTTTTCGACAGGTCAAGCAGCTCATCCTCCTCGTTCCGCGATTCATCAGCCGACGAAGGTCCATCGCGTAGGTCTACCTTCAACTGGAGTGATCTCGGGTCATCTCGAGCAGAGTCTCCCGAGGAAATAGCCATGCCGCCTCCCCAGTTCAGGTTAGAGCTTTTCCCACCACATATATTCAGACAATCTGGGTATGAATCCGAAGAGGGATATGAAACAGATGGTGAAGCCAAGGGGGCAATTCGAATTTCTCCTGCGATGTCGCAAATGAGCCAAGCGACAGAGAAACCGAACAATACACCTCCCTCATCGAGTCCTCCATTAACCACTAGCCTGTCGGAATGGCAAGTGGTCAACCGACACTCAAAGCAAGGGCAAAATAAAGTGAATCAAACAAAGAGGCGAAACAGAGGCCCTCATCGCTTTAGAGATACCAAATTCGACACCCCACTGGTCAAACTGTCCTCCATCCAAGGCAAAGGATCATCAAGCCGCACAGCTGCCCGCGAAACGGGGAGCTCTTTGATGATGGCTTCAGCTGCTGAAAAAGCACTTGCTGCAGTGCGTCGGTCTAGCAATTCTCAAGCGTCCGCTGGCACCCTGCAGCCCACAATCACCTCTCCACCAGCAAACCAAGAGAACATTCCTACCTATGCGAATGTAGCCACCCGACGAATTTTAGAGACAGACTCTACAGCAAAACGCCCATCATCTGTTCCCGTTTTTCAGGCCTTGGATCCAGCTAGTGGTTTGCATTTGAATGGCGGATTGCAGATGAAACCGTCCACCGAGTCCCTCGATAGTCAAGCGGGCTACGCCTTTACGTCTCCGCTATACCATGAGATCACCGACGAAGTGATAATTGAGCCTTTGAGCCAGTCAACCTACAGCGAGCCTGAGTTCAATATGCCCAATCACCATGGAGCAGGTTTACATACCGCGCCTGGATCCCGGGCTCCCTCTAGGCGTGGTTCTGTGCCACATCTGGAAGTCCCTCAAAGTCTATCCGCAAGCGTGCCATCCCTCCTTCCATATCCACCACCTCTTCCATATGACGAGAACATCTCCGTCACTCTTTCAAGCCGCAGAAGATCTTCTCAATTAGCGCAGGGCTCAATACCTACCTCGGGGGCTCCTAGGCCTTCCATCGCTCATCCATCCGCAATCATGCCTGGCGCATTGTCACTATCTAGTTCCAAACTACACGTGGGCTCAGCCCCTGAGCGCTCCATCCCCGAGCCGATGTCGCGTGAATCTTCGGCTTACTCTCATCAATCATGGGTCACAGAACCCGTGCGATATCCCCCCGCGGTTCTCACCGGTTCCAACTTTTCAACAGGCCCCCGAGATGATCCCGAGTCCCCCATCGAGCATGCAGCATCAGCAACAACAACAACAAATGCTCTCTGGGACCCCTGGCTGGACAACCGAATTGCCCCTGGCGGGTAGTGCTCTCCAGTCAGATTCCACCTACCCCAGTCCACCCGTGTCATCGCACGGACAGCTCGGCTCCATGAACGAACGACTGAAATACCCCGACCCTGGCTGGAATCCGGGGATTGAGCCGGTGCAATATTTGCATTTTGGCGGACACCGCGTTGATGTACGAGACGCACGACTCAGACTCCATGAATCGACTCGAGTGCTGCCCCCACGTCCCCAGCAGTATCAGCTATACCATCCCAATTTGTCGGGTCCTTTGATTCAGCACGAGGGTCAAGTCTATGCACCTGCGCCTGCGCCGCGACTGGAGGTTTATGGGACTCGCGCGCGGAGTGGGAGTTCCCCGGTACGCCCTAATTATGCTGGTTTGGGTGTGCGGTACTTATGATGGGAATACATTTTAATTTTAGTATTCTTCTTTTCTTTTGCATTTGCATACATCGTTGTTATATTGGTGCGTTCATTATCTTTTATACTTGCTCATCTTGCATCTATATTGTTTGATTTTGCATAAGGGTTTCTTTCCTTTCGAGGCGTTGGTGATACCTAAGAGCATGGTTTGAATTGGAGTTTCTAGTTGGCAAAAACTATAGCATCTAGAGGAGGTTCAACAAAAGGGAGTTGATGGGCTACCTTCAATGCTTCAATCAAAATCCCAATCAAGATTATATTTCAGAGGCATCGGAGATCTATCGTCACCAAGAAAGTAGCCAAAAAGTAGATGCTATAACATTTTCGTCTTGTTTCGAATATTTGTGTGTAGAATGGAGTCCTCCGAACTATCCGCCAGTTGGCCATTCAAACCCCTTGGCCCGGACGACAAACATTATTCTCGTACGTCTGCCCCGGTGATCCCCAGAAAAAGCGCGCCTTGTTCCCTCCATTATCCTTCCCCCGTCGTAGCTCCTTCTCCCGCGCAAGAACATTTTGACTATGTCTTTTGCTCCCTCGTTTTTGTGCCTTTTCTTGTGCAGTTTTCGCAGAATCCTTTCCTGTGAACAAATTCGTCAACCAATCCATGGTCGCGTAAATGGGTGGTCTCTGGGTATGCAGCTCTATCGGAAGATGGAAGGGAAGCAGATAGTAAAATCAAAAAAGCAAAGAGCGAGAATTCTCCGGTTCCATGACTGACTCCGTAATGCCACATCAGTTTATAGCTTCACTATTTAAGTGGCCTTGAAATAACGTACTGGATTGACGAGATAGCGGATGAAAAGTTACCATGGACTGTCCCGGTTTGGAACTTTGCTCTCCTGGAGTGGGTGTTGTCAAGAGAATCGATGAACAGGAATGTATTCCCCACGATATGTGGTCTGGTTTCTCATACCTAGGTAGCGACTGCGAGTCTGGGAAGGTCTATCCCAAGGCATGCATTATTCTAGAAGAAAAGTGAGATCGAACCTTGGAATGGCTGATCTATTACAAAGCAGGTCATAGGTCATGTTGTGCCAATTGTGTAATCACGAGCTCTTGATTGTTCCCTTTCCACCCCTCCCGAAGCTCCATTCAATTTGCGTGGCCATCCTCACCTTCACCCCTAGCTCATTAGCGAAAGCATGAACCAAGCCAGGGTTCTGCTGGAACCAGCGCCCAATCTGCACTGCATCAATGCCAGATTGCACCACCTCCTCGGCCAGAGGCCCCGTTTTAATCCCACCACCAGCCGTTATCAATAGCTTGTCACCCACGGATTTCTTGACTTCTTGGACCAAATGCATTTGGTAGGCAGGCCCCGGTTTGATAGCACTGACGGACTTGGGATGGATGCCACCTGAGCTGACATCCAATAAGTCAACACCACGGTCAGCTAACAAAGGTGCGAGCTGAACCAATTGAGCAGCTGTCCAGCATTCGGGAAAGTCTTTCTTCAATTCATCATTATCGCTGAACTCGAACCAATCAGTCCCACAAATTCGAATCAATAGAGGCATTGTTTCCGGGATGCTAGCACGAATCGCCTCGGAAATTTCCAGAAGTAGTCTGATCCTGTTCTCGAAACTACCTCCATACCGATCCGTTCTTTTGTTGCTAACAGGGCTCAGAAACTGGTGCAATAGATACCCGTAAGCGGAGTGAATCTCAATAGCATCAAAGTTAGCCTTTACAGCCCTTTTCGCAGCCTCCGCGAAATCTTTGATCAAGACCTCGATATCCTCTAAGGTAAGGGCCCTAGGAATGGTGTTGACTCCTTTCTCAAAGGGGATTGCAGACGGTGCGACGATCCCATCCCACCCGCCGGCTTCTTTAGCAGCCATAGCGTTGAGACTCAACCATGGAGCAACACCACTAGCCTTTCGACCAGCGTGAGATAATTGAATAGCGATCTTTTGACTCTGGCTGTGGGCAAACTCGGTGATCCGCTTCAATGGTTCAATCTGACCATCTTCGTAGAGACCAAGATCTTGAGGCGTGGTACGACCCACTTTCTGCACGGCTGTGGACTCCATAATTGCCAATCCCGGGCCACGCTGGAGAATTCCGCCCATGTGTGTCAGATGCCAATCGGTTACCTTGCCATCGTTGGGATTGGCAGAGTACTGGCAAAGGGGAGCAAGGAACAGACGGTTTGGAAGCGTCAGACCGCGGATGGTAAGAGGGGTGAACAGCTTGGTTGATCCCTCTAATTGTGTGCCTGCTGGAGGGTCTTGTGCTGGTGTGTAATAGGAGATGCCTTTGGCGGCAAAGTTGTCCATTATTTTTGTCATGGTGGCAGTGCTTGACCGAAGAGTTGAATAGGCACTGAAAAACAAAACCCAGATTGAGTCTTTTGGAGTGATAGGAATTCATCGTCAATGGTATATTATTATTAGTGTGATGATCACGAATCTCAGTTCTGTAGTGGCATGCATCAGATGCATCGGATTCATCAAATTCAGATACAGATACATTATTGGGTGTGAAGAAAGTCAACTCCACCAGTCCTAACGCGAAGCCAGCAACATGCATCTCTGCCGGTTCTAAGTCGAAGCGTAGGAGACATTGAATCCAATCAGAATTCGTTTATCATTTCTGTGTCTCGTCAGATGGTCCCCGGGCCGCAATACGAGCTGAACTCGTCGATTGATTGCGTCACATAACCCACCACCTATGCCCAGGTGCCCCTTAAGTGGGGGCAATGTTATCTTCGTCACGAACAACTCGAAAATCAACAATTATTTTCAATTGTAGCCAGCCACTAGGATGCTGGGGGAAACAACAACATATAAGCAAAGAAGCTTACTTCGCAGTGCTAGAGGCCACTCCAGCAATAAAGGCTGCTTTCAGCCAATGGAATATGGGGGGATGTATCATTCAACGTGGTCACCGCTCATTCAGCTTCTTCCTTCTGATTCTCTCTCTAAGGCTCCTATGCACGAAGGCTCTCAGCTAGGGCCCTGATGACGAGATAGGGTTAAATCTCTATTTCCCGGGTTACGCAGAGCATACAGTTGGTAAAAGCAGGAAAAAAAAAATTATACTAAATCAGATTAAATCGAGTACTTATATATAAGCACCTAAACGCCTTATTGAAAATGTATCCCGAAGTTAAAAATTGTCATAAAGCTGCTTTTTAGAATCAATAGGTATCGACTCTTTCTTGTGTCCATTCCTATAAGGAAAGAACAGTAACACCTGTGAGACTTTTCAAAGGCTTTATCAATGATGCATTGAGTTTGAAGCTGTTCTAGACAGCATTGGTGTTCTCTGTCATCTCCACGTCCCTTTTACCAGCGTGAATGGCGTTCATGACTGTCTGAGAAGTCTTCGGCTCCAAGCTTTTCTTAACTGGGTTCGGTGCCGAGAAGACCTCCTCGAGCTCCTCGAGTGTGCGGCCTCTAGTCTCAGGCCAAAAGAAGTATATAACAACAAGTTCCATGATATCCCATCCAATAAAAATAGCATAGAGGTAGTATTTCAATGCCGCAAATGCCGGTGAAGAGGCGTATGTGATGACAGTTGAAGCAACCGCAGTGAAAAGCTGAGCCAGGGACTTCCCTTTAGCTCTCGTGTTCGTGTCAAGCACCTCAACGATATACATGGGCGAAAGAGGAGCCCATGCCAAATACCAACTGAGGCCGAATAGGTAAATGAAAGCAATAGAAGTGTTTGCGATAGCCGAGTTATCCGGATTCTCAGTGGCGTACTTCGAGGTCGGAATGATGATCGCAAAACATGCGACGCAGAAGGAGAGCGTGCCGAGCAGGAGCGGTCTTCTCCCAACCTTATCCATTAGCCTGGCTCCACAAAGATTGGCAAGAAATGTAAGAACGGTAAAGATTCCGTTTAGCATCAGCTTCTTCTGCTGAGAGGTAATTCCGGCATTTTGGAGCATAACGGGTAAATAGGTACTTGTAAGCGAGCTTCCTGACCACTGTCCAAAGGTAGCCATGGTCAATACACAGAGCAACCGGCGACGCGCAGCACGGGTCTTCCAGAGCTCGCTATAATCCCACCATCTCTTATCGGATCCGGTGCTCGAAATTTGAGCCTCCATTTCGGCCATCTCTAACTTGACGAGGGGATGCTCGGGATTTCCTTCGCCGTGGTAGCGTATCAATACTTTTCGCGCAGCTTCAAGTCGTCCCTGCGCAACCAGCCACCGTGGGCTTTCGGGTAAAGTCCACACAAAGGCGAAGAGAAGGCCGCTTGAGATCAACTGACACCAGAGAGGGATACGCCATCCGCTCGGCCCTAAGAACTGAGCAGCATACACGACCCAAGTGGCCATAATGGAACCGATACCCCTAACTGAGATGTGAGTGCCTAGAACATAAAACGGCGTTCACGACGTGGATGAGGCGAGAGAACGAACGCAAGGCTTGAGTAGATCCCCATGAGCGTTCCACGCCAGTACGGGTGAGCTATTTCGCCGACATAAACTGGTGCACTGATGTTGCAAAAAGCAACCCCGAATCCCAGGATAAAGCGTCCGCCTAAGAACATGCCAGTGGTGAGCGACTTCGCGATAACAATGGCGCCGATGATGACGATGGTTGCTCCGGTGAACATGCCAGCACGTCGGCCGAGACGATCGTTTACGGGACCAACGAAGGGGAGGGCACAGATCGTTCCTTTTCCAAAGTTAGATATGATATCATTGGCCAAAGTCCGCAATCCTTAGTACCAATTCCGTAAATGGCAAACACGAGGCCAGTAGAAGCAGAAGCCGATTCCCTACATAGGAATTAGCTACCAAGAAGGAGAGTTTCCGGGTCGCCATACATATGGAAGTATTGAAGATATGAAGTCATGGCGTTCAATCCTCTGCAGACCAAATTAGAGTGTTGAAAGGTGCCAAATCCTGAGATCTACATACCCCATGACTGAACCATCGAAGCCGTTGGTACATGCACCGAGATAAGCGCACAAGAGAACGGCGTAAAGGCGAAACATACTCGGCGTCCACGGGGAAGGCTTGATATAATCAAGACTTTCAACCGCCTGAGCTGCCGAAAGGACAGTGACAGGATCAGTTTCTTTATGCTCCTCGTGAGAGGTAGACATCTCGGAGCTATGCTCAGTGTGCGCACTAACTTCCTTGATTGAGCCCATTTTGCGAACAGTGATTGAGGTGAGCACAAGTTGAGTAAAAAGTTGTCCGGGGGCATGATGGAGTTTACGTTCTGTCCAAGACATATATATACATTTCTGGATATAAAGCTGTTGGAAGGTCACGTGACCACCACTGTTTGCTCCCAGTACATTAGTCTTAGCATCTGTAGATAGCTTCTTCTCTTTCTCTCTCTACAGCGCAATACAGTGATTTTACCAGCGTACTTACTAGTCCCTGGCCTTCTCTGTAACAGGTTATGAGCACCTGGCCGTCGAAGCCTCTGCATCACTGCATGCCTCACGCCCCATCTTTCCTCCAATCCTTAGTGCTTTGCGTGGCACCCCACTTTGTGGAGCTTTGATCGCAAAAATCAGAGTTTTCACTGGTCGAGTCTTTCGACTATCCACACTTGGCCGTTCGATCCTATCGACCGCCGTCTCTCATTGGCCGTTCGACCCAGTCGACCGCCGTTCATATACCCCACAGCTAGACCTGGCATTACACCGCCCACAGGTGCAGTACCTCCGCACCTGCACCTGCACCTCAGGAGGTTCAGGTGCGGACCTTCGCACCTGACCCGCACCTGAGGGTCGACAGGTTCGGTGCAGGGTTACCCTCATCAACCCGCATATGCATAAATTTCTGACACCTTACCCCTTTTGGCTGGATAAAATGGATGATTCATCTCTGTTTTTTACACCTGTTCCGTCAGCCTGAAGCCATATCAGTGAATACTCTATCAACATAAGGATTTATGAACAAATACTTATGTAAAAGTAAACAGTAGGTATTGTTACCTATAAACTCTAAATAAATACAAAGAAATTCGACGTTGGAAGTGGTCAATAAGGGTTATTGACAAAACAGCATGTAAAGTTGCAGATATATATATCGAGTATGCTGTTTACCTTATGTATCTTCAAAGGCATAACTACAGTTTTGTGTAAAGAACTTCAAGATGTTGTCAAAATCACCTTATTTTGATATCATTGTAACCGTCAAATCTTCTTCTATCATGTTGTCTTAGAGAATTAAGAATATCTAACACAGATACATCATGAATTGAGTTCAAACTTCCCAGTTGTTAGACTTAGCTGTTCTGATTATAATATTTTCTCAACCTGAGGGTTACTTTGAGGTGCAGTGAGGTTTATTCAGGTTTACCCCTGAGGTGTAGCGAGGTGTACCGAGGTGCGATGAGGTTTAATTAGGTTTACCCCTCAGGTGCGGTGAGGTGCACTGAGGTGCGGTAGGGTTACTATACAAATTACCCACTGAACTAGCCAATAGGATCTACTTATAGATACTCAAGATGATAGATCAATTCTAGCATCTTGAACAGGGTCAAACAGAGGCCCCAAGAAGATCATGTATCTTTTCATGTAAAGCAATCAGTACGTTTTTTATCTTCTTCTTCTCTAGTATCTAGCTAACTGAACCTACTATGTCTCAGCTCTCAGACATCTACCCATCGTCTCACTTCGATAGTCAAGACGGGGTGCCATATGACGCGTTACACTTCCTCCTCCCCGAAGACTCCCTCTCCCAACGCGAAAGCCAGAGCCAGAGCCAGAGCCGGAGCCAATACCAATCCGAAAGCCAGTTTGGATCAGTTCCAGACCTTCTTAGCCCTCAGTCACACATTTCACCACTCGCTCCAGACACCCTTGCGCGAATTAAGCCTGACCGTATCAACGAGTTCATTATCTGTACACCAGAAATGACAAAGGAGTTCGTGGATTGGTGGCTTAAGACTGGCTATGGTAGGTCGAAGCAAAATCTCAATTGGGATATAAGTCCTACCAAACGTCGTGCAGATTGCTGGAAAGGGTTCCAACAAGTTGCAAACACCAAAGATGGAAAGCCAGGCGTTATGTGCAAACGTTGTCGCACAGTTCTCGCGCATCCAGCTACGAATCATACAGGGACATCAACAATGCAGAAGCACCTTGATGGTCCAAGATGTAGACAACGAGTACCGAAGCAGGCACTCCAGGGAACTAGTAGTGTCCACCAGCTACTTAGTGACGCAGTATGTTTACCTATATTTCTTGTTGAATATTAAGACGAATCCTTAATTAACTATATTTCAGGCTGAGAGAAGACCAGTACCTACCTTTACACAGCAAATATGGGAGCAGAAGCTACTTAATCTGATCACTGTATCACATTTACCCTTCCTCTTTGTCGAGCATCAAGAATTCCACGACCTTATCTCTTACGCCCAACTAGCACCTACACTACCAAGCATCCCATCAAGAAAGGTTATTCGTGAGCGTCTCCGAGAGTTCGTCAAAGAGTCTCAACAAAAGACTCTACAACAGCTCCCACCCAGTGCAAAGATGTCGATTGCCCTTGACTGTTGGACTTCGCCATTTAAACATGCCTTCATGGCTATCACAGGATACTTTTTAGACCAGGAATGGGAGTATCGTGAGGTACTCCTTGGCTTTGAGCCAATTTCTGGTACTCATTCTGGCGTTAACCTTGGTGAAGTTGTTATTCGAATTCTACAACAGCACCAGATCATTCACCGTATACTAGCGGTGACAACTGATAATGCGTCTAATAATAAGACACTTATCACAGCGGTGAATGAGTCAATCAAGGATCTACAGTCAGACCCGGAGATAGATTCGACAATTGTTCAAGTGCCTTGTCTTGCCCATGTCATTCAACTGAGTCTACTTGATTTACTTGGTAAGATCAAGGCTTCGCCGAGGAATGATAATGCTGAGTCAGAATTACCTGACGATCGGTTACGTCAACTCCGCTCGCGCCAACAGAAGCATGAGATCGCTGATACATTAAACAAGGTATGCTTCTATTTATGAACTGTGAATAATACTAACTATTACTTATAGGTCCGAGGTCTTGCAGTTTTTATCAACGGGAGCCCTCAACGCAAAGAAAACTTCTTAAACCTCCAGTCCAATACTCAGTCACAGCTCCTCCCAATCCAGGATGTTCGTACACGATGGAACTCGACGTTCCTAATGCTCCGGCGGGCAAGAAGACTTTATACTACGTACAATTCGTACTGTGCGGACTTCAATCAACCCTATTTCGCATTAAATTCAGAGGGGTGGCGACAGATTGACTATCTACTTTGTATCCTCCAGCCTTTTTTTACATTCACCACATTGGTATGTCGTACCAAAGACTCGAGTATCCACCTTGTCTTCAGGATCTACAACAAGCTCTTTGATCATCTTGAAAGGTCAATATCTCAACTTCAGCGGAAGAAGGTTCACTGGAAACAAATGATGCTCTCTTCCCTTGAAGCTGCAAAAGAGAAATTGATCAAATACTATGGTATGACTGATAGTATTGAGGGTGATCTCTACGCAATTGGGACAATCCTAGCACCGTCGAACAAAATGCAATTCTTTTCAACAAGTGATTGGGACCCAGATCCAGAGACTGGAAAGGACTACAGAAAGGAATACCGTGAGAGTCTCCAGTCACTTTTAGAGAGGTATCGCCAACATGTACCATCAGATATGGTTCAGTCTGATAGCCATTTAATGACAACCGAGTCAGAGCTTGAGAGGGCATGTGGGCGTGATCTTTCAAAGGGATCAACTGGTCCGCAATATGACGAGCTCACTAAATATCTCCAGAGTGGTAAGTTAGCACTAAGTCTATATGATCATAAAACTAATATTCTTAGATACTATCGATGGTTCAGCTAGACTCTTCTGGAAGAATCATCAAAGAGAGTTCCCTATTCTTGCCCGCATTGCCCGTGATATCATGTCAATTCCAGCGACTGGTGCTGGAGTTGAACGTCTTTTTAACTCTGCCCGGGATATATGCCACTACCGCCGGGGTTCATTAAACCCAGAGACTATTCGCGATATCATGTTGTATATGTGTACAACAAGATTTGACTTGAAGGAGGAGCAGCGGCTAATTCTGCAAGAGTATCTTATGGATCATGAAATGGCAGCTTCAGCTGAAGCACTTGACATCCAGACACACTCCTTCGACGCTATCAGTGATGATGAGGAAGATGTTGAGGTACATCATGATATACCACCACTCTTAGCAGTTGCTGCCGGGAAGCGCCCTATGGTCTTTTCTGGTGATGAGGAGGAATCTGAAGGCGATGAACTTCCGGAGATAGATAAGGGCAGGGTCTCCGTGTCGCCTGACCTACCTGATACACAGCATCGTGTATCAGGTAGGATGCGGAAGAAATCGAGACTACTGGATGGGTATATAACTTAATAGTTTAACTCTTGAGAACATACTGTATAATAGATATTATCACTGCAAATGTGAGAATTGAAGCCCTATTCAAACATGAAACTATGACCTATGATATGCACTCAATCCTCTTGTAAGGCTATACAGTAATAAATCTTTAGCTTACAATTACAAAAGAATACAGCCCAATTCTACATAATTTATGCAATTACCCCCAAGTCACGTTTCTAGCATATTAGTCATAGTTTTCGCACCTCAGGGGCACCTCAGGGTTACCCTCATGAGGTGCGGTGCTCAACCTACCGCACCTGAGGGTCGGAATCTTTGAACCTACACCGCCCAAATGGAGGTGCAGGTGCAGGGTCGGTAGGGTTACCCGAGGTGCAGTGCCAGGTCTACCCACAGCTATTGACGAGCACCCCGGTACCGAAGAAGACGTTATGGCTGGCTCATTTAACATTGAAAATTTCGATATCAATCGATCAGAGATTGATTTTTATGACTCCGTCCCTAAATTGAAGGGACAGTCCAATTTTAGGGACTAGGAAACTGCCCTATTCCTAGCACTTACTGCCAACAATCGCTATTATACACGTATACTCACCCACGGGATTCCGATCCTATCCCCTCCACAATACCACGATACCACGGTAAAGGGAGTCACTGAAGATCTTCTTAAAGATGCTTAGGCAGTTACTTCTGAAGCTAACATTGTTATTATACCTTCTCAAATTCGTACGAGGACTATTGAACTTTAAGAGATCAATTCTCGGCTAGAGAAGAAGTA